TGGGGTTGTTATGATGTGCAAGGTGGGGCCCCCAGGTGCCCACAAGGGACCTTCTCGGGTCACCACTGAGGCACCAGGTGGGCAGGGAGAAAGGTGGCTAGACGAGAAGGGGATACGGGCAGCCAAAAAGCCAGTTTGGAGGGCCAGAGACCCAGAGAGGGGGTGTGTGGTTTATGGAAGGTCACACAGTACCCCAAAAGACAGAAAAGGCCCAGAGCTGAGCAGACCTCCCCCTCCCCTCCCCACACTGGCTTCCAGCTTGGCTTCTGCTGTCTCTCCCACAGGTTCCTGTGGGTCCGCCTCGGGGAGCACCACCTGTGGAAGTGGGAGGGCTCCGAGCAGCTCTTCAGAGCCACCGAGTTCTTCCCACATCCCGGGTTCAACAGCGACCTCAGAGCCAACGACCACAACAATGACATCATGCTGATCCACCTGCCCCGGCCAGCACGGCTGGGCCCTGCCGTGCAGCCCCTGAATGTCAGCGAGACCTGCGTGGACCCTGGCAACCAGTGCCTCATCTCAGGCTGGGGTGCCGTGTCCAGCCCCAAGGGTACGGCTCTGCCTGGGGTACTTCCCCCCCTCACCGTACAGGGCCGCTGCACTGATCCTCCCGCTCTTCTTTTTCTCCTCTCTCTCCCACTCTCCCTCCCTCTCGGTTAATCAACTTCATCACACATTAGTGTCTTTCCTCAAGTCCACAATGCTCTAGATTTTCGTGTGCATCACTATCCTAATGCATTATTAAGGATGCAGGAAAAAAATTTGCCAGGGGTGATGGCACATGCCTGTAATCCCAGCATTCAGGAGGCTGAAACAGGAGGATCCTAAGTTCCAGGGAAAGAAAGAGGTGGGGGTTGGGGGGAGAAAGGGAGAGGGGAAGCGAGAGAATATGGGGAACCAAAAGGTGACACTAAGCTGGGTACCAGTGGCTCAAGCCTGTCATCTTAGATACTCAGGAGGCTGAGATCTGAGGATCGTGGTTCAAAGCCAGCCCATGCAGGAAAGCCTGTGAGACTCTTATCTCCAATGAACCACCAGAAAACCAGAAGTGGCGCTGTGGCTCAAAGTGGTAGAGCGCTAGCCTTGAGTGAAAAAGCTCAGGGACAGCGCCCAAGCCCTGAGTTCAAGCCCCAAGGCTGACAAAAAAAAAAAAGTGATAACGATGGTAAGACATGTTTGACTGGAAGACACATCCTGATTCCCAAGATGTTGCAAGGTAAACATACACACAACTTAGAACTGAAATAAAGTGTGCATCTCCTTCTCTGCCTTTACATTAGGCATTCCAAATAACAGTATTAATTGCTATTAATAACAAATATTTCCAGTATTAGTTTACAAACTGTCTTGGACAAAAAGAATCAGTCTGCATTTGTGGCTGGGGGTAGGTCAAACTTGGGAGACTTTATATTGATAACAAAATTTTTTAATTTTTTTTATTTTTTATTATTTTTTGGGGTCCGGTCGTGGGGCCTAAACTCTGGGCTTGGGTGCTGTCCCTCAGCTCTTCAGCTCAAGGCGAATGCTCTACCACTTGAGCCACAGCGCCACTTCCGGCTTTTTTCTTTTTGCTTATGTGGTGCTGAGGAATCGAACCCAGGGCCTCAGGCATGCAAGGCAAGCACTCTACCACTGAGCCACCTTCCCAGCCCAATATATTGAAAGCCAGCTCTCTGGGCTGATTTGAGAAGCTCAAAGCCCCTGGCAGGAGACGCACCTCATAGTAGCAGAACATGTTTCAGCACGCCAGTGCTCTGCAGTCCAGACTCACCACTGCAAAAACAAGAAACAAAACAACAAAAAAAGCAAAGGCCTCAAGACTGTACACCCTCATACCTAACCCTCCTGGGAAAGTCCACAGAGGCTGTCCCTGGGACAAGGGTTCTCTGGCTCAAAGCAATTCACCCCACTGGCTGCAACCTGACAAGCCCCCTCGCTCAGGGCCTACCAACTCCCCCCTTCCCCATGCAACTGAGTTTGTGCCCTGGTGTTATAGTTATATCGATCCAAATGGGGTACATCTGTAATCCTAGATTTCTCTGTTGGCCTGTGTGAGTTAAGACATTTGTCTTCTGGTTTCTGCACCTTGTGGTTTCTCTTCTCTCTCCTTCTGCCAGCTCCCCCTCCTCTAGCCATCTATTCTGTCTCCCCAGCCCCCACCCTCTTCTCTTTGGAGGTCCCAGGATTTGAACCCTGGGCCTCCAACTTGCTTAGGCACCCCCAGACCTGGGCCTGTCTCTGCTCTCCATCTCTGAGTCTTAAGGCCTTCTCCCTGTGGAAGGCCTGCAAGGGGGCTGGGGCCGCGTGGGCATGGGGAGAGCTGGGCAGCTGCTGACCCCGCTCTCCCCGGCCGGCTTCTTCCCGAACAGTGCAGTACCCGCTCACGCTGCAGTGTGCCAACATCAGCATCCTGAACACCATGCTGTGCCACTGGGCGTATCCGGGCCACATTTCTGAGAGCATGCTCTGCGCCGGCTTGTGGGAGGGGGGCAGAGGCTCCTGCCAGGTGAGACTTCAATGGGGGGGGGGGGGGGGGGGGGGGGGGGGAGAGGAGGGGGAGGGAGGCAGAGGGGGGAAGCTCCGCCATTTGTCTGGGTCTTGGGGGGGCCAGAGGGGGGAGCCCCAGAGAGTTTTGAGACAAGACAGGGCTAGGAGGTCAGAATGCTGGGGGGAGAAGGGGGGTCCCCAATCTTCTGCTCCTGGGCCTGAGGGGGGAGGGAGGCCTGGAACCTTGGCGACCCTGTCATTCTCACGAATAGTTTGTCTTAACGATTTCTCCACCTGCTCCCCCCCTCACCGCCCCACAGGGTGACTCCGGGGGGCCCCTGGTGTGCAATGGGACCCTGGCAGGTGTGGTGTCCGGGGGCTCAGAGCCCTGCTCCAGACCGAGGCGCCCCGCTGTCTACACCAGCGTGTGCCACTTCAGTGATTGGATTCAGAAAACCATAGAGGAAAACCAGTGAGCCCTCCCACCCAGGACCACCTGGAGAGCAAGGTGGGCGCGGGGTCGGGGGTCACCGCAGCCCCAAGCTTCAAAGGTGAACACCCTGGACCTACAACCAAGCTCTGGACGCGGACTCCGCCCCTCAGGCACCGCCCCTCCAGTGAAGGCCACGCCCCGGCCACGCCTCCGGCAAGCGGTGGACAAGGCCACGCCCCTCGGTGCCCAGCAGATGAGACTCCGCCCCCTTTTGTCCCTGGCTTCCTGATATCACCTAGAGCAGGCCCCCATCACGAGGCTCCTCCCTCCAAGGAATAACGTTGCCCAATGGGACGACTTCTCCTCTAGACTCCGCCCATCCGGCCACACCTTCTCCACAGAGGCCTGACCACTGTGGTGCCCAGCGGCACGGCAGCCACGCCTACAACGTTGGGTTCCGCCCCTCGCAGTCCTGCGCTGGGCGGGTCTGGGGTTTGAATCCTGGCGGGGAGGACTGGGGGAGTCGGGGAGGGTATCGATCCTCTGCGGACCTGTGCATGACCAACAATAAACGCGGAGACCTGCTTCCTGGTGCTGTCGGTGTGGGATGCAGAGGTGGGAGGTGCAGGGCGAACGAGGGAAGCCCGTCCCCATCCCAGCCCCTCCTAAGCCGGGCCTGACGTCGCTCCACCAGCCGAGGGCAGCCGGGCCCTCCCGCCGCCCCCAGGGGAAGGGGAAACCAGGTCACGGCGCCTCCCAAACCTGCCTTCCCACATCCCGCACCCCTCCGACCGAGGGTGGGCCAGGCTGTCCTCACCAGGCCCTGCAGAATCACCGGCCTTCTTCCGATGCGGGTCGGTTACTGCGGCGCCCCCGCCCCTCCTCCTCCTCGATCGCGCTCCCAGTCCCTCCTGGAGGGAAGACAAAACCAATTCAGCTTCAGTCCTCCTCCCTCAGACCCGGGAATCCAGACCCCAGTCCTCCTCCATATCCAGGAGTCCAGATTCCAGCCTCCTCCCTCAGACCCAGAGTCCAGACCTCAGCTTCCTCCATCAGACCTAGGGGTCCAAACTCTAATCCTCCTCCTTCAGACCCAGGAGTCCCGACCCCAGCTCTCCTCCCTCAGGCCTGGGGTCCCAGCCCTGAGCCCCTCCTCTCCCTCACCTCAGGTGTCCGGAGATCTCAGTCCCTCCTCCCTCAAGGTTTGGGTCCAGCCCCTCCGCCCTGCCCTTCCTCACGCAGGGTGCTCCCGAGCGGGGCACTGGCTGGGGAGGAGGCGGGGTGGGGCGGGGACTCCCGGTTAAAAGGCTGGGAATCTTAGTACCAGGTGGACAGAACGGAAGTACGAGGCCTCTGCCACTGAATACGAATCAGTAGGTGACCCCGCCCCCCCGGATTCTGGAAGGTGAGGTGCAGAGGTGCTCAGACACTAGCCCGGGCCCCAGATCCCCTCTTCCACAGGGCCCAGACCCAGCCAGGGGGTCCCCAGCTCCCTCCTCCCCAAGACGGAGGGATCCCAGGCGCCCCCTCCCCCTTGGGATGCAGGACTGGACTCCTCTGCCCCACACTTAGATTTTAAAACAAACAACACACACAAAAAAAAACCCAAAACCCTGGGATCCCTTCCTCTTCTCAGCCCCTCTGAGAAGCCACCATGCCCAGCCAAGCTCTGGTGTGGACCACTCTGCTCTTGCTGCTGGGAGGCCAGGCAGGTGAGGGGGACTGGGGGACCTCCAGGGGAGCGGGGGAGGGGGCGGCAGGCAGGCTGGGGGGGCAGCAGGCAGCTGGAGAGCCTCCCTGCCCCCCACTGGCTGACTTACCTGGTGAGGTGTGAATGCAGGGGTCTGGAGCAGGGAACAAGAGGAGGATTTGCCCGGGGATGTGGGTAGGAACATGGAACATGTGACTCAGGTGGGTTGGGTGGTACTGGGGTGGTGGTGGGGTGCTGTCCACCGGACCTGGTCCCAAGATGTATGTGGAAACATGTATGATGACTCGTGCGCTGCACTCCTGTGTGTGTGTGTGTGTGTGTGTGTGTGTGTGTGTGTGTGGCTGCCGGAACCTCAGGTGTGATCCTGGCATGACAAAGCATGCAGAGACCCGGCTGTGTGTCCATTTGAACCCACAGTGGTTTTCCTGGTCCTGGCACTGCGCATGCGTGAGGGTGGCGCCCCATCCCCCTCCCTCGTGCTGCAGGACGCTCCAGGGCCCAGGGCTCCAAGATACTGGAGGGTCAGGAGTGCAAGCCCCACTCCCAGCCGTGGCAGGCCGGTTTGTTCCAGGGCCAACGACTCATTTGCGGAGGGGTCCTGGTTGGCACCAACTGGGTCCTCACAGCCGCCCACTGCAAAAAAATGTGAGTGATGACCAGGCCCAGATTTGGGGGGGGAGGGAAATGGGGGATGCTGAGAAAAGAAGACTGGAGGAGTCCTCAGAAGAGAAGGCAAGACCTCTGGGTCTGAGGGAGGAAGGCTGGGCCTGGACTCTTGGGTCTGAGGGAGGAGGCTGGGTATGGACTCCTGGGTCTGAAGGAGAGGAACGGTTGACCGAGTCACCTGCTCCATCCCGAGCTCCCCTTCTCCTTCATTCCCAGGAAATACACAGTGCGCCTGGGAGACCACAGCTTACAGAGTAGAAACGAAGGAGAGCAGGAAATGTACGTGGCCCGCTCCATCCAGCACCCGTGCTACAACAACAGCAATCCCGAGGACCACAGCCATGACCTGATGCTGATCCGCCTTCGCAAGCAGGCCGACCTGGGGCCTACAGTGAAGCCTATCGACCTGGCGTATCACTGCACCCACCAGGGCCAGAAGTGCACTATCTCAGGCTGGGGTACAGTCACCAGCCCCCAAGGTAATGTATGGGCTTGGCTGTGGCTAGAAGAGAGCAAAGGAGCTAGTTGGTCCATTGGACCCAACACCATAGGCAAATCTCCTTCCTGCCCCGTTTCCTTAGGAGAAAGCCAAGATGGAAAAGCGATGAGGCAGGGGGCATGTTGGAAATCTTAAAAGCTCCCAGGACAGAAAAGGAAAACATAAAGGAACAGACTGTTAAGAAGGACCCAAAAAACTCAGCACCCCAAGCACTTTCTTGAATAGGGTCTCATGGAATCTTAACGGAATGAAGATAGATGGACTTTTTAGGGACTCAGGAAAAATAGGATCTTGTGTATCATTTTTTTTCTTTCTCTTAAACCCCAGAAACCTAGCCTGATCCCCTCTTCCCTGTCACCCAGGGCTCCAATCCTTTCCTCACTCCCGACTCCAGGGACCCAGCTCCCCAGGTCCTTTCCACCTGGACTCTAGAGCTTGAAGATCCATTGAAAACTCAGAATCTAGCCCTTTACTCTGGCCTCACAGTAAAAGCAGTCTGGGGACTCAGCTCAGAAAGGCAATGAGGACTCTCCGTGCCCCTACCTGTCAGACTCCTATGGGCCAATGAGACAGGGTATTGCTATAGAAACAATCTGCTCATGGGTGAGGCGATCAAACCACAAATCTGAGCCAGCCAACAGCTCCCATGCAGCTGTGGATGTTCCCGAGAGAGGGGTAGACCCAGACGACACTGGAGGCGAACAGTTCAGGAGGGAAGGTAGACCCAGGTGAGACTGGAAGAAAAGAGATCTGTTGTCTTGCTTCTCCCCCACACAGAGAATTTTCCTGACACCCTCAACTGTGCCAACGTAGAAATCTTTTCCCAGAAGAAGTGCGAGGAAGCCTACCCGGGGAAGATCAATGATGGTATGGTTTGTGCGGGCAACAGCAACGGTGCTGACACGTGCCAGGTAAGGAGAACCTTTGGGGCTCCTGCCCTGCACATCCAGGCTCTGGGCCGTGTGTGTGTGTGTGTGTGTGTGTGTGTGTGTGTGTGTGTGTGTGTGTGTGTGTGTGTAATTGGAGAGGTTATCTTTGTCCCTGCAGAGTGAGGACCAGGTTCCAAGAAAAGCAAACTCTCTCTCCCTGGAGGTTACAAAGCATTGAATGGCTGCCATCATTTTCTCAGAATGCAACCTAAGATGTGCAGAGGGAGACTAGGAAAGGATCTGAGGCCACAAGTTCCACAGCATTAGTTCCTGAGATTTTTTTTGGTAGACCCAAGCAGTAGCCAGAAAGGGAGTCATCATCATTTCTCTCTGGCTGGGGTCCCAAAGATGGGTCCCTTCTTCTGCCATTGGCTCCCTGGGGACAACACTGCTTTGCCTACTGGCCAGAAAAATGGTGCCACTGTTGACTTTGATGCCAAGCTTCAGGAAGTCTCCTCCTACCCCACCCCCACCCCTGGGGTTGTCACTGGTAGACATTCTCCTTCCTGTTGGCTGTGACCCCGTCAGGTGTCCTCCAGGCTCCCTCTACCCCTGGTCTCTTTCACAGAAGCTCTACCCTCATTGTTGGTCCATGAAGACTATGCTTTCTTCTTCCATTGGTCAAGAATGGGGTCATTCCCATCACTGACAACATCCTGGAAACCAATATCTTGATTTCTTCCATAGAGACAAGTTATTCCATGGAGACTGGCTCTCTCCCTTCCCCCCTCCCTTTATTTCTTCCTTCCTTCCTCTTTCCCTCCTCTCTCTCTCTGTCTTTCTTCTCTCTTCTCTTTTCTCTCCTTTCCCTTCTCTCTTCTCTCCTCCTCTCCCCTCCTTGTCCTCCCTTCCTCTCTCCTCCACACTGCTCTTTCTCCTGTATGGTAACCCAGATCAATAAAGGAAACATCGGCTCAGTCCCCTCCATCAATCTCCACTGCTCCCTCTTCGGATTGGATCCTGACAAATACACTCTCTTCCCTCATTGGTCAGGATTTTCTCCACTGCTCTTAGACATCATGTGTGCATCCAGACATCAAGTACACTGGAAGCCCTGCCTTCTCTATCCTGATTGGTCTCCAGAAACAATGCTCTTGTCCTCATTGGCTACAGGAGACCAATCACATTAAATAGGCTCACATTAAATGCCTGCTGCTGCTTTGTAAGGGAAATTCCTCTCTGTCTCCACCCAGGGCGATTCTGGGGGCCCTCTGGTGTGTGGTGGTGTGCTCCAGGGTATCACATCCTGGGGCTCAGACCCCTGCGGGCGCCCCGAGAGACCTGGCGTCTACACCAACCTCTGCCGCTACCATGATTGGATGAAGAAAACCATGGGTAACAGAGACTGATCTTAGGGGATGCCCCCAATAAAGTCTCAGCCCTGGCTCACTCCTTGCCTATCTGTGTTTGGACCCTGCGGGGGGGCTGGGAGGTGAGGAGGCTGGTAGGTTTGAGTAGATCTGAGCACACTAAGAGCCACTCCCCTTTGTTCAGGAAGGGTTTGAGGGAGTGGGGTGGGGGGAGTTTTTTGAGTACCCAGAAGTCAATCTGGGAAAGATGCCAACCCTGGAGCTTGAACTCTGGACCATGAACTTAAGACCTTGCATTCTTTTCTGTTTTTTTCAGTCCTGGGGCTTGAACTCTCGGCCTGAGCACTGTGCCTCAGCTCTTTAGCTCAAGGCAAGTGCTCTACCACTTGACAGTGCCACTTCTTGTTTTCTGATGGTTAATTGGAAATAAAAGTCTCACAGACTTTTCTGCCTAGGCTGGCTTAGAACCATGATACTCAGATCTCAGCCTCCTGAGTAGCTAGGATTACATGCATGAACCACCAGCACCTGGCAGGCTTTGCATTCTTGATTGTTTTTTTTCTCTTAATGCTGGTGCTCTACCACTTGAGCCAAAGCTCCACTTCTAGCTTTTTGCTGGCTAATTGAAGATAAGAATCTCTCAGATTTACCTACCTGAGCTGTATTTGAATTGGAATCCCCAGATCTCAGGATCTTGAATAAGTAGGGTCACAGGCATGAGCCACTGACATCCAGCTTGGAAAAGATAGTCTTGAAATGATTGTTTTCTGAGCAGCTGAAGTGTGGAATGGGGAAGATCCTGCCCCAACTTATCCTTCCCCTTTTCCTACCGTGAGACAGAATCTCACTGTGTAGCCCAGGCCGGCTTGAAACTTGCCCTCCTCCCACCTCCATCTCCTGAATGCTGGGATTATAACTAACAGCACCATGCCCCACTACTCCCCTGTTTTCAGTGGCATGTGTACCTAGGAATAGGGAAATACCATGAAGAGTTTAAGCAACCACAAATGGATACCCGTGAATCTACCGATGGGTTAAAAAGACTAAATACTTTGAGAGCCCCCCATGTGTCCAGAAATCTTTTTTCCCAGTTTAGAGCTATCTGGATGGGTCTGCCAAGGTTGGGGGACAAGGCGGGGAGAATTACTGGCTCCAAACTGAAGTGGGGAGCAAATGGGTTCTCACCCCAGAAAAGGTCGAACTTAACACATTTTATGTTGTATTCAGTAGTTATTATAAAGATACGAATATTCACTCTCAGAATTTCCCAGGTTACATTCTTAGAAAAGCGAATGTACTTGTTTCATTTTATTTTTTTAATAAAAGAGAATCTGATTTATCTGGGCTCATCTGTCCTCCTTCAGCACATCATGAATCACTAATTGGCTGAAGCCTTGTTATGTGACCGATCTCACCCAATCAGTGGCTATTTGGTCTGTGGGTCTCTAATTGGTTAATTATTTCACTGATATCCTGTCATGTAACTGGACCCATCCAATCCACAGCTATTTGCCATCCTGTCATAGGAAACAGGCTGTCTATAAATCTTGCATAAGGCTTGTGGGTAAGCAAGATGCCTTGCACACATCACTCTCCAATTCTATTGGTCCAGCTTGAACTGAGCCCGCCCCTTTGGATTCACCATTGTTGGTCCAGAGAAAGCTTGGCCTGGGTCATCCCTCCATCACCGTGGGTGGGTGAACTGGGAGAACTATGACTGACAGTTTCACCAGACCCACAGCAGATGATAGAGCATCTCCCAGAAAGAAGTGGGATACTGTTCTTGAAGGAAGAGGGAAGGGAACCCAGGCACTCTGAAACAATGGGTTTCAGAACGCACAGGCTGAGTCAGGCGGGGTTGGAGTCACCGTGTCCGGGATCCCTCTGGGCAGGGCACAGCTGGCGGGATCATCAGGTGCCAATCCTCACATGTGAATGTGAGCTGCTTGCATGACTCACCCAACCAAGGTTCAGTAGGTAGGTCGTAGGTCTGAGGGTGAGGATTGCAGGTGAGACTTGGCAACAGGGGCTGGCATTCACCCCCAGAGAGCTGTGATTTGGGGCGATGTGGAGGTATGAAACATGAATGGGACCGAGTGTATTTAGAAAGAGGTGGGTGGGGAGGGAACAGACAAATTTCCTTCTCAGGTATGTGCCAAAGCCTGGTGAAACTACAGGCTTTTTTTTTTCTGGTTGTGGGGCTTGAACTCAGGGCCTGGGCACTGTCCCTTAGCTCTTCCAGCTCTCTACCACTTGAGCCACAGCGTCACTTCTGGCTTTTTCTGCTTATGTGGTGCTGAGGAATTGAACTCGGGGCTTCATGCATACAAGGCAAGCATTCTGCCACTGAGCCACCTTCCCATCCCCCAAACTACAGGCTTTTGAGTCCCCAGCATTCAAATTTGAATGGACTGGTTCTCCTTAGTTCTGTGACTTTGCTCAAATCATCAAACCTATACCCCTTTCCTCTCCCTCTCCCCCTCCTCTTCTTCTTCTTCCCCTTCTCCTTCTCTTCCTCCTTCTTATTCTTTCTTTTTTTTCTCTCTTCTTTCTCTCTCCCTTTCTGGTACTACTGGTGTTTGAACCCAGGGCTTATACTTGCTGGCATGCAACTTGAACCACACGTCCATTTCTTTTGCTTTAGGTTATCTCTCAGATAGGGTCTCGTGCTTTTGCCCAGGCAAACATTGGACTTAATCCTCCTCCATCCAAAAAATCTGGGTGTACAGGTGTACACCATCCACACCCCAGGATGATCTAACTTCCCTTAAACTTTAATTCATAAAACGTAACCGAGCATCCTCACTTGGGCTGAACCTGAGGAAGAACAGGGAAGTAAGTCTGGGAAGCTCCTGCTGTCCCATCCTGTGGGTAGATAAAGATAGAAGCTGCTTCCTGCCCTGGATGGTGGAGTCAGGGAGCTGATGCTAAATCAGCATCTGGCACTTGCCCGTCAATTTTTTTTCCATCCATCTTTCACATAGTTTCCCCCTCCGTGCCCTGGAGAAGTAGGCTTTTCTCCTCACTTTAGAGAAATGTGATAAGACTGTCTCACAGAGTACTTGAGAGGCCACGTTCTTTCTGTCACACCCCAAGACGGAATGGCTCAGGCGACGCGAGGCAAGATTCAGTCATAAAGTGGTGGGTCTGTGGGTGCCAGCTGCTGTACACTAGTATTTATTTAAGTGCCTCCTGTGTTTCTGGTCTGGGCTGGGTACTAGATACATATCCTCTGCTCATGAAGACCAAGATCTAGCAACAAAGCCAGATTAAATAATTAGGGCTATGGCTTTCAGAATGACAGATATGTAACACACATCTAGCAATTTTGGAATGGATAAACAGGGCTCTCAATGACACAGCCCTTTCTTTTCTAAGAGATCCCTGACAAGGCAGAGGACTGAGGGGTGAGGGAACCCGATGCTGATGATCAGAGATGGAGTAAACAAGTCTTGCGGAAATTTATCTTTGTCAGGAAGGAAACACAGATGACTGGGTCCTGGAGCTGTGAGATCCCATGGCCTGACCATGCTCCGCCCCCCCTCTCTCCCCACTCTCCCTCTGCATGATCTGGTAACCCAAACCAGGAAGGTGAACATTCCTCAAGGCCAGTATCCTGCTCAGGATCTAGCATCATCAGGGATCCAAGTTCCAGGATCTGATTTTGGATGGAATGGCAGTAAAGGTCTCAAGTCTAGAGATTGGCTGGAGTGAAGTCAGCAGGGTGTCCATGCTTATGTGGGGTGAGCTAGCAGGTTTGATGTTAGATTAGGTTGACACAAAGGCGCCTAATTGTGTGTAGAGCTGAGGAAAGGAATAAGGACTTGGGGGCGAGGGCTGGGGTGAAGGTGAGGATGGAACTTGAGGCAGGAACTGGAAGGAGACAGGTGAGTCTGGAGTCAGCCTTAGGCTGACATTAGATCGCTGGTGGGGGCAGGGAAGATGTCAACACAGGCATCCTGGAATATGGCAAACACTAAAATCTGAGTTGCACGTCAAGCAGGTTTGGGATAGTCTATGGTGATAACCTTTAGTTGAGGTCCAGGTTTTAGTGTGTGTTGATATTTGGAGTCATGAACTCTGTCAAGGTGCAGGTTCTGAGTTTACATATGAATCAGGGTGTTAAAAATGAAGCAGGGGGCTGGGAAGGTGGCTTAGTGGTAGAGTGCTTGCCTTGCATGCATGAGGCCCTGAGTTCGATTCCTCAGCACCACATAAGCAGAAAAAGCCGGAAGTGTGCTGTGGCTCAAGTGGTAGAGCACTAGCCTGGAACTGAAGAGCTGAGGGACAGTGCCTAGGTCCTGAGTTCAGGCCCCACAACCGACCCCCCCCAAAAAAAAAGAGAGAGAGAGAGAGAGAAGCAGGATTGGGGGTTAAGGCTGATATGGTTTGGTTGTGTCAAGATTACACTTGAAAGCCAGGCTCTGGTGGTTCATGCCTAGATACCCAGGAGGCTGAGATCTGTTTGATCACAGTTCAAAGCCAGCCTTGGCAGGAGAAGTCCGTGATTCTCTTATTCCAATTAACCACCAGAAAACCAGAAGCGGTACTATAGCTCCAAATGGTAGAGCACTAACATTGAGTGAAAAAAGCTCAGGATAGCACCCAGGCCCTGAGTTCAAGCCCAACAACCTACGGCACTGCCATCCATCCAGCAAGGGATGCCCGAGGCCTGAACTTCTGACCACCTTGCCCAGAACCCTGCCAGAAACATGAGGTGGTGATATTTCAGAGATAAACCTAAGGGTAGTAGGATTTAGAAAGGTGAGAACACACACCAAATAATAGTAAGCAGGTATAGTAGCCACACAAGTGCCACGTTTGAATAAAATCAAGGCTCAAAGATCAGCAGGATCTAGCCTGTATAAGCCTCCATTGGCTGCTCAGGAGGCCCATCCCCTGTGGGGGGGGGGGGAGGCATAGACCACCCCCCTCCCATAGTAGGATCCAGGCCTGAGCCTCTGACCCTCCTAGGATTTTGCTCCAGCCCCTCAAAGCCCAGAAACGTAGTCCTTTGTCTGAGTGGGTCACAGGGAGGAGATAACGTGGGCCTAGAATGTGCGGGGGTGAACACCTGGGCATGGCCTGCCTGGCCTGGGAGGAGGGCGGAGAGAGCTGCACAGTATCTGTGGCTGGGGCAGCCTCAGGGACGCGAGATAACCCAAAGCCCAGCACGGGAGGAAGGAGCTAGAGTGGGCCCCACCCACGCCCTAGGGCACTGGGACGGGGGCGGGCTGGTATAAGACAGCGCTCTGCCAAGGGCCAGCATGCTGGGCTCCCAGCTCAGGCCCTGGCCGACATCAGATCAGACACAGCTAGGTATGAAGGGACCTCAACTACTGGCTATGCGCAGGGTGGGTGGGTGGGGCCTAAAATCTCTGGACCCCAGGCATGAAGGCTGGAGGAAGTCTCACAGGAAAGAAACTGAGGCTCCAGATATGTAAATACTCAGGCAGGGCAAAGGGGGAGCCGGGGAGACAGGGGCTTAGACCCCAGGATCTGAGGGTAGAGACTGGGTCTGGACCCCTGGGTGTGAAGGATATGGGCTGGGATCTGGACCTCTGGGTCTGAGGGAGGAGGCTGGGATCTGTACCTCTGTGTTTTAGGGAAGAGCCTGGGCCTAGACCCCTGGGTCTGAGGGAAGAGGCTGGGTCTGGGCTTCCCCAGGTACAGAGGACATCCCCATAGAACTCTTGCTTTCTTCTTCTCCATCCTCAGCTCCAGAAGCAGCAGCTGGTCCTCTTGAGGTGGACAGAGAGGCGGAGGGCACCATGGCTAGGTCCTCTCTCCTTTTCCTGCTGGCTCTGTCATTATCCTTAGCCCTGGGAACCACTGGAAAAGAAGGTGAGGGCTCTCCCCGGGTAACCATGGATAGCCCCCTTGGAGTCCTCGCATCTGAGCACCTTCCTCCAGACCAGCTCCCTTCCCTGCCAGGCTGGACGGGGTGTCCCCGTGATACCCCAGGTCCCTATTGGCTGTCCGTACTCAGCGTCTGTCCGTCGCTCTTGGTGGCCATCTGTGGGAGATCTGTCCTCTGGTGGTCGCCGAGCACCCCTCCCGCCTCTCCACCTGTCTCCAGCGCAGCCTGCTCCTCTCCCCCCATCTCTGCCTCTCTCTACCTCCATGCTGGTTACCCACAGTGCCTCTGTGTGTCCACACAGATCAGGGCAACAAGAGCGGAGATCGGATCATCGACGGCTACCCATGCGAGAAAGGCTCGCATCCCTGGCAGGTGGCCCTGCTCCGAGGGGACCAGCTCCACTGCGGGGGAGTGCTGGTCCATGAGCGCTGGGTGCTCACCGCTGCCCACTGCAAGATGAGGTAGGCAGGGCAGAGCTGGCCCCTTGCGCCCACTTGTTTCCCGGCTTCCTGGGTCTGTTTCTGAGTCTTTCCTCTCTGGGTGTCTGTCTTCTGTCTCTGGATTTCTGTTCAGTCTCTCTCTGTGTCCACCACTCTCTGTCTCTGTGTCTTTCTCTCTCTGGATTTCTGTCTCTCTCTGTCCGTGTCTCTGCCGCCACCCCCCCTACTCCCCCCACCCCACCCCCACTCTGGCAGCAGAGTCTCTGTGAGTATCTCTCCTGCTCCCAGTCAGTACACTGTGCAGCTTGGCAGTGACCAGATCGGTGACAACAACGCTCAGAAGATCAAGGCCACCAAGTCAGTGCGTCACCCTGGCTACTCCACGAAGACGCATGCTAACGACCTCATGCTAATCCTGCTGAATAAGCGCGTCAGGATGTCAGGCAAAGTGAAGAAAGCCAACCTGCCCACCGGCTGCGAGCCTCCTGGGACCTCCTGTACTGTCTCTGGGTGGGGCACCACCACCAGCCCCGACGGTGAGGCCTGCGGCGGGGAGCCAGGGGCTGCTCCTCCATCAGACCTGGGGGTCCAGGCCCAGCCTCCTCCTTCAGACCCAGGGGTCCAGGCCCAGCCTTCTCCTTTAGATTCAGGGGTCCAGGCCCCAGCCTCTTCCCTCAAACCCAGAGGTCCAGGCCCAGCCTCCTCCCTCAGACACAGGGGTCCAGGCCCAGCCTCCTCCCTCAGACACAGGGGTCCAGGCCCAGCCTCCTACCTCAGTCCTAGAACACTGGCCTCCATTCCCTCTAGCACTCAGCCCCCTTCTTGACCCCAGCACCAGGCCTCTAACTGACAGCTCTCCCCCTCTACCCCACCCCAGCCACCTTCCCCAAGAACCTCATGTGCTCTGATGTCAAGCTCATCTCGGCTCAGGACTGCAAGAAGGTTTATAAGGACCTCCTCGGCAAAACCATGCTGTGTGCTGGCATCCCAGACTCCAAGACCAACACCTGCAACGTGAGCACCCCTCCCTCCCCAGCCCCCCAGCCCCTGAATGTCTCTTCTTAGCATCCAGTATAGTATCAGGCACTCAATCTACTCTGGCCTTCCACTGGGCTCAGCCTCTTGAGTTTTTCCTACTTCTTTTTTTCTGCTTGTCAGGAGCGGTAGCCTATTCAGGGGTTGGAGAGACCTAGAGGTGGCTGGAGGGCTTCGTGGGGCTGAGACAGACTGGGCAGGTGGTTCAAGAACTCCATGTTTGAGATAACTGATCATCTAAGCAATTATTTTTGTTTTGTTTTGTGTCATTTTTTTTGAGACCAACTCTGTATTTAGCCCAGATTGGCTTGGATTTACTGTGAAGCCCCAGGCTGGTCTTGAACTCTCCATCCTCCTGCTTCTGCCTCCCAAGTGCAGGGATTAGAACATGTACCACCATTTCTAGACACAGATTTCTTTTAAATGCACACACACACACACACACACAAATGCACAGTGAGTTATCAGCTTTAAATAAAACATGAGTCCGTCTTACTGAATTTTCCTTTCTGCCCCTGGCATCGATATGAAGCTGTTTTACTATAGGATTTGGAGCTGGGCATAATGGCTCATGCCTGTAATCCTGACAACTCCGGAGGCTGAGGTCTGTAGGATCACAGATGGAATCCAGTCCCAGAAAAAAAGCTCACAAACACCTATTCAAGCAATAAAAAAGCTGGACACAGTAGCACATGACCATCATCCCTATAACACAGAAAACATATATAGGAGGATCATGGTGCAGGTCCACTTGGGCGAAAAGTGAGAACATAAATATCAAAGCAAACAGGGCTGGAGGCTTGGTTCAAGTGGTAGAGCACCTGCCTAACAAGTGCAAAGTCCTAAGTTCAAACTCGAGTACTGCTAACAACAACAAAATTGTGATTAGTAAGATTTTGTTTGTTTGTTTAATGTATAGGCCTCACTTGCCTGACACTAGTCTTGGTTTTGAGGCTACAACTACCCTCTTCCGCCTCCCCCCCCTTAACCCTTCTATCATAATTACCCATCCATGTTTGGACAATGTCTCTCTCTCACTCTTCCCCCACACCTCTCTGCCAAATCCCATTCCATTCCTCTTCTTTGTTGCTGATCCCTGTTTGGCCAGCTGTCCTCTCTCTCCCCATCAATCCTCCCATGTCTCCCTACTCTCAGATCTGAGGGAAGGTGTGTTAGGGATGGAGGAATAGGAGAGAGAAGTCTGGCCTAGAGAAGCAGCCTTCCCCCCTCGCCCGGTGAGGGCCAGCTTCATGCATGTACAAGGTCTCAGTGAGTGAGTCTTGTGTTGACCAGGTCTTGTGCTTGAATGAATGCTCTCCTGTTATGTTCTGGAATCCTCAGTGATATTTGGACAGGAAGCCAAGCATTGCCATTCTGCTCTGAGTCCTGCAGATGATGTAAGAGCTCATGCCCCGGGTTTCCAAGGATGCCTGCTCCCCCTTCCCACCCAAAGGAGCAGGGAAGAAAAAGGAGCCCCTTCTCCCACAGCACAGAGGACAGCCAATGGGCTTTGTCTGAACATAACTGATACTTGGCTCCCCAGAAGTCCCACCCCGACCCCCTCCAACTGGTTCCACTGGTCAAGGCTCAAGCCAATGTCTTCAATGACCCCAGTGTGTCCATTTCATGACAGTAGCCCCTTTCTGCTTTCTTACTGGTTCCCAGAAACAATGGGTCTTTCTCATTGGCCAAGGTGTTCTGGTAGACCCAAGACTGAATTGGGGAATGTATGAAACTGATTAAGGTGGAGCGGGGAGGTTAAGACAAAGGACTTGGCTCTGAGGCCAAAGCTAATCTTACGCTCTGTTTCCCGCAGGGTGACTCGGGGGGACCGCTGGTGTGCAATGACACCGTGCAAGGTATAGTGTCCTGGGGAACCTTTCCCTGCGGACAGCCCAACGACCCGGGGGTCTACACCCAAGTTTGCAAGTACTCCAAGTGGATAAACCAAGTAATATCAAGACGTCGCTGACAGTCAAGCAAAGCCAAGCAACCGTGTACCACCAAGAGAAAAATCCACGGAAATCAAGGTGTTGAAGTTGATGAACAAGTCACATGCAGCCTCACCTTTCTTCAAAGATACTTTCAAACCTCAAACACACCATGTCTATAAACCAGTCCAAAAATAAAAAATGGTCAAGGATGGAAATCCAGATGGAAAAAAGCATCACTGCGATGGTGGACATTGTAGGGAGAAGATGGCTGTCAATGCGGACAGTTGTCACTGGAACGGACAAACACACAGATGGCTTCAGCCAAGTAATTTTAATTCCACAGAGTAATAAAAAAAAAAAAACTCTTTTTCAAAAGTTGAGTGAGGTTTCAATTAATCACCACTGGGCTGTAACAAAGAGGAGAAAGGCTGGAGATAGCTTAAGTAGTCGCTCGCTTGCTCGGTGTCTGCAGGGTTGTCAGAAAGAATTGTTAGTATCGTGGAAATGTGAAACCCAGAAAAAAAAATACATGCAATCTTAGCCATGCAAAATGGTCCCAGCCCCCAACTCAGACCCAGGAGGTCAGGCCCCAGTCCTCCTCCCTCAGACTCAGGAGTCCAGACCCCAGCCTCCTCCCTCAGACCCAAGGGTCCAGGACCAATCCTTCTCCCTCCGACCCAAGATTCCAGGCCCCAGCCTCCTCCCTCAAACGCAGGGGTCTAGGCCTAGCCTCCTCTCTGCCACTCAGGGGTCCAGACCCTAGCCTCCTCCCTCTGACCCAGGGATCCAGGCCCTATCCTCCTTTCTCAGACCCAGGAGACAAGGCTTCATCCTCTTTCCTCAAACCCAGGAGTCCATGCCTAGTCCCTCCGCAGACTGCAGGCCTCCTCCCTCAGACTCACAAGACTGAGCCAACCTCTTCCCTTAGACCCAAGAGTCCAGACCCCAGCCCTCCTCCCTCAGACATGGGAGTCCAGGTCCCATCCCTTTTTACACTGGCTTGTGTCACATGTCAGGGGCATTAACAGCTTTGGCCATCTCCCCTCTTGGAGGTCCATCAACATTTCCTTTCCTACAAGCACCCCACACCACCACCACCACCACCACCACCACCACCCGCCAAACTACATATAAATAATGACACCACAGGCAGATGGAGCCTGCGTGTCCCTGTCTCCCTGCCCCTGTGTGCCCGGGAGGCCCGCAGGCAGGGTGTGACTTGACACCCCAGCTGAATTCACCGGAAACGAACTTCAGCAATCTTTGGGGAGGCAACTTGTAATCGTTGGAGGCAGTAGCCGCAGGAACCCAGCTTCATGAATCCAAGACACACTCCTCACACCTCCAAACTATTCTCCCTCCCTCTCTGACTCTGTGTCTGTGTCTGTCTGTCTCCCTCTGACTGTTTCTGTTTCTCTCTGTGTGTCTCTGTCTCCCTCTGACTCTATATCTCTTTTTGCATCTGTGTTTGTGTGTCCCTCTCTGTTTCTGTCTCTTGTCTGTCTCTCTGTCTCCTTCTGACTCTGTATCTGTCTGTTTGCATCTGTCTGTGTGTCCCTCTCTCTGTTTCTGTCTGTCTTTCTGTCTCTCTGTCTCCCTCTGACTCTGTCTCTTGTCTGTCTGTCTGTCACCCTCTGACTCTATATCTGTCTGTTTGCATCTGTTTCTATGTGTCCCCCTCTCTCTGTCTCTGTCTGTCTGCCTGTCTGCCTGTCTGTCTCCCTCTGACTCTATATCTGTCTCTTTCTGTCTCTGTCTCTATCTGTCTGTCTCTCTGTGTCTGTCACCCTCTGACTCTGTATCTGTCTGTTTGCATCTATTTCTATGTGTCCTTCTCTCTGTGTGTGTCTGTCTGTCATTCTATCTGTAGGTCTGTCTCTCTGTTGCTAGGGATGGAACCTGGAGTCGCATACATGATAAGCACCAGCTTAACCACTGTGCCATCACCCATCAGGCAGCTCTCATTTGGTTTTATTTTTTTGGTTTTGCATCTTGATACCGGCTCTTGCTACATAGCCTAGTCTGATCTCAAAACTCCAGATCCTTCTTTCTCAGCCTCCAGAGTGCTGGGATTGCAGGCGTATGCCACTGCGCCCCGATGATTGGCCACTCCCGCTACATTCCTTCCCTATCTCCATTCATCTTTAAAATGAAATGCTGAGCACCTACGCTTCCAGTTACGAGAAACATTAAGCCTGTGTATAGAAAGTGCTGGAAACTCGTCCACGACAGAAGCATTTGATGAGTATTGGTTTTTATTGTGATTTCTGATTTTTTTTTCCTGCTTCTACTCTCACTAAGAAATCTTGTGGGGGGGGTTGGGGGGGGTCAATGTACATTATGGGGTTTGAACTCCTGGCCTTGGGGTTGGGCTGGCATGACCGCCCTCATTGGAAGTGGAGTTCCAATTCAGGTTCCTCCACTTCCTATGTGCTTGACCTTGAGCAATTAAGTTCCCTTCTGCGGAACGCAGAGGTGGGCAGGAGAAGGCTGTGTGTCACCAGTTGGTCAACATTTCCCAAGCTTCCTCTGAGCCAGGTCCTGTGCAGGCTCAGCAGGGAGGCAGCCCCACGGCCTGCCCTCCAGGAGCTGGAGGTCCAGTGGGGGACACAAGGCCTCCTATCCAGATGGCCCCAGTCCAGGGTGACTGGAAGAAGGCAGCTGCTGTGGGCACTCACGTGAGAGACTGACTAACCTTCCACAGCAGGTGCACACTGGGTGGTGATCCAGGAAGGCTGCGTGGAAGAAGTGACGCTCGCCTAGACTGGAAGGGCAAGTGGTGACTGGCAGGAAAAGGTGGGAACAGCACGTTCAGGGAAAAGGCTCAGAGCCTCACAGGCTTTCCCACCCAGGCTGGAAAAAGATCCTCAGATCTCAGCCTCTGGAGTACTAGGATGACAGGCACAAGCCACCAGTGCCCAGCATTGTATAATGCCTTTTAGAATGGCTCCAATGGGGCTGGGAAGGTGGCTCAGTGGTAGAGTGCTTGCCTTGCATGCCTGAGGCCCTGGGTTCAATTCCTCAGCACCACATAAGCAAAAAGAAAAAAAAAAGTTAGAATGGCTCCAAGAATGTAGGGACATTGAGCACACACGCATTTCCTCCAGAGACGAGAGGAGACCCAGAAAATGGTGAGCAGAAATAATCAGAGAATCTAGGAGAAAGGGAGCCAGGCACAGATCCAAGACAAAGAGGAAAATGCAGAGACGAAGCAGAGAGGGACAGAAAGATGGAAATCGAAGCCGGGTGCTGGTGGCTCACGCCTGTAATCCTAGCTACTCAGGAGGCTGAGATCTGAGGATCGCGGTTCAAAGCCAGCCCAGGCAGGAAAGACCGTGAGACTCCTATTTCCAATAAACCACCAGAAAACCGGAAGTGACGCAGTAGCTCAAGTGGTAGAGCGCTCGCCTTGAGCTGAAGAGCTGAGGGACAGCGCCCAGGCCCAAAGTTCAAGCCCCACGGCCGACAAAAAAAAAAAAAAAGAAAGATGGAGATGGAGGCAGAGGGAAGCAAGATACACAGGCAGAGACTGGGACAAAGAGAGACGCGCTCCAACCAAATGGGGGGTACAGGTGGGACCAGAGACCCCACAGGAGGGTGGGAGAGGGATCAGAGGAGCTTAAAGTTCTGAAAGACTGCCGTTCAGGACAGGACAAAGGGAAGCCATGGGCCTAGCCTCCCACCGCCCTTCCTGGAAGAGGAGTTGAGAAACAGAGACAAGGACAGCACAGGACCAACCCTGTGAACAGAGCTCCATTGTGCCACCATTTCCCCGTTGCCCACCCAGCCTGGGGCAGGGCACAGCTCACACCCTCCTGGGGACAGGGAGGTCATCGCACCCACAGAGGGACAGGCAGGTGAGTCACCCTGATGGCCCTGAACCTGAGTGGTTGGTTCCAGTGCCCCATCACCCCGGGCAGCCGGAGGGCTGCTGCTCCTGAGCACTCCTGGATGGGAGATGGAAGTCATGGAGGCTTGGAGCAGAGATGGGAGCCAGGGAGCTAGTCTCTGCCTCACAATTTGCATTTGATCCTCAAGGAAGCATCTGTCTCTACCACTTAAAAACCTAACATGAAGATCTAGCTCCAGCTCCCTTCCTTCAGTCTGAGCGGTCCAGACCTCAGCCTCTTCCCTCAGACACCAAGGTCCAGGCCTCAGCCTTCTCCCTCAGACACAGGGATCTAGACCCAAGCCTCCTCTCTCAGACTGAGGGAACCAGATCCCAGCCTCTTCCTCAGGACCCAGAGGGTCAGACTCCAACCTCTTCCCTCAGACACAGGGGTTCATGCCCAGCCTCCTCCCTTAGACCCAAGGGTTCAGGCCCCAGCCTCCTCCCTCAGACACAGGGGTCCAGGGCCAAGCCTCCTCCCTCAGACCCAGGGTCCAGACCCAGCTTCCTCCCTCAGACCCAAGGGTTCAGGCCCAGCCTCCTCCCTCAGACCCAGGTGTAACAAGGCTGGCTGCCTCCTTTCTGGAACTGAATTAGGGGTCAGGTATAGCAAGGCTGGCTGCCTCCTTCCTGGAACTGAATTCGGGGTCACGGGTAGCTGCTGTGGGGGCAGAAGGAATGTGGGCAGTCTTCTCAGAAAGAAAAGGGAGAGGCTGACCTAGGGACTACTGGGGTATAAAGGAAGAGCAGGGAAGTGGAGGCCCAGGGACAAGAGTCTGGGAGGCCGGGCGCCAGGCAGTAACCTGTAACCTGTGACCTACAGCTCTGTGCTGTCCCTCTCCCACTCGCAGTCCCTCCACTCCCGCCTTACTCTCTGTCCCCTGTATGCAGGTCAGGAGATGCTGTTCTTCTCCTCCAGCCCAAGAACTCCAGAAGGTAAGACAAAGAACACGTGCATACACACACACACACACACACACAGCCTGCAGTATAAGACAAGAAACACGCACACGTGCACGCACTCACTCACAGCCTGCAGGTAAGACAAGGTACATGCACACACACACACACACACACACACAGAGCTTGTAGTTAAGAAAAGGAGCATGCAGACATACACACACACACATACACACACAGTCTTCAGGTAAGACAAGGAGCACTCATACACACACACACACACACACACACACACACACAGCCTGCAAGGGTAGGTGCAGAGCCAAGGCATGGAGAAAAGTGTCCCACCGAAGGCTGGGTGATGGTGTTCACACCTGTCATCCTAGCTACTCAGGAGGCTGAGATCTGAGGACTGTGGTTCAAAGCCAGCCGGGGCAGGAAAGTCTGTGAGACTCTAATCTCCAATGAACCACTAGAAAACCAAAGTAGAGCTGTGGCTCAAGTGGTTGAACGCTCACTTTGAGTGAAAAAGCTAAGGGACAACACCCAGGCCCTGTGTTCAGCCCTAGGACAGGTGTGCACACATTCCACAGATAGGAAGATAGGAGATCCCTAGGCTGATTCCTAGTTGCTGGGAAAGGAAGAGAAGCAAGATTTGAGGAAGCAGAAAGGAGAAGTCACTAAGTCTTACTGGGAGTCAGTGAGTGGGTCCCAGGGGTTCTCTGGGCTCTTTCCTTCACAGATTTCTCAGCTGGAGGACAAGGGAAGAAGGTGAGGGGCACAAGAAATCAGGAAAGGGCAGAGGTCAAGGGCAGTAGAGCAGGGCCAGTCTGGGAGGACAGGGAGGGTGAGGAAGGACAGGGCAGGGTGGAGCCTCCCGTGGAGGCTGTGTCTCTGACTAATAGCACATTTGCCTCCCTCTCCCCCCTAGTATTCACCATGAGGACACTGAGCCTGTGGTTGCTTCTCCTTGCTTCAGGTGAGGGTGAAAGTAGAGGGGGCCAGGCATGATCTTGTGATGGGGGTGGAGGATAATGTGCTTGGAGAGGGAGTTGAAGATGGGGGGCAGGGCTTAGGCAGGAAGCGAATCTGAGCTTGGAGATAAGAGTTTAGCCACCGTTGACTCACCCCTGTCATCCTTGCTACTGGGGAGGATCTGGGGATCTTAGTTCAAAGCCAGCCCAGGCTGGAACGTCTGTGAGACTCTTAGCTCCAATTAACCACCAAAAAGCTGGAGGTAGAGATGTGGCTCAACTGGTAGAGCACTACCCTTGATCACCAAAGCTAAGGGACAGCACCCAGGCCCTGAGTTCAAGCCCCAGTCCTGGCACAAAAATAAATAAAAACCTCTTTTTTTGTTGTTTTGAAAGAGTATCAGATGAGGGCCGGGAAGGTGACTCAGTGGTCAAGTGCTTGCCTTGCATGCATGAGGCCCTGGGTTCAATTCCTCAGCACCACATAAGCAGAAAAAGCCAGATGTGGCACGGTGGCTCAAGTGGTAGAGTGCTAGCCTGGAGCTGAAGAGCTGAGGGACAGCGCCCAGGCCCAGAGTTCAAGCCCCACAACCGACAAAAAGTAAAAATGAGTATCGGATGAGTTTAGCTGTCAGGGTGGGAGGAACAGAGGTGAGGAAGTGGAAGGCGGGAGGGAGGCTGGGGGATGACTGGATGACCAGGATGATGAGCCTGGTTCAGTGTGTGACAGGCCTGGGAAAGGAGCCTTGTCGGGGACTGTCCCAGTGGACGGGCCTGGATCTCCGGGCCCTCTGTGACCCAGTGCCCCTGTTCCTCAGCCTGGGCAGAGGAGCAGGACAAAGTGGTGCACGGCAGTCCCTACCACCTGGACGCCCACCCCTTCCAGGCTGCACTCTTCACCTCTGGCCACTTGTTCTGTGGTGGGGTCCTGGTGGACCGTCAGTGGGTGCTCACAGCCGCCCACTGCAAAAAACCGTGAGTAGCTGCCTCAGATGGGGGGGGACAAGGAGGCCCTGAAGGGGGTTCAGGCAGAGAGAAGCCCCCAGCTGGCTTCAAACCTTGATCCCCAGCTCTCTCAGCCCCTGGAGTAGCTGGGATTACAGATGTGAGCCACCAGGGGTGCACTACCTGTTCTCTTTTCCTTTTTCTTTGTTCTGAAACAGAGTCTCTCTGTGTGGCCCATTCTGGCCTGAAACTCACAATCCTCCTGCCTCTCCCTCCTGAGTGCTGGGATTTCAGTTTACTTGTCCCACTGAGCTCAGTCCTTCCTTTCTGACCCAATGCACCGCCCCCCCACCTCCTTCTCCCTCCTTCTGACCTCTCCTCATCTCTTCTCTTCTCTTTTCCTCCCTCCTTCTTTCCCTTCCTTCCCAACCCTTTCCTTCTTTCTTACCCAATGCTCTCTCTTTCTCCCTCTCCCTCTTTCCCTCCTTCCTTCCTTCCTTCCCCCCCCTCTCTTTCTCTGTGTCTCTCCCCCCCTCATTCTAGATGGGCAAATACTCTATCATTAGAGCCACAGATCAGCATTTCCACTCTGCAGCTGGTGGGGTCTGTGGAAGCAAACCCGGGGGGCAGGGGTGCTGACTGGACACCCCAGGCAGGGGGGAGGAGGGAGGACAATTCTGGAGAAGTCTGGAGGATGGAACCACCCTGCACTAGGCCTGGGGAAGCAGGCAGAGGATTCCGGGCCCTGTCGAACCTCAGCCACAGCCCCAGGGCTCCAGGTGAGACGCAGACCCCTTTGCAGGCAACTGCAGGTCTACCTGGGGAAGCACAACCTCCATCACCGGGAGAGCTCCGAGGAGGAGTTCACTGTGGTCCGGGAGAGCTCCGAGGAGGAGTTCACTGTGGTCCGCAAGGTCGTCCACCCCAACTACCACCCCCAGACCCGTGACAACGACCTCATGCTGCTGCATCTGGCTCGGCCCGTGAAGACCTCTCATCGGATACAGCCACTGCCAAAGGAGCCCAACTGCTCGGCCCATAAGTCCCACTGCCAAACCCTGGGCTGGGACAAGACAGAAGAGAGTCAGTAAGGGGATTGGGGGTGGGGAGAGGTACGGGGGGAAGGCCCAAGGAAAGGGCCAAAAGGAACACGGAACAGCAGGTAGTGGGCTATGGGAGGGAACGTTAACAATGAATGGCAGGACCCAGGGACCCATGTATTCATGGGCAGAAGGTCCACAGGAGAGAGAAGGTTGAGAATTTGGGGGCGATGAGTGTTCAGCCAATGGAGAAAGCAAACAGGGCAATGAAGAGCAGAGAAGGATGTGCCATAAAATGCTGGGCCCAGAGCCTGGTGCTGTGGTTCACACCTGTAATCCCAGCTACTCGGGAGGCTGAGTTCTGAGGATGGTAGTTTGAAGCCAGTCCAAACAGAAAAGTCCCATGAGATTCGTATCTCCTAGTAATCAGAAAAAGCCAAAAGTGAAGTTGTGGTTCAAAGTGGTAGGACACTAACTAACCTCAGGGACAGTGCCCAGGTCCTGAGTTCAAGCCTCAGCACTGACACAAAAATAAAATTAAAAGGGAAAAAAAAAAAAGGATGCCCTGATGAGAAAAAAATTGAAGGAAAGAAGAAGTAACTGGAGGACATCAGTGTACAAAGCAACCAAAGGAAGCACATCAACTGAGAGAGAAAATGGTACAGAAGGTGTGCAGGGGACAAGGCCAGCACTCGGGGTGGGGGTGGGGGGGGAGGGCAAAGGTGATTGGCCAGCTCTACCTCAAAAACAAACAAAACATAAATTAATGGGAAAGAGCCAATAGTCATGAGGAGTCACCCTGCCAGGGTGCATGCAATGGAAGAAAGTCCTGAAGGTCAACAGGAATTTCCAGAAGAAGACGGGACAAATAGTACAGAACGTGAGAATCAATAGGAAATGAGGATTAGGGAGGAGATGATGAAGAAGGAAGTCCGGCCCATGAGAGGAAAGATTGATAGCAAAAGGGACCAGTCAGGAGGCTGTGACCATAGAAATGGGGTGGGGTGGGGGGGGGGGGGGGGGTCTAAGCATGAGAGGCAGAGGGGACCAATGGGAAATAAGGACAATTGGAGGGTGGGAGCAGAATGGTTGGGGAGGTCTGGGAAGGGCGGGGCCTGCTGAGTCTGACCCACCTCTTTCCCAGCAGGTGTTTTTCCTGACACCATTAACTGTGCTGAAGTCCACCTGGTGCCGAAGACAGACTGTGAGGGAGCCTACCCCGGCCATTTCACCCGGACCATGGTGTGTGCCAGCAGTGACCAGGAAGGAGCAGATTCCTGCCAGGTGAACCAACCCAGACCTGCTGGCCAGGCAGCCAAGGACACCCTGCTAGAGACAGGCAGGGAGAGACGCAGACCAAAACAGCTGCACAGAGATGGGAACACCACGGCAGAGGCAGGAAAGGGGGAGAAGAATCCACGCCACAGGAAGAGACACAGCAAGGGATAGGCAGAGATAGACCGCCAAGAGAGACAGAAGGCAGAGACCAAGAGCCAGAGAGATCCAGAATGGTGGCAGGGGCTGTGCCAGCCAACTATTCCCCTCCTCCTCCTCCTCTTCCCCTTTTTCCTTCTCCTCTGCTTTCTTCCTTCCTTTCTTTCCTTCTTCCTTCCTTTACTTCTTTCTTTCTTCCTTCTCTTTTTTCCTCCTTCCTTCCTTTCTTCTTCTTTCTTTCCTTCTTCCTTCCTTTACTTCTTTCTTTCTTCCTTCTCTTTTTTCCTCCTTCCTTCCTTTCTTCTTCTTTCTTTCCTTCTTCCTTCCTTTCTTTCTTCCTTCTCTCTTTTTTCTTTCCTCCTTCCTTCCCCCCTCCCTCCCTCCCTTCCTTCTTTCTTTTTTTTTTCTTTTTTGTTGGTCATGGGCCCTGAACTCTGGGCCTGGGCGCTGCCCCTCAGCTCTTCAGCTCAAGGCTAGAGCTCTACCACTTGAGCCACAGCTCCACTTCCAGCTTTTTCTGCTTATGTGGTGCTCAGGAATCGAACCCAGGGCCTCATGCATGCAAGGCAAGCGCTCTACCACTGAGCCACCTTCCCAGCCCTTTCCTTCTTTCTTTCTTTCTTCCTTCCTTTTTCCTTCCTTCCTTTATTTCTTTCTTTCCATCTTCCTTTCTTCCTTCCTTTACTTCTTTCTTTCCTTCTTTTTTTCTTCATTCCTTCTTTTCTTTCTTTCTTCCTTCCTTCTTTCTTTCATTTGTGATACTGGGATTTAAACTCAAGGCCTTGAACTTGCTTGACAGGCACTTTTCTACTTGAGCTATAACACCCCTCCCTCCCTCTCTGCCTCCTTCCCTCCCTCCCTTCTTTCCTTCCTTGCAGATAAGGTCTCTCCCTTTCTCCCTGAGGTCAACCTCGGGTCAACAGTCTCCTCTCTGTGCCTCCCCTGTATGGCTGGCTTTCACAGTCACATCCAGCTTGCTCTGTGGAGATGGGAAGTCTTGCTCAATCCCCCCTCTCCACCCTGGCTGGCCTAGAACCTCGATCCCCTCCACAGTCCTGCCTCCTGCGTGTGTGGCGTAGCCAGGGTTTCTCTTCCAGGAGTCAGGCTATGAGTACAGCACACTGCGGTCACCCTTCCATCGTTCTCCCCCCACCCCACCCCCGTTTTTCAGCCACTCTCCCCCTCCCTCCGGCTTCTAAATCACACTCTCTCCCTCTTTCTGACAGGGTGATTCCGAGGGCCCCCTGATATGTGACAACCATCTCCGGGGCATTATGGCTTGGGGTGATTCCCCCAGTGGATCCAAGAACAAACTAGGAGTCTACACCGACATCTGCATGCATCTCCAATGGGTGAAGAACGTCATTCGCCAGGATGGCTCTGGCCTGTGACAACCCAGGCTTGACTTCCAACCCCACCGGCTGGCCCCACGCTTGACCTCTGACCCCACCTGCTGGCCCCATGCTTGACCTCCAACTCCACCAGCTGGCCCCACTCTTGACTCCCAACCGCACTGTCTAGATCCTCAATATTCCCATCCCCAGCCCCTGCTGAGATCTGGCCCCGCATGTTTAATAAAGACGCAAGACCGCAGACTCTGCCTGATCCCTTGGGGATGAACTCCCTCGGTCAACAGCTCCTGTCTGAGACATTAGGGCAATTGAGGCAAGAAATACATGGGCCAGTGCACCCCATGTGCTTACAGACACCACTGTACCATGTGGATTTGTCACTAATAGAAGCTCTTTGTGCTGGGTGCTGGTGGCTTGTGCCTGTGGCTTACGCCTGTCACCCTAGCTCCTCAGGAGGTTGAGATCTGAGGATTGTGGTTCAAAGCCACCCCAGGCAGGAACGTCTATGAGACTCTTATCTCCAGTGAACCACCAGAAAACTAGAAATAGAGCTATGGCTTAAAGTGCTTAGAGTGCTTGCCTTGAGCAAAATTGCTCAGGGACCACCACTTAGGCCCTGAATTCAAGCCCCAGGTCAGGGGGACAAAAGGGGGAGCAGGTTGTGTCTGTTCTGAGACTTGAACTTAGGGCCTGGGTGCTGTCCCTCAGATTTTTCACTCAAGGCTGGCTCTCTATCACTTGAGCCACAGCTCCACTTCGAGCTTCTTAGTGGTTAATTGTAGGTTCGAGTCTGTCCAAGCTGGCTTGGAACCATGATCCTCAGATCTCAGCACTCTGAGTAGTGAGGGTGAAGGTTGTGAGCCACCAAACACCTGGTAGTTTTCCATTTCTCTTCTGCCCCTTACCGCCACATTGGATTGCCACCTGCCCCAGGAAGGCACCTGGACCACTCTATCTCATGCTAGTCCCCGGGGATGGCTTTCCCATTGGCTGTCTTTGTAGCAGGAAAAGCAGGGAAGAGAGTGGGTCTAGAGACGTTTGCATAGGGGTGATGGTGAAGAGAGACAGGATGGGAGGAGACAGCAGGAGGCTGACTCTGGAAGGCTGGACTTTGTCCTGAAGGCCTCAGACAGCTGTAGAAGGGTTGGGAGTGTGGGCAGCAGAATGGACAAGAGGGGAGAGAATGGAGCTGAGGGTCAACGTGTGGAGTTATGGTGCAGGGAGAGAAGATGGGGCTGAGCCGGGGCTGGAGAAAGATAATGGGGTAGAAGACCTCCGCACAGAGCTGGAGGCATTCCTATAGAGGGCAGGCAGGGTGATGGAACCCCAGGGGACATCCTGGATCCCAAGGCACAGGTGATGTGGCTGGAGGAAAAGATTATGACCCTAGGGCTCAGAGGGAAAGAAGGATACCTAGGTACTGGACAAGCCTAAAGACCTCTGGGTGAGGAACCAAAGAAGCCAGGTATGGTGCATCTACGGCAGTCTCAACTACCTGGGAGGCAGAGACAGGGAAAATCTCGAGTTCAAAGCCAGCCAAGTCAGAAAGACCCTGTCATACAAACAAAACACCACAGAAGGGATAGGGTGTGGCCCAAACAGGCCCAAACTGGTTTTGGGCATTTGGAATATTTCCTCCCCTTGGGGATTCAAACCAGTCTTGGGGTTCTGAGCCCCCACCTGGCACCCCGTTCCTGCCCTCGGGGGAAAAGGGACCCAACTTGGACATAAGCTTCACATCTGTCACCTTACCCATGCCAGAGCTGTGTCCAGCACACAACACACAAATGTTTGCCTCTACTTGCTAGCAAGGACAGAGATCAGGACAAAGAGTTAGGATGGGAGGGAGAAGAGCAGAGGTCAGGTGAGGCGGCCCAGACAGCCACCTCTGGGAGGGCCCAGCCACCCTTCAGGATCCCCACCCAGTGTCCCATTTCCCAAGGGGCCAGGAGCTGCCGCCCCCTGTTCTGGCTTTCAGCCTCTTCTTTTATCAACAGGTAGCCCTGCCCAGCTCCGGCACCCACGCTCGGCTATGCCTGCCCAGCCAAAGGACGTGCCGGGGCCTGGCCTGAGTCTCTGCTGCCTTCTGCCCGGTGGTCTGGGCTCAGGTGAGGGGCAGGGGTGGAGGAGGTGTTGGTGAAGGGTTTCTCTGTAAATGGCCAGGGAGACAGGAAGATGCAGAGACAGGGTGGGGTGGGGGAAGACAAGGAGGAGGAGGAGGAGGAGAAAGAGGAGGAGGAGGAGGAGGAGGAAGCAACAGATGGAAAGGGTCTTGACAGTGGGTTGCACACTCACAAAAGGGATCAAGGGCAGTCTCAAGGATGATGGATTTGTTTGCCGTCTGGGTTGCAGTGATGGTTTGGGGTGTGTGTATGTGTGTGTGTGTGAGTGAGTGTGCATGTGTGTGTAAACTCACATGGTTATACGGCTCACAAGGCAGATAGAGTGACAAAATGCTTGAGAAATCAGGGGAGGTGGATCTGACTGAACTGCCACAAAAAGTTCACAAAGACAGACAGACAGCAAGACACTGAGACCCAGAAAGACTGACGGGGGGGGGGAAGGGGGGAGTGTACAGAGACAGAGAGACCTGAACCCCCAGAGACAAGACTGAGCTGGGCAGAGATAGGCTTGGGAAGATTCCATAGGGAAAGACAACCCTCAGATGAGAGAAAGAAGAGTTTTGAAAGCAGACACGAAGTCAGAGGGAAGAACATTCAGAGACAGAGACAGAGAGAGAGACAGAGAGAGACAGAGACAGAGAGAGACAGAGATTGAAGCGGGGGAGGCCCTGGCCTGGGCTGACCTGGGGCTCCCTCCTCCACAACCCAGGGAGGAAGTGAAGGAGGAAGGGCGTGGCACCTGCTCCGGAGAGGGTGGGGGTACTCTGGGGTGGAGGAGAGGGGAGGCAGGAGGAGTGATTGCTAAGGCCAGATGGGAGGCCCTCCCTGCCCGGGAGGGCCCCCGGGGGCCTGTGGGTGGTTATAACCTGGCAGGAGCTGCAGCCTGGGAGAGAAGGCTGCAGGAAGGTGTGATGTCGGCAGCTGAGCAGGGAGCCTGACCGACCGCTGCCCTGCCCGGGGACGCTGGGCTGGCGGGTGAGGCCTGCGGAAGGGGGCTGTGGTCCCAGATGGGATGCGCAGGGAGCAGGGGGCCGGCGGGGCTGCCTTCCGCCATCAGCCCCCAGGGTGTCAGCTCAGTACTGGTGGTGGAAATTTGGGATCCTGTCTGTGTGGGAAATGGGGCAGGGAAGGGAGGGGAAGGGTGGGGGGCAAGGGTACTGGGAATCACTCAGCCCTCTCGTTCCCACACCAGGTGCAGAGGTCATGGCTACGGCGGGGTCCTCTCGGATGTGGGTGCTGGGCGTGGTGATCACGGCACTGGTTCTGGGGGTCACAGGTAACCGCCCCCTCCCACCCTGTGAGTGTACATGGGGGGGGTCTCACCCCAGCAGGGGGTGAGTGCGTGCAAGTCTGGGTGGGCTGTGATGCGGGCATGTGTGTGTGTGTGTGTGTGTGCATGTGTAAGGCACACACGTATGGGTGTTTTTTCCCACCTTGAGGGGCACCAACCCTTGGCGTCCATGTGTGTGACTGTGTGACACAGGGTGTGTGTTTCAGAGTGTGTATCTCGGCCACTCTGTGGCTCAGCATCTGTGGTGCTAGTGTGGCACAGTCTGTAGCCAGGCTGGCCACGTGGCCTCACGCGTGGCTGCCGCTGTCTGGGGTGTCTGGGGCTCCAGCCTTCTCTGAGGCATCTCTGTGCACCCTGCCTGGGCGTGGTACGTGGAGATGGGTGCTGGTGCCAGGAAGATGCTGTCTGTGCGTGGCTGTGGCTGGACCAAGCTTCGTGGAGGGCTGACCATGTGTCTGTGCCCAGGGTGGTGGCCGTGGGGGCTGCTGCCAAGTGAACGCCCAGCTCTGGACCCTCAAGTCAGGGTGTCTGTATGCAGGATTCCTACCCCCTCGACCCCACAAGATCAAGGCCTTGTCCCTGCCCAGCTGATCACAGCAGGCTCTGCTCTCTCCACCCACTTTCAAAACCAAGTCCCATCTGCACAACCCCTGCAGCCCTGACCCCTGCATCCTGGACCTCAAGGTGTCCCAGGGCCTCTGTACCCAGCTTTACCCTTCCCGGGCTCCCCTGTCCCCCCGCCCTGAGCTCTAACCCAGCCCAGGAACCCTTAAGATCCAGCCAAGGCCCAGGACCCCCCCTTCCCTTGCAGCCTGGTCCCGCCCCTCATCATCAGTGGCAGGAAGTCTGGCCAAACACGTGTGATCAGTCCCACTTCCCGGTGCTTAGGCTCCGCCCCAAGTGTGAGCCCCGCCCACTTTCTCCCCTCCTCCCCACCCCCAGAGCCTGTTCTTACAAACGAGGCTGTCACCTGCAACAACCCCTCTGACAAGGAGACCTCTGGGGACAGCCGCGACTCGGACAGCAGGGCCAGGGACAACTCCAGATCAGACGGCAGCTCCCGCATCGTGAATGGCTCGGACTGCGAGAAGGACACCCAGCCATGGCAGGCCGCACTGCTGCTGGGGCCCAACAAGCTGTACTGCGGAGGGGTGCTGGTGGACTCCCAGTGGGTGCTCACGGCTGCCCACTGCCGGAAGCCGTGAGTGACCGGGCCCACGGGGCAGTGGCAGGCACAGGGAAATGGGGGGCAGGGGGAGGGAGACCCAGGTTGATGGAGGTGAGGTGGCTGCGGGGAGGGGGGGGAAGGATGCATTTATGGAAGGGTTTGGGATGGAGATGGGGTTGGGACGGGCCTTACATGGGGTGGGGTGAGGACAGGGATGGGGTGGGGTGAGGATGGAGCAGGCAGATGGTGGGAGTAGAAGGTGGGAAAGGACTGGAGCTGGCCCGGTATGGAGTTGGCAGTGGCTGGGTTTGGGTTTGGGGAGATAAATATGGATGGTTTGGGGTAGCAGGAGGATTGGGGTGAGTTGGGAATTACGGGTCTCTCTGGGATGGAGGCTAGGCAGGGATGAGGATGGGGGTGGGGAGCAGCTGCAGAGCTGGGGGCAGGGCGGGGTTGGGGTTGGGTTAGGGTTGGGGGGAAGGGTGCTAGGGTAGAGGCTCGAGGTGGGTCGATGAGGGGGTTGATAGCTTCTGGGTGGAAACTCAGGGTTGGGGTGGAGGAATTGGTAGAGGGTTGAGACAGAAACAGACCAGGCTCTGTCACAGCTGGGGTTGGGGCCCGGTTGGGGCCCCTGAGGACAGGGAGCCAGGCTGATCGTGCCCCATACCCCCTTCGCCCAGGGTTTACCGCGTCCGCCTTGGCCACCATTCCATGTCCCCCGTCTATGAAGCCGGGCAGCAGCTGTTTCAGGGGGCCAAAGCCATCCCCCACCCCGGTTACTCACACCCTGGCCACTCCAACGACCTCATGCTCATCAAACTGAACAAGAAAATCAAGTGCTCACATTCCGTGAAGCCCATCCGCATCTCCTCCCACTGTCCGTCCGCCGGGACCACGTGCTTGGTGTCCGGCTGGGGGACGATCACCAGTCCCCAGAGTGAGTCCTCAGCTCCCCCTGCTGCCACCCACCCGACCTCACCCTCCACCAGGGCCTCTTATGCACTTCTGTCTCACAGATAGCTTCCCGAAGGTCCTGCAGTGCTTGAACATAACTGTGCTCAGTGAGGACAAGTGTAAGGATGCCTACCCAGGACAGATCGACAAAACCATGTTCTGTGCCGGCGATGAAGCGGGCAGGGACTCGTGCCAGGTGAGGCTGCAAGTGGGCTCCGTTTATCTCACTGACTTCATATTCCCGAGTGGCACCATCCCATAGAAACAGAATGTGAGGGGCTGGGTGTAGTGGCTTAGGCCTGTAATCTCAGTTACTCGGGAGGTAGAGATCACAAGGATTGTGGTTCAAAGCCAGCCCCAGGCCAAAAAGAAAAAAAAAATGTGTAAGACTTCATGTTAACAAAGTAACTGGGTGTGGTGGTTCATACCTACCATTCCAGCGATGGGGGAGAGCATAGGTAGGAATCCCGGCCAGCCCTCACAAAATCCAAGACCCTATCAGAAAAATAGCCAAAGCCATGAAGGCTAGGCTCAAGTGGTAGAGATCCAGCCAAGCAAATGCCAGGCCTGTAGAGTTCAAACTCAGGGTGAGGGTATATATAGTTCCGTGGTGAGGGTGTAAATAGTTCAGTGGCAGAGCATCTGCATAGCATATACAAGACCTTGATTCCCAGCACCAGGGAGAAGGGAGAGGAGAGGACAGAGCAGGGGAGAAGAGGAAAGAAGAGAAGGGGAGAGGAGGAGACCCCATTGTCTAAGGGGTATTTACCTTCACAAAGCACTCACTACAGTTTTGTCATGGTTTTTTGGTGTTTCGTTTGTTTTTGCCAGTCCTGGAGCTTGAACTTAGGGCCTGGGCGCTGTCCCTGAGCTTCTTTTGCGCAAGGCTAGCACTCTACCACTTGAGTCACAACACCACTTCCAGCTGAGGAATTGGACCCAGGGCTTCATGCATGCTAGGCAAGCACTCTACCACTAAGCCGCATTCCCAGCCCTTACCTGTGTATTTTGAAAAAGGCAGAAATAGAAGGGTCAAGATCTAAGGCCAAAAGTGGGAGACCCTATCTAATTAAACCAAAAAGGGTTTGGCATGAGGCAAGGGGGCGTGGCCATGGTGGGTGTGATCATGGTGGATTTGACCAGGGGAGGGGCTGTAGTGGGGCATGACCAGTGATGGCGTTGGTGGGTGTGGTCAGGGTGATGCAGTGGGCAGAGGCTGTGGTGGGTATGGCCAGGAGGTAGCACTGAGTAAGGGCATGACTAGGTGCTGGTTTGGGTGGGTGTGGTCAGGATGATGTAGTGGGAGGGGCTTTGTGGGCATGGCCAGGTCTGTGATGGTGGTTTTGGTGGGAGTGGTCAGGTTGGTGGTGTGGGCATGGATTGGGTGGGACTGTGGTGGGCAGGGCCTTGGTAGGCGGGGCTCGGCCCCAGAGGCCAGCCTGGCACCTGCATAGCAAGTGTGGGGGCTCAAGTTTTCTGAGTTTCAACCCCCGAACCTCCCCACGCAGGAGACAAAGCATCTGGGGTGGAAGGTTAATGACTGTCCCCCTCTCTGTCTCTCTTTATCCATGGCTTCATCCTGGCCCTAATGCGCCTTCTGTCCTCTTGTCTGCTGCCCTTGGCCCTTCTCTATCTATGGGGTCTCTGGGGTGTGCCTCCCCTCACTCTCACTGCATCTGGGCCTCTGTCTTGCCCTGCCTTCTCCCTCCCTTTCCCTCTCCTCTTACCCTCCCCCTTCCTCTCCCTCCCTCATTCCCCACAGGGTGACTCTGGAGGACCCGTGGTTTGCAATGGCGATCTCCACGGCCTTGTGTCCTGGGGTGACTTCCCCTGTGCCAAGCCCAACAAGCCTGGCGTTTACACCAATCTCTGCCGATTCAGCAAATGGATAGAGGAAACCATTAAGTCAAACTGACGCGTCACCCCAGAACCTGGCACGCTGGAGCATCTTTCAGAAGCAGAGACCACCCCCCCTCCTTCCCAGGCTTCTCTGGGGCCCCTGACTCAGGGCCCTCACCGCCCCCCACATGCATACACACACACAGACACACGGACACACACACACACACACAGGGGCCAGACCCTGTCTCTTGATCTGGTTGTGACTCAGTCTCCCAGTGTGTCTTCCCTCACGATCGAAGTCCAGTCTTCTCTGCAGCCACGACTCACATTTCTGTCCTTAAAATAAAAGGCCTGAAAAGAAGCAGCTTCTCTGTGTGTGTGTCCTCCTTGATTCTGCCTCCCATGCTGGGTCATTCAGCCCCCAAGAAACCAAGAACAGCCAGCCCGGCTCCCCGCTCCCTCCATAGATGGCTGGCCTCACAGCTGCTTTCCTCTAAGAATAACTCCAGAAAGTGAAAACATTGGAATGAGTAAAATAGACCAAAAAAATATATTTTTTTCTTTTGTCAGTCATGGGGCTTGAACTCAGGACATGAGTGCTGTCCCTGGGCTCTTTTGCTGAAAGCCAGCACTCTACCAGTTTGAGCTACAGCTCCACTTCTAGTTTTTGAGTTTTTAATTGGAGATGAGAGTTTCACAGTTTCAAACTGCAATCCTCAGATCTCAGCCTCCTGAGAAGCTAGAATGACAAGCATGAGCCACCAGTGCCTGGCCTAAAAAGGAATATTCTTAGGCGTGTTTGACTCCTATTTTCTGCACAAGGAACAGGAAATGTTTCCTTCTCTCTCTTTTTTCTATTTCTCCCTACAGCAACCATGTTTTACTAAAAATAAATCCTTGCTAAAACGTTCATCTTGTAAGACCTTCCTTTTGGTGAGGCAACCTCCCCTCCCCCCCAAAAAAAGCTCCTCTTTAGTGGCTTTCACAAAAGTCCTATGATTCTCTCACAAAGACCTATGATTCTTCATGGAAAATGGAATGCTAAGGTAAACACAAGGAGTCAGGATGATTTCTGCATAAAAATGGGGGGGATTGGGCTGGGAAGTTGGCTCAGTGGTAGAGTGCTTGCCTCGCATGCATGAGGCCCTGGGTTCGATTCCTCAGCACCACATAAGCAGAAAAAAACGGAAGTGGCACTGTGGCTCAAGTGGTAAAGCGCTAGCCTTGAGCTGAAGAGCTGAGGGACAGCGCCCAGGCCCAGAGTTCAACCCCCACGACCGGATCCAAAAAAAAAAAATATGGGGGGGGATCTTATTTGAAAAATAACTAAAGCAAAAACAATGGAGGAATGGCTCAAGAGATAGACTGCCTACCAAGAAAGACAGAATCCCTGCATGTGGAAGAGGCACACTGGGTCTGCGCACAAAACAGGACCTGTGGCATCTGTTGCCATTTGTAAAACTGGTCCATCACAGCCAGGATGACAGGAAAACCCCACCATGCCCAGATTTTTCTGTTGAGATGGGGTGGGGGGGGGTCTCTTGAATTTCTTTCCCCGGCTGGACTCAAACTTTGATACTTTCAGTCTCCACCTCCCCAGTAGCAAAACAATCACTGTAGGGTGAAATCTGTGTGCACTTTCCTTATAGTTTTCTGGGTGGCTAAGAGAAGGGAAAGGTCAGTGCTGGCACCTCTGCCTCTTGTTACATGGAAAATTGATGGTCGGGGGTGGACCAGGCACCTTATGGTGAGTCTAGAAGACAAGGTTGAGCTGAGGTTGCCAGAACACAGCTTCCTTTGATTCAAGGAGAAAAATAAAATTGAGTGTCTGGACAGAGTAGTTGGCTGACCCTAAGGCTGACTGAAAGAAGCTGGTATGGGAAGGGAAGTTTCTAGAAACCAAACACTGAGCTGAGATCTTGAGTAGAGTTCCGTTTTCCAGATGAAGATGTGTCTTTTCTGGAGCTAGAGATAGCTCCAGGAGTTGGAAAATAGGGTCTGCTATGGAGGGCAGGTAGAATGGTGATCAGCCTGCACCCTGACACGTGTGTGGAGGAGACGCACTGGGCCTGTACACTAACACAAGCATGGAAGACACACCCCATGGCAGTACAAGAAAAAAGCTCCCCACCCTCCTAGACACTCACTGAGGCTGCAAAACAAAACCCACATCTTACGACAACCAGATTTCCAGAGAGAAGGGAGATCTCAGAAGACCCTGCCGGAACGGTGTCATTACTCCCTGCTCACCTGGGATGGAAGAGCAGTCCTGCCAGTGGAGGGACAGGGGATGCCTGGCTCAGTGCCCTCAGATTATCAGGCAGGTGACACTGGACCAAGGCTGAATGAGTGACCTTGAAGTAAAAGATAAACGTTCAGATCTGGGGGAGGATCTGTGAAATAGGAAAGCCTTCTTGCAATGTCAGCAACACTAATCAGGCTGGGCGTGGTGGCTCCAGCCTGTAATCCCAGTTACTTAGGAAGTAGTCACAGAAAGATTATGAGTTGAAAAACAGCTTAGGTAAAGTTAAAAATTAGTGAAACTTGGGCTGGGAATGTGGCTCAGTGGTAGAGTGCTTGCCTAGCATGAATAAAGCCCTGGGTTCCATTCCTCAGTACCACATCAACAGAAAAACCCAGAAGTGGTGCCGTGGCTCAAGTGGTAGAATGCTAGCCTTGAGCCAAAGATCTTAGGGACAGTGCCCAGGCCCTGAGTTCAAACCCGAAGACTGGCAAAAAAAAAAAAATTAATGAGACTTTGTTCCAAACACAAAACACAAATAAAATGGCAAGAGGGTGGGTGGTGGAAGGCTCAAAGGCAAATGTAATTGAGAAAGTGATCTGTAATACTAAAATAAACAAAGAAACAACAAATAAAACCACTGTGAATTAATAAGTAAAGAAAAAGAGAGCAGTGCCTTTATCAGAACTGAGGTGAGTGTAAGAACAGGCAATTTGCAAACAGAACACCAAACACTAGCTGGCCACTGATGGGGCTCAGTTACGGCCTGGAAAAGCCAGTGAGCCTGGAAGCAGAGAGGGTAAGGGGGTCAGGACAAACTGTGAATTCACATTTCACTGGGTGGAAGGAGGGCTCAGGGATTGAATTAAAGCAGCAAACACACTCCTGGTGACTCAGTGATTCCTTCCCAGGCCAGGAACCAAAAGAGTCTGACACACCCATGAGGGGACACACACCACGACCCTGTGACTCATGAGGCACGCTGAGGTGGACAAAGCCCAGAGACCAGACAGTGATGCAAACACAGCTGGCACAAGCTTAGAGCTGTGGCGACCACTGAAACACAGGACGGGTCTGCAGGGAGAAGAGGACAGGTGTGCAGGGAGATAGAGTACAGATGAGCAGGGAGATGGAGGACAGGTGAACAGGGTGATGGAGCACAGGGGAGCAAGAAGATGCAGCCCAGGTGAACAGGGAGATGGAGTGCAGGTAAGCATGGAGATGGAGCACAGGATATCAGGGTCATGGAGCACAGGGGAGCAGGGAGATGGAGCACAGGGGAGCAGGGAGATGGAGCACAGGGGAGCAGGATGATGGAAGACAGGTGACCAGGGAGATGGAGCACAGGTTAGCAGGGTGATGGAGCGCAGGAGAGCAGGGAGATGGAGCGCAGGTGAGCAGTGAGATGGAGGACAGGCGAGCAGGGAGATGGAGCACAAGATGTGCAGCAAGTGGTGAGTTTTATCTCCTGCGTTTATTGCCCAGGTGCTGCTACACAGCCTTGGCTGTCCTCAGCTTTAACTCACTCTAAGTAACACCAAAGTACAGTAAACACAGGACATGAAACCTCCTCGTGGCCACCATTGCAAGGAAATGAGTGTGGACATTTCTCCCGTGTGCTAGACAGCATCTGAGCCACGCTTGAGCCCACAAGGTGGTGCTGTGGGACCACGGCCTCTGGTCCCCACGAGGTGACTGTAGGACAGCGGCCTGGGGTTCTCTCTTGGGAGTCCCCCAGTGTCCTTGACAAGGTAGGGCTGCCAGACTACTGTCTCTGGTTCCCCCTGTAAATCCCTCAGTGTCCACAAGGTGTAAGTGTTGGACTACAGCCTCTGGTTCTCCCTACGAGTCCCCCTAGTGTCCATGAGGTGGTACTGCCAGACTGCAGCCTCTGGTTCTCTCCCTGAGAGTCCTCTGAGGTTCATGAGGTGGCCGTCAGACTGCAACTTTTGATCCTCCCATGTGAGTCCCCCAGTCCCCATGAAGTGGCAGAGTCAGATCACAGCTTCTGGTTCTCTCCTGGCCCTGGTCCACACGAAGTGGCACTGTCATACTGCAGCCTCTGGCTCCCCATGCAAGTCCCCTAGTGTCCACATGATGGCGCTGTTGGACTGCAGCCTCTGGCTCCCCCTGCAAGTTCCCCCCTGGTGTCCACATGGTGGCACTGTTGGACTGAAGCCTCTGGTTCTCCCCTGCTAGCCCGCTGTGGTCCAGCAGGTGGCACTGTTGGCCCATGAGTATACACACCAACACACACAGACACAAGTTATACATACACACACATATTCACAACTCTCTACTATATAATATATATAGTATTATATGTTATACACACACATGCCTTTACTCTGAGCCATTCTCTGCAGACACTTTGGAACCACTCTGGAATCCAGGCAGATGCATATCGTCTTTATGAGCCAGGGGCTCCTGAGGGACAGCAGAGTGTCTTTGGGTCAGACCTCCCTTGGGGTAGTGATGACTCCTACTAAACAGTGATGATGGCCATAACAGCATTTCTAGAACCTTCTAGAAACAAGGACTGAAATCACCATCCACCAGGACTACTTAATGGCCATGAATCCTTGTCCTTCCTCTCTGTCGATAAAGTCAGGATTCCCTATGCTGCCCCCTCTCCCAGGGCTAGAGGAACCTCAGATTCTCTCTCCAATTCCCTTTCTTTCTCCCTTCTGGAGGGGACCCCAGATTGAGCACCCCAACCTGGGCACACCCCGGGAGGGCATTGTTGTCCCCAGCTTTGTGAGTTATCTACACTAAGTCCTCCCCACCCATGCCTCCCCTAAAGTCTTCACTGGGCCCCGGCAAGAGGCGGCCAGGATGGCAAGGGCTTGCTGGCCGCTGGCCTGGCCACCATGGGAGCTGGAGGAGGACCTGCTCCTCCAGGTCAGCATGGCCGGCGCCGCTGGGCCCCTTCCACCCCTGCCTCTGGCTGCATCTGCACTGATAACGCTGCTCACCTACCTTGACCTCAAATTCCACACAGGACACAAGCCCAGGCCTGGGGCAGCACCCACACCTCTCCCCAGCCTTCAGCTGCCCAGTCTCCTCTGCAGCACTGGCCCCCACTCATGAGCTCTGCACCCCAACCAGATCACAGTGGGCATCCATCACCCCCACCCACCCTCCTTGGCAGGGTCTATCGCCCCAGGGAAACAGAGACACTAAGAGCCAGGGACAGACAGGGCCCAAACTCGGACAGGGGGCAGAGGAGACAGACAAGGGCAGAGACAGAGAGAGAGAGGGGGAGAAAAGAAAGCAGAAATAAAGATGAACAGGGAGAGGAGGAGGAGAGAGAGAGAGAGAGGCAGAGAGAGAGAAAGGAAGAGAGGGGGAGAGGGAGAGAGAAAGAGGAGAGAGGGAAGGAGAGAGAGGGAGGGGGGAGAGAGATTCAGGCCAGAAACTGCAGAGTGACAGAGAGACCCAGGAAGAGATGGATGGAGAAGAGAGGAGGGAGGGGGGAGAATGAGAAATAATCTGAGAATGAATGAGAATGAATGAGGGGAAAGAAGAAAGGAGGAGGAGGAGCAGGAGGAGGAGGAGAGGGACGAGGAGAGGGAAGAGAGGAGAAAGAGGAGATGGAGGAGGACTAAGGGAGGAGGAGGGCAAGAGTAGAAGGTGGGGAAGAGAAAAAAGGAGAAGAGTTGGAAGAAGAGGAGGGAGGAGAGGAAGAGGAGGGGAGAGGAGGAGGAGGGGGAGGAGGAGTTGGTGGGAAAAGGAGGAGGGGGAGGAGGTCTGCTGAGCCGAGGCTGGGCGTGGGCCAAGGCTCTGGCCCCTGCTCGAAGCCCCCTGGGCCCCCTGGCGGCCGGCTGCGTCAGGCCAGCCCAGCGACGGGGTTTATAAATCCATCCGCAGCAGACACAGCAGCGGGTTCAGAGCCAGAGGCAGCCGTGAGACGCGCAGGTCCCCACCTCACGGGGAAGGTGAGTCTGCCACCCCTCGCCCCTGCCCTTGCCCTCACCCTTGGGGCTCGTTCTAGAGGACTGTCCCCAGCTCTTGTCTGGACCTGGGGCGTCTACATCTCCACCTCCCCCTGGCAGCCTCCAGTGCCCTGACTGGGGCTCGATCTTGCCTCTATCTCTTACTCTGGGAACAGATGGGGAGAGGGAGAGATGCTGTACCGCCTTCCTCCCCTCTCCTCTCCTCTCCCTCCTCTTCCTTGTCTCTCCCCTCTCTCCCTCTCTCCCTCTGCCTTCTCTCCCTCTCTCATTCTCTCTCCCTGCCATTCTCTCTCTTATTTTCTCTCTCCCTCCCTTTCTCTCTCCTTCTCCCTCTTTCATTGTCTTTCCCTCTCTCCCTCCCCTCTCTCCCTCCTCTCTTTCCTCCTCTCTCCCTAAGTCCCTCCCTCTCTCCCTCCCTCTCTCTCCCTTCTTCTCTTCCCCCCTCCCATCTGTAGGGGTGGGGGCAATGTAGGCTCCCAACCAACACCCCAAGGGTCACAAGGGGACAGAGAAGGGGGGTAAAGGTCTCCAGGTTCACCCCAGGACCCCGTTCTTATTTCCAGGTTCTGATATGATGGTCACAGCAAGAGCTCCCTGGGGCTGGCTTGTGGGGTACCTCGTCTTTGGGGTCACAGGTATGCGTGTGTGGGTGTCTGCCGAGGGTGGCCACACGTGTGATGAGGTGACGGCTGTGTGGTGTTTCTGGGTGACACGGGTTGCATCTCAGCGATCTGGGGACAGGGCCAGCTGAAGGCACCACCAGATGGGGGTCGGGGTTCCAGGGACCGCACCTTGCAGAATCTGTGCCTACTCTCTGGAGAAGAGAGGAGGGACACCCTGCCAGCCCGGTGAGCAGGGCAGGGAGGGTGGGGGTCCTGAGGGCGGGCTCCCTCCAAGCCCAGCCCCTCCTCCTGCGGTGAGCTCATCCTGGCTCCCAGACCTAAGCCCCTCCCCGTTGGGTTTTAACTCTCCCCGAGGGACCTGGCCTGACCCCCAAACCTGCCCCCACCTCTGAACTCTGTCTGGGTTGGTCACATCCCCCAAGCCCGCTCCCCTACTCAGAGGGGCCCTAAACTGTCATCTCCACCCCACACACACTCCTCCCAGACCCCTGGCTCGGCCCCACAAGGCTCTGGTCATCCCACTGCACTCACACAGGGCTCTGAAAGCCCTGGTCCTGCCTCAACCTCCCCAGATGGGGCCCAGCCCCTGCAGCCCTGACCACTGAGACTCCGCCCCTGGAGCCCTGGGCCCGCCTTCTGGGCGGGACTCAGCCTTGGCTCCACCCTGAAATCTTGACCCCGCCCTTGGAGCGCTGAGCCTGCCTTCTGGGCGGTCCCCCAGCCCAGCCCTGACCCCGCCCCCAGATCACAGCCACGCCCCCAGCCCTGACTCCGCCCCCAGGGTCCCTCGCCTCCCACAGCCACAGCCACGGCCAGATCATCAACGGGGAGGACTGCAGCCCCTACTCACAGCCCTGGCAGGCAGCTCTGTTCGCCGACGACGAATTCTTCTGCTCGGGCGTCCTGGTGCATCCGCAGTGGGTGCTGTCGGCTGCTCACTGCATACAGAGGTGGGGCAGGGAGAGGCCTGCAGGTGTCCTCAGGTGGGGCCTACGATCAGGCTCCGCCCAGCCCCCAGTGGGTGGGAACTGAGCCTGGACCAACAGAACCCAGAGGGAGGCGCCGGCAGACAGATGCTGTTGCTTAGGAAACAAGCCCTAAGCAAGACAAAATCCCAGTTTAGGGGCTGGGTCAGGTCCCAGGGGCCACCATCTGAGGGCTTCGGGTGGTGGTTGGGGAGCTCTAAGCACAGCATCCAGCTGGGAAGGGGACTTGGGGTGAAGGACAGGGTGGGGGTGCCAACGCAGCTGCAGAAGCTCTCACCCACCGCTTGGCCCTCAGCTCCTACACCATCGGGCTGGGCCTGCACAATCTGGAGGCCGAACAGGAGCCAGGCAGCAGGAAGCTTCAGGCCTCGCTCTCCATCCAGCACCCTGACTACAACCACCCCTTTCTGGCCAACGACCTGATGCTCATCAAGCTGAATGAATCCGTGGTTGAGTCCCACACCATCCGGAGTATAGCCGTGGCGACCCAGTGCCCCATCCCTGGAGAATCATGCCTGGTCTCCGGCTGGGGTCTGCTGAGGAACGGTGGGTGAGCTGGGGGGTGGGTGATCTGCCCCTCTGGGGATGGGGGACAAATCCCCCCTATCCAGCCAGGAAGGGCCTGACCCCCCAAGCTCTGGGTCCCAGGCAGACTGCCCAGCCGGCTCCAGTGCGTGAACATCTCAGTGGTGTCAGAGGAGCAGTGTAAGGAGGTCTTCTCGCCTGTGTACCACTACAGCATGTTCTGTGCCGGCGGAGGACCAGATGGCAAGGACTCCTGTAACGTGAGAGCCGAGCGAGGAGGGTGGATAAGGGGGTGGATAACGGGGTGGAAGAAACATGGGTAGAAGACACCAGGAGACATGGGTGGGGGAGGAGGAAGAGGAATGCAGAGAGGGGAAGGAAAAGAGGCAAACCCAGGGAGAGAGGAGAAGGCCTGAGGTTATATGCAGAGAGAGATGGGACCCAGACAGACAGACAAAGGAGAGACAGAGAGAGACCACCCTCAGGGGATCTGCTAGCTGTGAGGGGACAGGAGCAACACCTGAGACTTCCGAGGGGCAGGTGTGTGGCGCTGGTGTTTTGTTGTGCTGCTTGGTGCTCTGTCTTTGCCTCCCAATGTCATTGGTTCCCCTTTGATTCCACCTGTAGCGCCTGTTCTCTGTGTCTTGAGTTCTGAGACTTTCTTTTTTCTCTTTCTCTCTTCCCTCTTTCTTTCACCACAGGGTGACTCTGGGGGCCCCATCGTCTGCAACCAACACCTTCAGGGTCTCGTGTCTTTGGGACTGGACAAGTGCGGCCAGCCCAGTGTACCAAGCGTCTACACCAATCTGTGCAAGTTCACCAACTGGATAATGAAAACCATCCTGACCAGTTAGTCCAACACACCCCAGCCCAAGCCACCCCATGATGGTCCTGCTGAAGAAACCCCACCCCCTCTGCCCTCATCCAAGAACCCACACTTTTACCCACTTCCTCAAGGGGAGCCCGGACCTCTCCCCTCAGCTTTAGGCCTCTTCCCTCAGACTCAGGAGTCCTTTCCTGTACATACTGCCCCCTAGCGTCCCCATGTTGACCTGAACTTGCCACTGCAAAGTTGGTTTTTCACTAATTTTTTTTTGATCCCTTCCCATCAATAACAGAAATAAAAGTGTGAGCACAGGGTGTGTGTGTGTGCGCGCACGGCATCTTTCCTGCTTCCATTCCCACTCTCAGATTCCTACTCCCAAGTCCAGAGAGAAAATGCGGAAATATGGAAGAACAGATATCCAGACGTAGAATGAAATGTACTGTCCCAACTTCAGTTAGCAGTAGGGACAATACACCCATCTAACCCGCAAAATTTCCACTCCTGTGTACACACATGAACAAACTCATGCTACTGGGCACTGTTGCTCACACCTGTCATCCCAGCTACTCAGGAGGCTGAGGTCTCAGGATCGAGTTTCAAAGCCAGCCCAAGCAGAAAAGTCTACAAGACTCTTATCTCCAGTGAACCACTAAAAAGCCAGAAGGGAAGTTGTAGCTCAAGTGGTAGAGCTCTAGCCTTGAGTAGAAAAGTTCAGGAACAACACCCAGGCCCTATATTCTAGCCCCAGTACAAGCACAAAATAAGGAAATAAATAGCTTAACATCTATAACATTTGTGCCTAGGGATTTAGACTACATAGAAAAAATACATATATACATATATATATATATATATATACATACATACCTATGTTTGTGGGAGTATTTTTATAACAGAACTAGCCCAACAGCCTAAATAAGTAAAGTGCACAAATGAATCATGCCAGGCCCATATGATGAAATATTCAGTCACAAAAGGCAAATGAAACTTGTGCATGCTTGTCATCACAGTAATGGCAAGAAGCATAGACAGGATGATCAAAGTCCAAGCACAGGCTGGGCAAAAAGCAAGACCCTATCTCAAAAATGACCAAACCAAAAGGGGCTGGAGGCCAGGCCTCAAGTGGTAGTGTGCTTGCCTAGCAAGTGCAAAGTCCTGAGTTCAAACTCCAGTATCTCCGAAATAATAAATCAACAAAGAAATGAAATGTTGGCCATATATCTATGCTAATTGCAAGAACTCAGACACCAAGAAAAACTATGTATTGTACATAATTCCCTCAATAGAAAAACCCATAGAGTCTGACAGGCTGGTGATTTCTGAGAACAAAGGGGGATGGAGAGGGTGGAATGACTGCTCTAATGGCCCAGGCTTCCTTTGGGAGGGAAGACGACGATGTTCTGAAATTGATCATGATGGGGGTGGTTGTGGTGGTTTCAATCAGGAAGGTCCCACCAAAAAGGCTCAGAGGATGAAATCTTGGTTCCTAATATGATATTGAGCTATGACTTAACTATGTACCAGCTATGACGCTGGTACTCATTCACAGATGAGTTCATAAATCGGAGGTATTATTGGAAATTGGTGGAAACCAGGAAGTGGGGCCTAGATGGAGGAAATCGGTTGTTTGAATGTTATACCCCAAGCCCCGCCCCTCCCTCTCTGTTTCCTGGCTCCACGAGGTGAGCAGCTCAGTTTTGCCCCACCCTCCCCACAATAAAGCCCAGCCTGGCCTTGCACCTAAAGGAGCCATGAACCGAACCCTCTAACACCATGAGTCAAAATAAATCATTCCTCCCTGAACAACTCCTGAATATTCCATCACAAGGAGGAAAAGTGACAACTATCATTGCACAAGAAAATAAACATATCAAATATTGCCAATGGTAACATTTGCATCTCAGAGCAACAAAAATAGTAAAGGACAAGCACACTGGTATGATGGCTCATGCCTATAGCCCTAGAGACTGAGAAGGCAGACTGGAAGGATCACCATTTGAGATTCATCCTGACAAAAATCTTTTGAGATCCCATCTCAACAAGACAAGCCAAGCGTGATTAGATTGCAAGAAGGAGGAGGACAAGGAGAAGGAAAGCAGGGGGAGAAGGAAAAGGGGAGGAGGTAGAGGAAAAAGAAGGAGAAGGAGGAAAAGGAGAAGGAGGAGGAGGAGGAGGAGGAGGAGGAGCAGACGAAGAAGAAGAAGAAGAAGAAGAAGAGGAGGAGGAGGAGGAGGAGGAGGAGGGGAAGGGGAAGAGGAAGAGGAAGAGGAAGAAGAGGAGGAGGAGAAAGAGGAGGAAGAGAAAGAAGAGGAAGAAGAAAGAAGAAGAAGAAGAACAAGAACAAGAACAAGAAGAACAAGAACAAGAAGAACAAGAAGAAGAAGAAGAAGAAGAAGAAGAAGAAGAAGAAGAAGAAGAAGAAGAAGAAGAAGAAGAAGAAGAAGAAGAAGAAGAAGAAGGAGGGGGGAAGGGGAAGAGGAAGAGGAAGAGGAAGAAGAGGAGGAGGAGAGAACAAGAAGAAGAAGAAGAAGAAGAAGAAGAAGAAGAAGAAGAAGAAGAAGAAGAAGAAGAAGAAGAAGAAGAAGAAGAAGAAGAAGAAGAAAGAAGAAAAGCAGCAGCAGCCGGAAACATCAGAGAAGTTTGAACAAATTTGACCTCTAGTCAACAAGCAAAATCAGAATTTTACTATATGCTTACAGTTTTCCTATAAAATCTATTGAAATGTCAAAGAACATGTTAGACAGTGCTGAATACAATACTAGTGAAATGAGAGAGATGTTAGAAGAAATTACTCAAAACACACAGGGAGAAAAGAAGATAGATCATGTGAGAGGGATAGTGTGTGAGAGATAATGTGAGAGGACCTTTGGGAGGCAGATGAGACCACAGAGGGAAATTCCTCCCAGAAGGGAGAACACAGAAGAGAGGAAAACAATCCTAAAAATAATAATGATCTGCTAGAAAATATGGCTCAAGACAGTGTTCTGAGCAAGATGCTAATGAGAATCCTTGTCTAGACACAAGAAGGCACGGAGTTCCCAAAACAAAGAGAAGGTGCTGAAAGAAATAAAGAGCTAAAGGCCTAAACACCTACAAGAAAGCAATTAGGAAAGCAGCCAGACTCCCAGCAGTAATTAAGAAAGCCAGAAGAGAGGTAATGGCTACACAACCACGTTAATGCATCAAGTGCCGGCACATGTGCATTTCACAATGATTAATTTTATGCCATGTGAATTTCACTTCAATTTCTGTTTTGTTTTGCTTTCACTCTATAACCCAGGTTGGCCTCAGGCTTGAGATCCTCCTTTTTCAGCCTCCTTAGGGCTGGAATTATAGTCATGAGCCACCATGCTTGGCTACCTTCAGTTTAAAAGAAAATGGCACCTGGTGCTGTCATCCAAGCTACTCAGGAGGTTGAGGTCTGAGGATCACCATTCAAAGCCAGCCCAGGCAGTAAAGTCCCTGAGACTTGTCTCCAATGAACCACCAGAAAACCGGCAGTGGCACTGTGGCTCAAGTGGTAAAGCGCTCACCTTGAGCTGGAGCTCAGAGACAGCACCCAGGCCCAAAGTTCAGGCCCGATGACCAACAACAACAACAATAACAAAAAGGCAATATCAAAAAAAATTTAATACTGGAGAACAATAGTTTGAAAAACGGATCAGAATTAATTTGTTCTAAAGTCCATTGTTTGGGAGAACAGCGAGGCACCAAAAAATAAAATAAAAAAATGCATGGCTATGTCTGATAAGAAAAATCTAGGGTGACCACTGAAAAATTAAAACAGCTACTAAATTCCAAATGAGCAGAAAGGGGGATATGACGTTTGGGAAACCCCCATCAACTCAAATAACCAGGAAAAAGCGTGGGAAATGCACATCTTTGACAGCTAGTGGTGTGGAAGACTGTCCATCCACGCACGTGGCCAGGCGTGGATGGACAAGTCCTGCATGACCTCACCCATGTGGACCTCGGAAACATGTCGGCCCACAGACGCTGGGGTGAACGGGTTGTTACCGAGGCTGGGGAGGGTGGAGATGGGGTGGGTGGGCCACCAGAGCTGAGTTATAATTATGAGTGAGGAGCCAGGTGCGTCACGGCCAGGCCGCCGCAGATAATGACAGCAGGCTGCAGCTTTAATAAGCTGGAAGAAGGTACTTCCATCTCTAAGAGTTTAGATCTCTTTCTCTCTCTTCCTCTTTCTCCCTTCCTTCTCTCTTCTTCCTTTCTCTACCTCTGTTTTTCCTACCTCCATTCCATCTTTTAGGGGCTGCCCCCCTGCATTTGTTGCTGGCTCTGCTCCCATCTGGGTCTCCAGATTCCCTGTCTCTAACCCAGAGCTTGAAGCAGGAGGGAGGCTGTGAGCGCCATGTCCCCATCTCTGTGGACTTGTGTTTTGTCTCTGCCTTCTGGTCCCTGACTCAAAGTGCCCGAGCCCCTTGGGATGCAGGTGGCAGGAGAGGAAATCCTGGGGCTCCAAGAGGAGAATGAGATACAAGGAGATCAAGAGCGGAGTAAGGGGACAGGGCTGGAAATGGAACGGATCTGCTACCATGCCTGAATGACGCACCATCAATGTCCTCAAAGCATGATACTGCTGAGATCTGGTGGCTGACATCCTAGCTACTCAGGAGGCTGAGACCCAAGGATCACAATTCAAAGCCAGCCTGAACAGGAAAGTCAGTGCAACATTTACCTCTGATGAACCAGCAAAAAGCTGAAGTGGAGATGTGGCTCAAGTGGCAGAGCACCAGCTCTGAGCATAAAAGCTCGGGGACAATGCTCAATCCCTGAGTTCAAGCCCCAAGACTGGCACCAAAAAGAAAAAGTTGAATCACAGTAACATGTAAAAGACACACATATACAATTAAAATAAATTTAGATTAAAGTCTGCCATACAATTGTAAGACAATTTAAGATTTTCTTATTACTGATTTCTTCCCAGTCTTAGGTTTGAACTCAGGGCCTGGGCACTCTTCTTGAGCTTCTTTGGCTCAAGGCTAGTACTCTACCACTTAAGCCATAGCACCACTTCTGGCTATATTGAGGAATCAAACCCAGGGCTTCATGTATGCTAGGCAAGCACTCTACACTTTTTTTAAATTATTACTTTTATAATTTAGTCTTTTGTTGTGTGCATGTCATCACATTTTATCTTTACACTACTTAGTATCATTATCATTTAATTCCCACCTATTTGTCTTGGGATGGATCGGGTGGGTGAGATGAAGCTGGTGACCCTCACCCCTACACTGCTGCCCCTCCTCCCGCCCCCATTGGTCTCTAAACCATTCTCCCCACATGGAAACATGCTGCCTACACTGGAGCCCTCAGGGGACCCAGTCACCCCAAGTGACCTTCTAGAACCATTCAGTGGTTCACAAAGTGCCAGTCGATAAGGTGGTCCTGTCAGTCCCCCACAACACCCCCACAAAGGATCTTATCTCCAGACTCAAGACTCAGTTACCCCTTCCCCTTCTCCCCCCACCCACCCTGCCCAGCCCTAGATTCTCATTCCCTGTGCCTGAGATCAGAGCCCGGCCCTGAGGCCAAAAGCAGGGTACCTCAAGCAGATCCACAGGCTGACCCCAGGAACAGGCCATCCCCACTGCCTGACCCCTGCTGCTGCCTTCAGGATAAACAGCGCTGTCGGGGTCCAGGTGCTCATTTGGGTGGCAGCTGCGGTTGTGTTCACACCAGGACAGCAGAGAGGAGGGAATTACAGCAGAAACTGTCTGGCCCGCAAAACCAAACAGAATTACTCTCTATATTTTGATGGCAAAGGCTGCTGACATCTGGTCTAGAGCCCAGTGAAGACCCCAACCTCAGGCCCTGGAGTGAAGACACCAGACTGCTGAGCCTCATGGCTGGCCACAGACCTCAGACCAGGCTCTCCAGTCTCCTCCACAGGTCCTGACTGGGGCAGGACCCCACCACACAACCACACTACAGGGATGGCAGACATATACAGAGATGGGGCAGAGTTAGGCAGAAGGGAGGAAAAGAGAAGAGAGGGGAGGAGAGGGGAGGGGAGAGGGTGGGGACAGAGACATAAGAGAGAGGAGAGAGAGACTGAGAGGAGATGGGGAGAGAAAGAGAAAATCATATGATGCTGTCAAAAAGACCAAATAAATGAGGCACCAATGGCTCATACCTGCAATCCTAGCTACTCAGTGACAGAGAGAGAGAGAGAGGAGAGGAGGGAGGGAGAAAAAGAAGGAGGAGGAGGAGGAGGAAGAGGAGGAGGAGGAGGAGGAGGAGAAGGAGAAATAAGCCAGGCATAATGGCTCACACCTGTAATCCCAACTACTCAGGAGGCTGAGATCTGTGGATAGCAGTTCAAAGCCAGCCTAGGCAGGAAAGTCTGTGACTCTTATCTCCAACAAACTACCAGAAAACCAGAAGTGGTGCTGTGGCTCAAGTGGTAGAGCACTCGCCTTGAACTGAAGAGCTAAGGGACAGCGTCCAGGCCCAAAGCTCAAGCCCCAGGACTGGCACAAGAGAGAGACAGAGACAGAGAAGGAGAAGGAGGAGAAAGAGACAGAGACAGAGGCAGAGAGACTGGAAATAGTTTCAAAAGCAAAATGGCAAAACTAGGAAATCAGTGATAGAAGGAAGGTAGCAGAGAGAATTAGACATGAGGAAGTGGAGCATGGAGAGAAGAGGCCCTGGGGAGGTAGAGAGAGCTACTAGGGGTAGTTGTGGAGGAAGGACTTGTGGATTTCTCCGTCTTAACCCCTCCAGGGACCAGGATCTGGTTAGATTCAGGGCAGTCAGAGGAAGTGCATCCTCGGCTACTCTCACAACCGTAGACCAAAGGAACACTCTTGGTTTCACAACTTGGTGGCACCTGCCACCTAGCGGTCAGAGGTAAGAACTGCTGCTACACAGCCTCCCATCCACTGGGCAGTGTCCCAGGAAAAGAATTTTTTCCTCCAGAAAGGTCCTCAAGACTAAGAAACCACCTAGAATTCAGAGACAGGAGTTCAGAGCCAGGGTGAACACCCTACCCAGACTCTACTCCCTGGAGGGTCAGGGAAGGAAATGCTTAAGGCCCCAGAATCCCAGAATCATCCTCCCATTAATGGTGGGGTAGGAGGAGAGGCTCATGGCAGAGACCAGGTCTGATTCCTGGGGTACATCACCATACTGTCACAACGTGTGTGTGTGTGTGTGTGTGTGTGTGTGTGCGCATGCGCGCACGCACGCACGCGTTCTGGTTGTTATTGGAGCTTGAACTCATGGACTGGGCTCTTGTCTCAGTTTTTTTCTTTTATCCTCAGATCTCAGTTTCCTGAGTAGCTGCAATTACAGGCATGAGCCATTGATGCCTGGCAAGAGATGCAGTCTGGAAGGACAGAGCAGTGGGCTGTGAGAATACACCTGGGTTCTACTCAGGCCAGCAGGCCCTAGCTGCTCTCCCCAACCCTCACCCTTACCTCCAGCCTTCCATGGCCCAGCTCCACCCCCATCGACTCCCCCCATTCCAGCCAGGACAGCAAGAGCAAGCCCAGGATGGGCCTTTCCATGGAGGACTCAGCTGCTCACTGAACTCACCAAAGACACTGAGCAGAAAGTCAGGAGGGCGAGGAAGGTGGTTTGGGGAGAGTCCCTGACTGCGGACAATGGTATGGTTTGACTTCCTCCACTTTTACCTCGTGGTCCTTGTGTCCCCCTTCACTGAGCAGGAAGAATCTGCAGACAGGACGGTTTCTAAGTCCCCTTTGACCTCCCACCTCCCCCAGATTAACCTTTCCTCACCAGGATCTGCCTGCGTCATCCTGCCACCACCCACTGGGTCCTCACAGTGTCCGCCCCCCGGAGGTCTCACTGAGCCTGGACATTGGCTAGTTTGTGAGGCCCCGCCCCCACGCCTAGCTACGGCCCGCCCCAACACAACTCATCCCGCCCCACATGCGCGCCTTGCTCCACCACGCCCCCAGCTTAGCCAGCCCTCGCTCCAGCTGTCAGTCCTCCCAGGCCACGCCCACACTCCTAGCCAAGCCCCCAGGTGTCCGGCTCCCAAGCCACTCCCACATGCCTGGCCCGGACACGCCCTGTGCAGGCACTCCAGCCACGCCCACCTGCCTAGCCCTGCCCTGTGCCAGCTCAGGCCACGCCCCCAAGCTACCATCTGTTCCTGTCCACAGCCTGGTCCAGGGAGCAGGCCCCGCCCCGGGGGTGTGGCTTGCTGTCAACCCTCCGCCCCCTTTCACTTCCCCTCCCGCCACCTGCCCAGCACCTCCAGACCCCAAGGGCGTCCTCGGCTAGCCCCAAGGGTCCCAGGCTCGGTTTCCCCTTTGGTAGTCCACATCGGCACAGCCCTGTGCCCTTCCCCACCTGCCTGCCCCTGGCCAGGGCAGACTGCGATCCGCTGGATGGGCAAGGGTCTGAAAGCCAGACAAAGACAGGAGACACTGGTGTGATGCGTATTTGGCTTTACTAGGAGTGGGGAGAAGGTGGCGTTCAGGGGTTGTTGGTCATAGTGTCCTCTATCCATTGCTTGTACTTGAAAATGTTGGTGAACAAGGGCGGGCTCTCCGGGACACCACAGGGGATCATGCCCCAGGACATGATGCCTTGCAGCACCCCATTGCAGACCAGGGGGCCCCCCGAGTCTCCCTGGGAACAGGAATCAAAGACAGTGAGAAAGGTCTGTGGACCAGGCCTGAAGACAGGGTTCCAACACAGGGCGGGAGGTGTGGGGATGGGGATCCCCAGGGGAAGGCCACAGGGTCCAGCTGGAGAGGCCAGAGCAGCTGGGTGGCCCTCCCCTCCCAACTCATCTCCCAGCCCCCTTCTCCCCACCCCCACCCCCAGGAAGCTTTCTGGGACCAGGCAGAACACACAAGCCACAGGGGACACTGTGGTGTGGAAGAGGTTGCAGTGTTTGCCAGGATGGGCGTTCAGGAAGAGAGGCATTGGGGGGTGGGAGCTATGCCTGGACCCCAGTTCGGAATCTGAATCTCCTATCCCAGCCCACCCCAGGGGGCTGAAAGGTCAAACCATGATGGAGAAGTCACAGAGACCCCACGGCGGTGCCGCTTACCACACAGGTGTCTACAGCATTTTTCAAGCTCCCTGCACACAGCATGAACTCTGTCACTTCCTGGGGGTGCGCTTTTTCACAATCTTCTCTCGGCAGAAGCTGTACCTCCAGGCACTGGAGGTCATCTGGGAACTTGACTGTGGCCAGGGTGCAAAAAATGGCTGTTAGTTCCCCCACCAGGGCGTTTCCACTCTCCCTCATACCCCAAGGCTGGCTTACAATTATTTATATCCAGAATGCTCGCTCCAGTGGTGATGCTGCCCCATCCGGAGGTAATGCAGCTCATGCCTGTCTCTGCTTCCTGGGTGGGCATGACGGCGGGCTTCACAGCGTCAGTGAACTGGACCTGCTCCTTCAGGCGGAGGAGCATCAAGTCGTGGCTGTAGTCCAGTCCTGGAACACGGTGGTGTATTTCAGTATAGCTCATGTTGAAGCCTGGGTGCGGGAAGCTGCCGCTGACGTGGACGAATTGAGCCGTGGCCTCATCTGAAAACAGGTTGTGACGACCCAGCCAGACCTGGTAATTGCTGGGGGAGGGGGTAATGGAGGGAGTAAAGATGGAGGGGGAGCTGGGGCAGGGACCCTGGGGCAGGGGGTACAGAGGTCCCAACGAGAGACAGAGGCAGAGAAACGGAGGAGAAGGACATGGACATCACTAGGGAAGTTGAGTCAGCTAGGGGAAAAACAGAAGGGGAGGAAGGGTGGGAAAGGCAGAGATAGAAGATAGAGGTACAGTGGTGGAGGGTGAGAGGCAGAGGGGGACAGTGGGAATCTAGGGGACAGGAAGGAGGGGATGAGAAGGAGACAAGACAGAGGCCATGAAAGAGACAGAGGAGGAGAAGGGAGGGGAAGAGGACAGCAGAGGGAGGGGAGGGGTGAGGGGAGGAGGGCCAGGGCCCAAGTTGCCCAACCACAGCTGGGACTGGGCTGAGGGCTTCCCAGCAAGCAGGGCCTGGCCTGAAGCCCAAGGTCTGTCCCCTCCTCCAGAGCCCTGCTCCTGCACCCCTACTCCACTCTCCTCCCTCTCCTTCCTCCCTCAGTTGCTCTCACCCAGCTCCAGCCTCTCCAGGCTCCCCTGAGGCTCTGCAGGGTGGACAGAAGGGATGGGGGGAACAGAGGGAAAACCTTCCTTCTCACACAGTTGAAGAACAGCCTTTCCTTTTCTCAGGGGTGCCCAGGGGTCCACGCTGGGAGTGTGGTCAGCAAAGAGGGAAGAGGAGGACAAGTGAGGCAGAGACCCAGAGACACAGAGGGGACAGAGGCAGGGACACCACACCCAAGAGAGATGGAAGAAAGACAGACGCCCAAGGATACCATGGAGAGACAGAGGCAGACACGGGGGTGGGGGGCATGGACAGGGGGCCCACCCAGCGCTCCCTCTCACTGTCCAGCACCCCTGCAGGCCCTCCCTAGCCCCTCAGCCCCCAGCCTGGCTTGAAGGGTTCTGGAAAGTCCCTAGCTGCTTTCTCCTGGAACGGAGCTGCCTTCCTCCCCCGGCCGCGGGCTCCTACTCACTCGCTGAAGCAGTGGGCAGCTGTCAGCACCCACTGGGAGTTCAACAGGACACCCCCACACTGGATTCTGTTAAAATTGTACACAGCCACCTGCCAGGGCTGGGAATGTTTTTCACACTCTGAGCCTCCGATGATCCGTGACTGGACATGGGGCGCAGCACCTGCAAAGGGTCAGCGGAGACCTGGGTTCAGGATTTGATGCGGGAAGAAGGTGCAGGGCCTGGGCTGGGTACATGGGGATGCAGCCCCAGGTCTCAGGAAGGACCTGAGGGTCGGGGGCGGCTGGTCCTGAGTGGGAGATGAGACCCAGGAGCCTGGGCAGACGATGCCACCACAGCATCTGGGATGTGGGTCTCTGGATTGGGCTAGACGTGGTCAGCTAGGCAAGGATAGTTAGAATTCGGGGCTCCCAGGTCAAACGGCAAGGGCAAGAGCAGGGCCAAGGCTGGAAGACGGGTCCTGGAGGGGTCATGTCAGGGTGATGGGGCTATGAGAACAGACAGTGGTTGGGATGGCGGCGCATGCGCAGGGGCGCTGTGGTCGGGATGGGTGGCGCATGCGCAGAGGTCCTGAAGGGGGAGGGCGAGGGGCGCTGCTCAGGGAGATGGGGTTCATGGCCTGAGCACTAGAGAAACTTGAGGGCATTCTCAGACAAGCACAGAGAATGGGGTTGAGTCAGGCCCAACCACCAAGGAGACAGGAGAGGAGGGAGTTGGAATCACATGTTGGGGTGCCTAGGAGGGCAGCAGGAGGCCCTGGCTGGGTCCCAGAAAACCAGAGCTGTGCAGATGGGGGGCAGTATGCAGGTGGGGAGAGCCAGAGCTTGTGGAGGATGAGTTGTAGAAGGAAGGAGGGTCTGGGGGTGTTGGCTGGGGGGAGACTGGGGCTCTGCATGGAGCAGAGCGTGGGACAAGGAGGATATTTGCGGACTTCCCCATGTGAGACGGGGAGCCTTCTGGTGATCCCCACCAGTTAGTGTGGGGAGCAGGATGGTCCGCTGGATTGTGGGATGTCAGAGATGAGGTGACATCAGCCTGCGGAAGACACTGACCGCTGGGGTGGGAAAGACACTGGGTGTGCTGAGATTTGGGGGAGCCACAGGCTCAAGGGTCACAGGAAAATCAGGGGTGGCAGTGGATCCAGGGTTAGGGGTTCCTTGGAAGCATTGGCAAACTCCTAAGAGACAGACAGATGGCCCAAGCCCTCCCTTTTGCTTCTGGCTGGAGAGAGGAGAAGGTTCCAGGGCAGAGGAGCCCTGGGGGGGCGGGGGGGGGGTCGATGGTCTAGGGTGGTCTGTGGGCTGAAGTCTCAAGTAGATGAGAAAGACTTACAGGAGTGAAGATGCGGGATCCAGGACCTCAGCCCCCTCCCACAGGCCCCCCACGCTCTCACCAGTCCCCCCCAAAAACAGGATGAGGCACAGAACCAGGAGCCACATGATGGCAGAGGCGTCCAGGGGCAGGCTAGGAACTGGGAACCTTGTGGAACCTTTAAAGGCCCTCATTGTCCCTCAGAGTCCCACCCCTACCTGGTGCTGGCCAGGCCCCACCCCTACTCTGGAGGCCAATGTCGCCCCCATTCCCTCCCCACCATGGAGGAAGGACCAGTTGTCTGCAGGCCCTGTCCAGGGTCCGCCCAGGCCAGGCCTTGCTCTGGTCTGTAGAGCAATAAAGGCCAGGCAGGGGAGGACACAGAGGGTGGAGGATTAACCAACACATACACACAAACACACACACACACACACACACACACACACACACTCACATACACACACAAAGCTCCAAGTAAGGCTCCACCCCCGCCCCAAGTCCCCTCAAACAGGCAGCCAGGGCTCTCATTTCCTTTATCCTGTGGAGTTGAGATGGATCCAAGCTTCCCCTGGTGGGGCCCACGTGGGAACCACCATGATGAACCCCTCCACTCCCCTGTCTTGAACGCAGGGAATGATGGCTCATGCCTGTAGACCCAGCACCATGCTATCAGCTACAGCTGGCCACACAGAGCCCAGCCTGCCCAACACAGGGCGCTATGCAACACCACAGAACATGGGACCCTGGTGGCTTCCTCCTATGGGTCCCCACTCTCTACACTGTGGTTCATGGCACTCTGTCTCCTTGAAGCCCAGCAACACACACACACACACACACACACACACATATGCCTCAACACAAGGGCACATTTTGCATGTCCATATCAAGCCCCCATCTTCCTCCTGCAGTCATAGAGAAGTGGACCTGGAACCTGGTGGAGCCGAGGACACAGATCAGATGGGCAAGGGTCATTAAGGAAGGACGAGGGAGTTATCCTGTAGGGAAAGGTGGAACATGCATGTTGCATGGAGAGAGGTCTCCAGCAGCCTCTCCTGCTTCTCTAGAGCAATCACAACAACAACAATAACAAATGATGATGATGATGATGTATTTGTTGTGGGCTACCAAAGAGACTTAGCAAGTGGTCTTAGAAATGGTGTGCCTAGGAGAACAGCTATGTTTAAAGTTCATGACGATAAACACAATGTGTCCCTTATAACAGACACAATGTTTAATGTCCAGTATAATGGCATGAGGTATTCCTTCAGATCTAATTTGTTTGTGCTCCAGACAGCAAGATACTATCTCTCAGCAGGAGAAATCCTGGACAGGGCTGCTCGCTGCCTCCTTCCCTTGTAAGATGAACGACTCTTCATCTCTGATGCCTTACCACTGGGGCAAGTTGTTGTACGTGCGAAATCTTCCTGGAAGCTCCTGGTCTCTATTTGACCTGGGGCTGAGAGGGGCAACACGTAGTCAGCAATGCCACAGTGCCCACTGTGCCAGGAGCGGGAAAGCCTCTGGACCCAGTATCTGTTGTGCTCCACCTGTGTCTCTCAGACCATGGGATGTTACCTGATTTGTTTGCAAGTCAATAAAATCTCAAACTCTTCAAGAGTTCTTCGCAAACAGTTGGGCACTGCCAGCTGGAAATGGAGATGAGAGGCAGAAAACAAAGCTGGGTACTCAAGAAAAGCTGGATCTTGCTGGCTCCTTCTGGATTATTCCAGACAGAAACTCTTCCTACTTACTGTTAAAGAAAATTTCCCATCACCGGTTTTCCCCCCCACACCCTCATCCTGCTGCCACGGTTGGAATTACATAAATCAAGACAGCCCAGCTTCCTGGAGGGCCCAAGATAAAGGCCAAGTGTGTCCCATAGCCTGTCAGATACAGGCTACATGCACCTGCCTCAAGATCTTTGGTAGGACAACTCTCCATCTTCTATCCCAGACCTCCTCCATCCGCTTCTTACCATCTGAGTCTTCCATATGCCTTCAGTCCAGTTCCCTACAGTGCCTTCACCTTAGCAGCAAACTCTGATTTATCCATTGCCATCCAGACACTGAAATATAAGATTCTGGGTTTGATTTCCAGCAACCTCAGCCCCATGTCTATGAAACTGGAATGTTTTCTTCAGGACAGACACAGAAACTTTAACTCTTTATGCCATTGAGCTGGATTCTGAAGCTCTGAACTCATCTGTCTTCCTTCTCTCCATGTTGGCCAGAACAATTAGGAGCTACTGTCTTATCTCATTGTAGTTATTAATGTTAAAAATATCGATTTCACGGTCTTCTACATGTGACTTTCTGGATTTTGCCTCTTGTTCATTAGGACCCTCCCCGTGGTAATATTGTGTATGTCTCCATGTTTGTCATGGGTTTTCAGTGCTGATATTGTTACAGAAAACTGAGTCATGGGCTGGGAAGGTGGCTCAGTGGTAGAGTGCTTGCCTTGCATGCATGAGACCCTGGGTTCGATTCCTCAGCACCACATAAGCAAAAAGAAAAAAGCCGGAATGGCACTGTGGCTCAAGTGGTAGAGTGCTTACCCCCCAAAATTCCACCCCTGTAGCATCAATCTAAGTTGCAAAATATAGATAAGTGATGTGTGTTTCAGACATGAGGAAGAAGATTTTTTTTTTGGTTGGATGTGGGGCTTGAATTCTGGGCCTGGGTGCTGTCCCTCAGTTCTTCAGCTCAAGGCAAGCACTCTCACACTGGAGCCACAGCACCACTTCCAGTTTTCTGAGTGGTTTATTGGAGATAAGAGTCTCATGGACAGGGCTGGGAAGGTGGCTCAGTGGGAGAGCGCTTGCCTTGCATGCTCGAGGCCCTGGGTTCCATTCCTCAGCACCACATAAGCAAAAAGAAAAAAGCCGGAATGGCACTGTGGCACTGTGTCTCAAGTGGTAGAGTGCTAGCCTTGAGCTGAAGAGCTGAGGGACAGCGCCCAGGCCCAGAGTTCAGGCCCCACAACCGGACCCAAAAAAAAAAGAATCTCATGGAGTTTTCTGCCTGGGCTGGCTTTGAATTACAATCCTCAGATCTCAGCCTCCTGAGTAGCTAGGATGACAGGTGTGAACCACCAGCTCCCTGCTTGAGGAAGAATTCTTTCTTCTCCCAGAAAACTATCCTTTTTTTGTTTATAAGGCCATATCTGATTGGTTGAGTTCCTCAGACATGGAGGGCAAGGTACTTATGTGAATTGTTTTTCTGACATATCTTCAGTCTCTTTCCTTGGTTCATCTGGTTACATTTTTTTCCAATATTGATTATGTTTTCAAAGAATCAAATCTCATTGACTTCTTATGTTGTTCTTTTCTCATTTGGTTAATTTTTATCCTTCTCTTTATGATTTTTCCCAGCTACTAACATTGTGTTTGTTCTTTCTGTAAGACCTTAAAGTTCATCAATAGGTTATTTGTGAACCACTCTGATTTTTTTTTTTTTTAGGGTCAGTTGTGGGGCCTGAACTCTGGGCCTGGGCGCTGTCCCTCAGCTCTTTAGCTCTTTACCACTTGAGCCACAACACCACCTCTGGCTTTTTCTGCTTATGTGGTGCTGAGGAATTGAACCCAGGGCCTCATGCATGCGAGGCAAGCACTCTACCACTGAGCCACCCGATTTTTTTTTTAATGTAGGCACTTGTAGCTCAAAATTGTGCTCTTAGTACTGTACAAACTCTAAACTGCACAAACTTAGAACTTACATTCTGCTAAGCTGTGTATTCATTCATGTTTGATTCTGTGGAAATTTTTTACATCTCTTCCTTTATTTCTAAAATAACCCACTGACGGTTTTTGTAACTACCTTCTATTTTAATCAAAAGAAGTGTTTCAATCTTAATCCTTCTTATATACAATTTTATTGTTGTTATAGAGGTGTTGTACAGAGGAGTTACCATTTCATAAGTGGGTAATGAGTACCGTTTTTCTAACAATGTCACCCCTTCCTTTGCTTTCCCCCAGTTTTTCCCCTCCCATCCCTGCCCATAAGTCACATAGGTCATTTTTCCCATAGTGTCTACTGAATAGCATGATTGCATTTGCATTCTTGCCCCAGTGATAATTTTCTAAAAGACGCTGTTCAGTCTCACCTACATATGTAGTTTCTGTGACTTTTTGTTATTGATTTCTACTTCCATTCTGACCTGTCAAAAGATACAGGAAATTATTTCAAACTTTGCTTTATGTCTTAAAATGTGATTTGGTTCAGAGGAAGTCTATGGGCTGTTGAGAAAAACAAAAAAGATGCACCCTACAGTTGTTGGGTAAAATATTCTATAGATGTTGTTAAGTCCCTTAAGGTACAGTTTGATGGTGAAGTTTCTTGGGGTTTTTTTTCTGGACAATTCACAATTCTGGAGAATCCACAATTCTCAAGTGTTTTTCTGCTCAGTCAGTAGAAGGAGGAAGCCGGATGCTTTATCTAAGACTCATAGAGATGTGGGGAAAAGGGCATCTTCCATTCTCCTATTTCTAAGATTTCTGTGTGGTTCTTTTTTAGAATCTCTACCTCATTATTTAACAGTTATTTCATATTTTAACAGTTATTTCATATCCTGCAACATCTTCCTTAATTAATTCCCCCTTACCTCTGAATCTTATGGGGAGATCAGAACAATGGGGGAGGATTCTGTCCACACAGTGGTGAGTTCTACGGGAGGAGGCACCTCGGATGGAAAATCCTCCATCTTACAAGGAGAGGAGGCTGCACATCCCTGCCTCCTATCTCTCCAAGTAGAAGATAGTATCTTTGTTTCCTGAGCACAAACAAGTTGTGCCTGTAGGAACATATTATACCATCATACTGGACGTTAAACATTACGTCTGTTATAAGGGACACATTGTGTTTACCATGCCGAACTTTAAACACAGCTGTTCTAGTAGGCACACCATTTGTAAGACACTTGCTGCCACGCCTTCTTGATAGACAACAACAAATACGTTAGATGGTTGCTGTTGCTGCTCCTGCTGCTGCTCTGAAGTCATAAAAAAACATGAGAGGCTGGTGAAGACCTTCCTCCCAGAGCCACGCAGTGTGCGTGTTCCGCCTTTCCTACAGACAATTCACAGTTCCTACCCCAACACTCATCATCTATCTGATCTGTGTCCTCTAGCCTACCCAGTTCCTTATGATGGCAGAAGAAGGTGCAGATTTTGTGTGGATATCGTGGACTCAAGAAGTAATGGGCCAAAAGTCCAAAAGTTACACACTTTCTTTCAGGCCCGGACTTGAACCACTATCTTCTGGATCTCAGCCTTCCATGAGGCCCTTCTTTTGACTCTAATTTCTATCACTTCACTTATGGATGTTTACAGTTTGATGTTTGTATGTGTAAGACGTGAGTTAGTATTGGGTTAGGTTAGGATAGGTTAGGTTAGATTAGGTTGGATTGGATTAAGTTAGGTTGGATTGGGTTAAGTTGGTTGGGTTAAGTTAGGCTGAGTTTAGTAACATTGGGTTAAGTTGTATTGGGCTGGTTGGTTGTGTTAGGTTAAGCTGGGTTAAGTTAGGTTGAGTTGGATTCAATTGTGTTAGTTGGGTTGGGATGCGTTAGGTTAAGTTGGGTTTGGGCTGGGTTGGGCTAGTGTAGATTAAGTTCAGTTAGGGTTAATTGGGTTGGGTTGGGTTAGGTTAAATTGGGTTGGGTTAGGTTGAGCTTTTAGCTTGAGCTGGAGTTGTCCTGATGGCATTGGATTAGATGGTGTTCAGTTGAGGTGAATTGAGTTTTATACAATTGAGTGGGGTGCATTGTGATGAATGAGTTGAGTTGGGTTGATTGGTGTGGGGTTAGCTTTGGTGAGTTGAGTTGGGTTGATGGGTGTGGGGATACTTTGGTGAGTTGAGTTGGGTTGATGGGTGTGGGGATGCTTTGGTGAATTGAGTTGGGTAGATTGGTGTGAGCTGGCTTTGGTGAGTTGAGTTGGGTTGGGTTGAACTGGGCTGGGGCTGAGTTGTGGATATGGACAGTTGTGGAGATGGGACCCAGGGCCTCAGGCTGAGACTCGTCACTCCACACACCATCAATCACCTATAGGAAGATACAGCTCAGATTCCCAGGCAGAAATATCCCACAGTTTTACCCCCGTCTTCCTGGCCTCCACTTGTTAGTATCTGCATGCACTCTGGTCTTGTTCCTCATCCTAGGTAATTTTTCCTTTTTTTTTTGTAATTTGTGGAACCTGAATTCTAGGCCTGGGCACTGTGCCTCAGCTCTTCAGCTCAAGGTGAGCACTCTACCACTTGAGCCACAGCACCACTTCTGACTTTTTTCTGCTTATGTGGTGCTGAGGAATCGAACCCAAGGTCTCATGCATGCAAGGCAAGCACTCGACCACTGAGCCACCTTCCCAGTCCATCATTCTAGGTAATTTCAAAGAAGACGCTATGGAGTTCTCATGCAGCTGGAGCACATGATCTAGTTTTGAAGAAACAACTGGAATTAGCCACTTATTGAGAATCTATGACACTGTATTTCAAGAATGGGGTGAAAAGATAAAGGTCTTGTGCTTTGACTCTGTGAGGTGCAGGGATGCGGGCATCTCACAGCTTCAGTGCAAGTATTGGAGGGGGTACCAAGGTGCTATGTCTCAGGCAGCTCTCAGAGATATGTTCCCTGGCTGGCAGCGATCACAGTCTCTGTCCCCCTGGGGCTTCGCCTCTGGGAAAGCCTCCAGTGTGAGGAGTGCCCTGGAGACACCAGGTGTGCCTCGTTTCTTTGTGCCCTTCATGACATTAATGCCCAAGGGGGGTGTCCACACCCAGAACCTGGGCAGAGCCTCAGCCAGCTTCTACGCAGCCAGCGCAGCAGAGGAGGGGCCCACAAAGGATAAAAGCTTTTAAAAAGTCTCCCCAGCTCTCAGCTCAGCACCTGACTGTCCACGGACACCACCACGGCCATGTGGGTGCTGGTCCTGTGCTGGGCTCTGTCCCTGGGGAGGTCAGGTAAGCCAGAGGGAGGGAGGGAGGGAGGGAAGGCTCCCTGTGGTCCCAGGGCCCCTACCTTCTAGAAGTCTAGCCCTCTCCTGCCCACCTCCCCAGACTGGTCTCCAGCCACTTCCCCCACTCTCAGGCTCCCCCAGAAGTCCTTCCCTAGTCTCTCCACATGCTGGAACCTTGGCGGTCCTCATCCCATCACCAGGCCCCGGCTCTCTTCCCACTTGCCATGGAACTTTCTCCTCTCCCTGTGCTAACAGTTGGAGTCCCCCAACTCTTTTAACAACTCCCTCTGTTCAGAGGAATATTCTGGAACCCAGAGTATCCCCATGTGGACCTGGGCTCCTGAGGAGAGTCACAGGAACTGAGGAATTCCCACGTTGCCATGGTGACGTCTGGGGTCCTGCTCAGCCCTCAACTCTATCCTGAACTTGGAGTCCATTCAGAATCCCACCCTACAAGCCCAGGCAAATCCCTGCCCTCCCCGTCGCAAGCCCTCCCCACTGAGATCTGCAAAACCAAGTGCCCCCCAACCGTCCCCTCTTCCCAGCAGCCCTCGCTCCAACCCCTGACCTCCGGTCACAGTGTGGCTCTCCCACTCCCCTGATTCATTCTGGGCCCACAGGTGCCACGCCCCACATCCAGTCCAGGATCGTCAGAGGCTGGGAATGCCTGAAACACTCCCAGCCGTGGCAGGTGGTTCTAGTCCACTCAGGGAAGATCAAGTGTGGGGGCGTCCTGGTGAACCCCCAGTGGGTGCTCACAGCCGCCCACTGCATCCAAGAGTGAGTGGGGCCTGGGAAAGGGGGAGTGGAGGGCTGGCTTTGCCTGGATAGCCTCATGGGGGCCCAGCACCTGAGGGAGGGGACAGGCCAAGCCCCGTGGCCTGGGAGAGGCAGCTACAGTCCAGGACCATCTCCAGGACCATGCCTGGGGCTCACACGTCTCTCCTCCTCGCTGCCTCTCCGGGTCCCTTGGGGTCTGGCTCTGCCTGGGTCTTTCTACCACTGTGCTTCCATTTCTTTCTCTCCTTTCCCCATCTCAACATCACCCATCTGTCTGTCTGTGTCCGTGTCTCCTACCTGTGTCGCTACATGTGGCCTTCCCTGCATCCAGCCCCCCAACGGGTCCATGCCCATCTATCTCCCTCTAGGTCTGTTTCAGTTACTCTCCATCTCTACTTGCCAGATTCCCAGGATGGGCCCAAGAGGGACCCCAGAGAAAAGAATAAACGTCCCCAGGGAAGCCTGGGAGAGGAAGAAGAGGGAGGAGGAAGGAGAGGGAAGAAGGGCGCCCGAGGTGGGGACCCCACCTAGGACTTCAAGCCAAGCCCCACATGCTAGGAAGCCCTCAGTCCAGTCTGGCTGCAGCTGAGCAGCTCAGGCCCTGCTCCTCCTCCCTCACCCCTCCCCTCCCTACCTTTGCCCTGCTCTTCCCCTCCCTTCTCCTGCTGTGTCTCTCACATGCGCTTTGTCTCCTCACCCCCCTTCCTGCTCCCTCACCCTCCACCTCTGTAGCTCTGTTTATCTCTTTGTGCCTTTCACACCCTCCTCTCCCCTTCCTGTTAGCCCCCCACCCCTCCCCACCACCCTCACGCTGACTTGATTTCCTCAGCTGTGTCCTTCCCTCCCCCCTCCCTCTGTTTCTCCCTCACTTCCTCTCGGTCTCTCCTTGGGACCCCTCTACACCCCGGTGAGGCCCCTACCCCAGCTCCTCCTCCACCCTCACCCCCTCCATCCATTTCCCATAGCAATTACACTGCCTGGCTGGGTGGCACCAACCTGCTGGACATTGCAGAAGAGGGTCAGCACATCCCCGTCAATGCCAGCTTCCCTCACCCGCAGTACAACATGAGTCTGGTAAACAACTACACCCTAGACCACAGCCAGGACCCCAGCCAGGACCCCAGCCACGACCTGATGCTGCTGCGCCTGCTGCACCCAGCCAGGATGACCAGCGGGGTGCAGTTCCTGGAGCTGCCGCTCTTCAGGCCAGCCGAGGGGACCGTGTGCACCATGCCGGGCTGGGGCAGCATCCAGCAGGGCCCGGACACATGTAAGCGCCTCCCAGACCCTCACTCACTGGTGGAGGGGGTGGGATAGACGTATAAAATAGCCTTCGAGGTGCCCACAGCCTTTTTCCTCCCCACCCTGCAGACGTGCAAACATACAAACTGCAGTGCGTAGAGCTGCAGCTTCTCAATAACCAGTGGTGCACACACATCTACAGCAGCAAGGTGACAGACACCATGATCTGCGCCGGAGGCTTCCAGAAAGAGGGCGGAGGCCCCTGCGTGGTAAGCCGCCCCTCATGTCCTCAGCACCCACCTACCCCATCCCTGGCACACCTCACTGCCCCACCCCTCCATCCAGCACGTCACCATTACTGATCACACTCACGGTGCTGTCCCAGGTCCTGATCCATTCTGATGGGAACACAGAGAGAAACAGGGAGCTCACCACAGACATGGAGCAGTTCAGGGGGTGACAGTTAAGGGGCAGGGAAGAACCAAAGCAGTGGAAAGGAGGCACCGCAGGCCTGGGTACCCAGGGAGAGGGCCAGAGGGCAAGGGGCAGCTGGGGGCCCGCACAACTGGGTCAGGGGGCAGAAGGGGCAGAGAAAGTGAGTAGGGGCCGAGGCAGGGCAAGGCCCAGGTCTGGGCTCGCCTGTGCCCTCTGGTGGTGGTGTGGGGACCAGGCTGCAGGAAGCAAGGGCTGGAGGGAGGGCAACAGTGCTGCCCTGGCTCCCCCATCCCTGATGAAGCCCCGTTGGGGTTTTTTGTTTGTTTTTAGCCAGTTGTGAGGCTTGAACTCAGGCCCTGTCCCTGACCTCTTTTTTTTGCTCAAAGATAGCCCTCTACCACTTTGAGTTACAGCCCCACTTCTGGTTTTCTGGTGGTTCATTGGCAATAAGAGTCTCACTGACTTTCCTGCCCAGGCTGGCTTTCAACCATGATCTTCAGATCTTAGCTTCCTCAGTAGCTAGGATTACAGGCATGAGCCACCAGCGCCTGGCTAGGAGCTGGGTTTTGATGTCTCCTCCCAATGAGGAGGACCCTCTGCCAGAACCCCATCTTCTTGCTCTGGAGGGGCAATGTCTGAATGTGTACTCGCTCTCTCTCTCTCTCTCTCTCTCTCTCTCTCTCCCTTCCCCCACCTCCCAGGGTGACTCTGGAGGACCGTTGGTCTGCAATGGCGTGATCCAAGGGGTAGCATCGTGGGGCCTTTCCAAGTGTGGCGTCTTTGGCTACCCGGGCATCTTCACCCGAGTGCAATCATATGTGAAGTGGATCGTAGACACCATGGAGGCCAATCCTTAAGTCCCACCTTGCCCATCCACCATTAAAACAGAATGTTAGCAAGCTCTGATATCCTCTGGTGTGTGGCTATGTCCTGGTCCTGGGGCTAGAACTCAAGGCCTGGGTGTTGTTCCTGAGCTATTTTTGCTGCAGAAGGGCTGAGTAGCAGCTGGATGAACCCTAAAACTAAAGAATGTGCCCACCAATGCTTACGTGGTGTCTCAGAAAGGGAGGAGAAAGAGATAGTGAGAGAAAAGAGAGAGGGGGGATGGAGGGAGGGAAGGAGGAAGGGAGAGGGGGAAGGAGGGAAGGAGGAAGGGAGGGAGGGAGGGAAGGAGGACATCTCAGCTCATGCTGACCTGGGAACAACGAGAAAAGGAGACTGAAGAGATAGGGACCACAGAAGGGCACAAGCAGCTGTGAGCTGGGAAGAGCTGTGGTCCCACATCTGGAGCCAGCGGTCTGCCCGTGGGATTCTTGGTGTGCATTTCCCCCACAGGACACCATAGGCAGAGACAGTGGTCATTTCTCTGTGAGGCATCTGAGTGCAAGTTTGCTGTCCCCACACTGAGATGAGCTGAGTCCTCCAGGATAAGGCAGGACACAGCCTCACCCAGGACCCCACCAATCTAACTCACAGCCCTGTGTGCCATAGCCTTACCCTCAGGCCCCTCAGCCGCCGCCTCTTATATCCCTTCCTCTGCACCACTCACTGCTGCCTCTACGTCCCCCTCTCCCTTCTCCCCCTCTCCCTCTCTCCCCCTCACTCCCTCTTTTCCCTCTCCCCTGGCATTCAGCACACATGGTCTCCACTGCTCTGTGTCAGGACCAAAGAACACTAGGCAGGGGACTGCGTGGAACCCTGAGATTTTATTATATGTGGAACCCTACAATTTTATTGTGAGAAAACAAACAGATTTGTGGGACTAGATTCTGGGTGTGAGAGTACGAGAATCAGAGTGCTCTGAATGTTTGAAAAGAACACATGAGCAGGGTGCCGATGGCTCACGCCCATAAACCTAGCTACTCAGGAGACTGAGATCTGAGGATAGTGGTTCAAAGCCAGCCCGGGCAGGAAAGGGCATGAGACTCATCTCCAAAAAACCACTCAGAAAACCAGAAGTGGCACTGTGGCTCAAGTGGTAGAGTGCTTGCCTTGAGCTGAAGAGCTGAGGGACAGCGCCTAGGCCCACAGTTCAAGCCCCACAACCAACACACACACACACATACACACACACACACACACACACACACACATGAACCAAGCCCATGGTGCTGACAGCTCAGAGGACACTGGGTCTTGAGAGGTGAAGAATTTGCTTGAGATTTAGGCACATGAGACTTTGTCTTCAGGGTCACGCTCTCTTGTCTAGCTCTAAACTTAAACGGAGGAGCCCTGAGCCACGGGCCCTGCCCCTGGGATTCGTCCAGCTGTATCCACAGAACAAGGAGTGCTAGGTTCTCCTCCTCCCTTGGCACAGCTCTTGGCGGAAGATGGCCAGGCCGAAGCAGCTCTGGCAGGACGCTGGCCAGCCTCGGGGTGCCAGCCAAGCAGGGGCAGGGTCCTGGGGCAGGGAAGGGCTTATAAGTCTCCTCTGGGAAGCTACTCAGCTCAGAGCTCGCCTCCTGCCCGGACACCTCTAATCACCATGTGGTTCTCGACTCTGTGTGTCATTCTGTCCCTGGGGAAGACTGGTGAGACAATGGGAACACAGGAGGGGGGGCCCTGGCACTCACTCTGCCCTCACCCCGAAGTCCTTCCCTCTATCTACCCTAGCCTCGCCCCTCCCACCCACTGCCCATCTTAGATCAGGTGCCAGGCTTGTGCATGTATCTCCCAACAGTCTATACTGCCAAACCTTCCCCAGCCCTCCCAGGAACTCCAGAACTTTCTTTCCTTTGGGCTACCAGTCACTTCATTAAAAGGGACCAAGTTGGAAGTCATCTTTGTCCTTGTGGGGCTCAAATCTTCCCAGACTAGGTGCAGGTGGCTCACACCTGTCATCCGAGCTATTCAAGGGGCTGAGATCTAAGGATCGGGGTTCCAAGTCAGCCTGAGCAGGAAAGTCCATGAGACTCTCATCTCCAATTAACTAGAAAAAAAGTTGAAAACAGAGCAGGGGCTCAAGTGGGTACAGCACCAGCCTTGAGCAAAATATCTACAGGATAGTGCCCAAGCTGAGTTCAAGCCCCAGTACTGGCACCAAAATAAAATAAAATAAAATCATGCCAGGACTGCCCTTAATCCTGCCAAGTTCTGCTGATCTTTCCCATGCGTGTGAGATTCTTAATTAACACTGGCTTGGAACGTACTATCCAGCTTCCAGTCTACCCCTTGGAAAACCCAGATCCTGCCAAACCCTTTCATCTTCCAAGAGTCATGGGATCTGCCAAAATCACAGCCCCTCTCAGCTGGCCATGAGACTCTTTGCCCCAGATCCTTCACAAACTGCCAGCCTGTGATCCCAGCACCTGAGAAACTGAGGCAGGAGAATCAAGGCCAAACTGGACCATATAGCATGACCCATCTCTGAAACAAAAACTAAAAACAAAACTCCTACACAGCCTCCCCTGCCTGTGTTCTGGGTGCCCACATCTTCCCCCACAAAAACTCTTTCTCACCGGGTGCTGGTAGCTCACACCTGTAATCCTAGCTACCCAGGAGGCCAAGATCTGAGGATAGTGGTTCAAAGCCAGCCCAGGCCGGAAAGTCCATGAGACCAATTAACCACCAGAAAACCAGAAGTGGCATGTGGTTCAAGCAGTAGAGTACTCGCCTTGAGCTAAAGAGCTGAGGGACAGTGCCCAGGCCCAGAGTTCAAGCCCCATGACCAACAACAACAACAACAAAAACCAAAACTATAAAGTCTCCCTCATTGGAACAGCCAGGAACCCACAAACACAGCAACTATCCAAATTCTGGGTCCTTTCCATCATCCTGTCCACAGCCAGTAATTGCCGCCCTGGTCCCTCACTCCCATATCCTTCCAAACCCACAGCTCTTCTCCCAGTCCAGTCCCCCCAGCCCTGCCAACTCTGGGTCCCCTTCTGCAGGTGCCGCGCCCTTCATCCAGTCCCGGGTCATAGGAGGCTGGGAGTGTGAGCGGCATTCCCAGCCCTGGCAAGTGGCTGTGTCTCACCATGGCCTGGCAGTGTGTGGGGGAGTCCTGGTGCACCCCCAGTGGGTGCTCACGGCTGCCCACTGCATCAAAGAGTGAGTAGAAGGCTGGGGGCATGGCTCAGGAGCACAGCACAGCCTCAGAAGCCTCCCAAAAATGACCAGGACCAAGGGACCTAGAGGAATAAGTTGGCAGTTCCCTGGGTGAGCTCATGTGAAGCTGGGGTGAGAGGGAAAGGGGGTGCTAAGCCAGGTGGGTCAGGGACAGGCTGAGCTGGATCTCCAGGTCCCTGGGTCTCTGGGTGTGTCTTCAGCGCTGTGCTTTTGGTTGACATCCTCCTTTTTTGGTCTGTATCCTTCTATCTCTGGATGACTCTGGTCTCTATCTCTGTATATGTCTTGGCATTTCTGTGGTCTTCTATCACTGTGTCCTCTCTTGTCTCTCTCTGTCTCCCTTCTCCTCATTCCTTTTTCCCTCTCTGCTGACTACACTCCCAGCGTGGACCCCAGGGCACCCCTGAGAAAAGGAAACCCCAACTGCGTGAGAGGGAAGGTTTTCCTCTGCCACCCCCACCCACCCCCACCATCCCTTCTGTCCACCCTGTAGAGCCCCAGGGGATCCTGGAGAGGCTGGAGCTGGGTGGGCGCAACTGAAGGGGGAGGAAGAAGAGGGAGGAGAGTGGAGTAGGGGTGCAGGAGGAGAGGAGCAGGGCGCTGGAAAAGGGGACCAGCCTCAGGCTTCAGGCCAGGCCCTGCCTGCTGGGAAGCCCTCAGCTCAGTCCATACTGGGCATCTCAGGCCCTGGCCCTCCTCCCCTCGCCTCTCCCCTCCCTCTGCTGTCCTGCTTTTCCCCTCCCTTCTCCTCTATCTTTCTCATGGCCTCTGCCTTGTCTCTTTTTCACCCCCTCCTTCCTGCCCCCTAGGTTCCCATTATCCCCCTCTGCCTCTCACTTCCCCTAGCCTCTCTCCTATGTTTATCTCTGTATGTATGTGTCTTTCACACCAACGCCCGGCTTACACGATTTTCCCAGATGTGTCTTCCCCCTCTTTTCTTTTTTCTTTTCTTTCTTTCCTTCCTTCCACCTTCCTTTCTTTCTTTCTGTCTTTCGTTCTTTCCTTTATTCTTTCCTTCTTTCTGCCAGTCCTGGGGCTTGAACTCAGGGCCCAGGCACTGTCCCTGAGCTTCTTTTGTTCAGGCTAACTGAACCACAGATCCATTTCCAGCCTTTGTGTATGTGGTACTAAGGAATCAAACCCAGGGCTTCATGCATGCTCAACAGGCACTCTACCACGAAGCCACATTCCCAGCCCGTCCCTGTTTCTCACCGACTCTCCCTGGGACCCTCCTGGCACCCCTGCCCCATCTCCCCACGCCTTCCCTTACCCCTGCTCCTCCTCGCAGCACTAGCCAGGTCTGGCTGGGTCGCCACAACCTGTTGGAGGATGAAGACTCGGCGCAGCGCGTCGCAGTCAGACACAGTTTTCCACACCCGCTGTACGACATGAGCCTCCTGGAGGGCAGAGACCCGGGCTCAGACTCCGACGGCAGCCACGACCTGATGCTGCTCCGCCTGTCGGCGCCTGCCAACATCACCGACGCCGTCCAGGTCCTGGGCCTGCCCACCGAGGAGCCCTCGCTAGGGAGCACCTGCTTCGCCTCAGGCTGGGGCAGCATCCATCCCCAAATATGTGCGCCTGCCCCCCACCCGGCCACCTAGATCTGAGACCTGGAGACACTGCGGGGGGGCGGGACTGGCGGCTAGGGGCGGGGCCACAGCAGGAGGTGGGACTGGTAACGAGGGACAGGGTCACTGCGAGGGTGGGGCTGGTGGCGAGGGGTGGGGCCACCGCATGGGCGTGGCTGGTGACGAGGGCGAGGCCATCAAGTGGGCGGGGCTAGTGGTGAGGGGCCTTGTCACATAAGGTTCGGGGACCGATGAGCAAGCAGGGCTGGTGGAGAGGATAGAGCTCAAGGAGAGGGGCGTGGCTAGTGATGAGGGTGGGACTAATGATAAGGGGCGAGGCTAGTGGTGAAGGATGGGATCAATGGTGAGGGGCGGGACCAAGGGTGAGGGCGGGACCAATGGGGAGAGGAGGGTCCGATGGGTGTGGCCTGCAGCAGAGGGCGGAGCCTGCCGTGAGGGGCGGGCTCAGTGTGGGGCCGTGGTCCAAAGAGTCCACACTGCAGCCGTCTTTCTCCCTGGCCCTCAGCCTTGTTCCCCAAGACCTTGCAGTGCGTAGACCTCAGACTCTTCTCCAACGGCATATGTGAAGAAGTCTATTCCGAGAAGGTGACGGAGTTCATGCTGTGTGCTGGGCGCTTGAAAGGCGGCAAGGACACCTGTATAGTGAGCCAGGCCCCTCTCCCCCACCCGGCCCATGATCTTGAGGGGAACAGAGTGAGGGCACCCTAATTCTTTGCTGGACCTGAGGCCAGCCCACTGTCTTGGAGTAAATGCTCTCCGGGGGTACCCCTCCCCACGAAGTTCCCCTCCCACTGCGCCCTCCCTCACCTCCCTCCCTCCAGCTACTCTCTCTCTCTCTCTCTCTCTCTCTCTCTCTCTCTCTCTCTCTCTCTCTCTCTCTCATGTAACGGCTCACTCCTTCCGGAACTGAGCTTGGGAGACATTCCTGTGGTCCCCATATACCCAGGTGATCGGTCAGGTCTGATGGATGGGGGTTCCCGGGGCAGATACTGGGGCTCACCTCCTCACTCTGTCTCTGTCGCTTTGACCCTCAGGGTGACTCAGGGGGTCCACTCATCTGTAATGGCATGCTGCAAGGTCTCACATCGTGGGGTGGCGACCCCTGTGCCTTGCCTAGACGGCCTGCCTTGTACACCAAGCTGATGCCCTACCGCAAGTGGATCGAGGACATCATGATAGCCAACCCCTGAGTGGCCTTGCCGGGCACCCCCTAGGAAAATGGAGCCCCTACCAAGTTGTGGCATCTTCCCACCCTTCTAGACTCCAGGTCCCTGGAAGGCTCAGAGCTCAGCTCATCAAAACCTGAGACTACTGGGCGCTGCTGGTTCATACCTATAATCCTAGCTACTCGGGAGGCTGAGATTTGAGGATCACGGTTGGAAGCCAGCCTGTGCAGCAAAGTTTTATCTCCCATTAACCACCAAAAAGCCACAAGTGGAAGTGTGGCTCAAGTGGTAGCTACTGTGTCATCAGGTAGATTCAACACACTGTCCAGCCATGTAGAGAAGTCCTATGGTCTTTTTTGCTTTGGATTGGGTCAGTACATCATGCCCCTACCAAGACCCACTAAACCTGCTGTCCCTGCCCAAGGCCTATCCCTCCTTCAGGGACCATGGACTGTAGACCCTATCCCTCCTTCAGGGACCATGGACTGTAGACCCTAGCCTTCCTCCCTCAGACCCAAGGCTCTAGGCCCATCCTTCCTCCCTCACATGGACGAACAAGCATACTTTGGTGCCATCTTGTGGTAGGATTCCTCCAGGACAGCAGAAAGAGATTTTCTACTTCTTGACTCCTAGCACAACCTAAGGGTTAAAGTCTGGACTCAGTACACTGCCACCTATCTATGTTCTCTACCTGTGCCTCAATTTACCCATCTGTGAACTGGGGTTTGCTTTGTTAACTCTGCTTTGTTGGTACTTGGGTTTGAAATCAAGGCCCAGCTCTTGCTAGGCAGATGCTCTACCACTTGAATCACAACACCTGGCAAAACTGGAGTCTTGATAAAGCACTCTGGGAAATTCAGAAAAGTCACCACATCTGAATAATCTGGAAATGAGGCGTCTTCCGATGCTCCATCTTCTGTCTGAGAAAGGCGATGTTCCTTGCCCAATTTCTGTACCTGGGGAACCAGGACTAGAATCAGCTCAATGCTGAGAACTAGCGCTCAGGAACTTTTGCCTCAAAATGCCACTATAGCTAGACTCAGTACTGGTGCACCCACGTGCGTTCGCGCGCACACACACACACACACACACACACACACACACAACCCTATTGACCTAGTCTGCCAGAATGTGTTAGAGGCTACAAATACCAAAGTCTGTTATTCTAGAAATACAGAGATCCTGTTGTTCTCACCCCAGTCAGGAAGGTATTTTCCATGAAGATGACGATGACTTTGCAGACCCAGGGTGGGGCAGGCTTATGACACGTTTCGTCCTTTGCTAGAAGGCCCCAGAACAGTCCCTCCCATGCTTGGACCCTCTCATTAGTCAGACATCTAGACAATTGCTTCAAGGTCTCTGGGGTTCTGAGACTCCAGAAGCCAAACTTAAATACCTGAGACCTTGGATCATCTTTGTGATGATCTGCAGGCTCCAGAATTCAAACTCCAGATTCCAGCTTCAGAATCCAGAATCAAGGCTGTAGGATCCACAAGACTTGAGCATAAATCTATACTCTACATGCAAGATCCTGGAAGCCCAGAAGCTTGGAAGTCAGGCCTATTTTCTGGTCCAGCCTCTTTTTTTTTTGGTCAGTCTTGGGGCTTGAACTCAGGGCCTGGGCACTGTCCCTGAGCTTGTTTTTCTCAAGGCTAGCACTCTACCAATTGAGCCACAGCATCCTTTCTGGTTTTTTTCTATGTATGTGGTACTGAGGAATTGAACCCAGGGCTTCATGCATGCTAAGCAAGCACTCTACCACTGAGCCACATTCCCAGCCCTGGTCCAGCCTTTTAGATGTGCAATGTAGATTTGAAATTCCAGACCCGGCACTCTGAACGTGAGTCTAGACCTAGATGCCAGAATCCACATGCCAAAATCCAAAACCCAAAATTCAGCTGGGTGCCAGTGGCTCACACCTGTAATCCTAGCTTCTCAGAAGGCTGAGATCTGGTGACATGATGACATCATGATGATGACATGGTTCCTGCCTGGCCAGAAAAGTTCATGGGGCTTTTGTTTTTCTTTTGCCAGTCCTGGGGCCTGGGGATTGTCCCTGAGCTTCTTTTTTTCTCAAGGCTAGCACACTACCACTTGAGCCACAACACCACTTCTGGCTTTTTCCATATATGTGGTCCTGAGGAATTGAACCCAGGGCTTCGTGCATGCTAGGCAAGCACTCTACCACTAAACCACATTCGCAGCCCTCATGATACTCTTATTCCAATTAACCAGCAAAATTAAAAAGTCAGAAGTGGAGCTGTGGCTCAAATGGTAGAGCTTCAGCCAGTCTTAAACAACAAAGCTAAGGGACAGCACCCATAACCTAAGTTTAAGCCTCAGTACACACACCCACACTCACACACACATACACACACACACACACACACACACCTCACACACACAATCCAAAATCTAGTGTTTGTACTGCAGACCTAAGGAAATACAAAAGTTCTGACCTTAAATGCCAAATTCCAAACACCAGCCCTGGTGTTTTGTTTTGTTTTTTTTTGTGGCCAGGACTTCAAATTTGAACTCAGTCTCATGCTTGCAAAGCAAGCCTTCTGCTTTTAGGGTTTGGGGTTTTGGGGTGTTGTTTTGTTTTGCTCATGTGGCTTGAACTCAGGGCCTGGGCACTGTTCTTAGCTCTTTGCTCAAGGCTAGCACTCTATCATTTTGAGTTACAGCACCAATTACAGTTTTCTGATGGTTAACTGGAGATAAGAGTCTCACAGACTGCCTGGGCTGGCTTTGAACTGTGGTCCTCAGATATCAGTCTCCTGAGTAGCTAGGATTATAGGCATGAGCCACCCAGGGCCCAGATGGTTTTGTTGTTGGTGGTGGTGGTGGTGGTGGTGGTAGTGGGTTGTTTTTTTTTTTGGGTCCGGTCGTGGGCCTGAACTCTGGGCCTGGGCTCTGTCCCTCAGCTCTTCAGCTCAAGGCTAGCGCTCTACCACTTGAGCCACAGCGCCACTTCTGGCTTTTTTCTTTTTGCTTATGTGGTGCTGAGGAATTGAACCCAGGGCCTCTGGCATGCAAGGCAAGCGCTCTACCACTGAGCCATCTTCCCAGCCCTGTTTTTTCTTTTTTTTTAAGATAAAGTCTCATAGTTTTACCTGGTGTTGATGTTGGAACACAATCCTCTCTCTGCCTCGGAATAGCTGGGGTTATAGGTGTTCACCATCACACCTGGCCCAAGTCTGGCTTTTAAATGTGAAGGCCCGGGATCCAGAATCCAGTCTGACTCAAAGACGATACAAAGGCCTCATCCCCCTGGGACTGGAGATATGACTCAGTGGTAAAGTGCTCACCTAGCATGCCTGAAGTCCTGGGTTCAATTCCTCAGTACCACATACACAGAAAAAGCTGGAAGTAAAGCTGTGGCTCAATTGGTAGAGTGCCAGCCTTGAGCAAAAGAAACTCAGGGACAGTGCCCAGGCCCTGAGTTCAAGCTCCAAGACTGGCAAAAAAAAAAAAAGCCCCACCCCAAGATCCAGACTCCAGACCTCCAAAAAACCCAGAGTACACAGACTTCAGGTCATCAATACCAAACACAAATCCAGAACCCATGATCCAGATGCAGAATACAAGTACCAGAACTCCTCATCAGAGAAGCAACAGGAAGACTGCAGTTCCCATAGGTTTACACCCCAAATCCCAACCTCTGTATTTTGCCATCCTCCAATTTTCTGCCCTGGGCTCCCCCACCCCTGCCTTGGGTGCACTGGGCCCTGGGGAGGAGCTCCTGACAGACTCACACAATAGCTTCATTCTAATAAACGCTCATTAGACCAAGTCCCCCGCCCCACCAGCCACCCCAGCGTCCTGCCCATAAAGCCAGCTCTGAGCCACCTCCCACCCCACCCCACCCCATCCCCAGACCCAGGAGGGGCTGAGAGCTTATAAAGGCAGGCTCTCCAGTGACCATGCCCTCTCCTGACATCTGAGTGCTCCGAGAAGCTGCTGGAGGATCTGGAGGGGGTGAGAACTTTGAGAAAGCACTTGGAAGGGGGTGGTGAGGGGAAACTAGGGAGCGGGGCGGGGAGAGGGTAGGGGGAAAAAGTGTCAAGGGCACATGGTAGGCCCAGGTGTCCTTTGCTGTGGCTACAGGTTGAATCAGAACTAAGAAAATGTCTTGGAAGTTGCCAGGAGCCCTAAAAGGGGGAGGAGGGAGAGGAGGGACCAGAAGGGTGACCCTGAAGACACACGTCCTAGAACCAAGGACATGGTCATGAGCGATCCTGGTTCGAGTCGGTTCAGAAGCAGCCTGAGGCTTCCTGCGTGCCAGGCCTCAAGCCAGGCAGTGCTGGGGACACAGAAGACATGACTGAACTCCAGGGCCCTCGATGGGGGAGCAGGAAGAAGCCCAGCCTCGGCGTGTGTGGGGAACTGTGGTCCATCAGAGGCAAGACAGGCCCTGGAGGAGATCCAGAAGGCTCGTAAGAGTGGGGCCAGGCCTCACAGGACAAACACAGATTCAGGGAATGGAGAGGACACTAACTCACTCCCCAGATCTCCCACCTGCCAGGTCCTGAGGCAGTAGAACTAGGAAATGCAAGTCCAGTCAGAGCAGGCCTGCCCAGAGCGGGCTCCTGGTCTGACAGAAGGGGGCGAGTGCGGGGAGTAGCAGGGGACACAGACAGCACTGTGGGTGAGGAAAGGCCTCTCAAGGAGGATGTGGCCTAACCTAGTAGGTTAGCTGCAGGCGTGAGGTCACAAGGAGGAAACAGTAGCAGTGGCCTAGTCCAAAAGGAAAAGGTCCTGAAAACTGGAGGTCGACAATTGACTCATGGCCCTGAATTGGGTGGGTGGGGGGACCAAAGGCTGAAACTCCATCCCAGGGCCATTAGGGATCCTGAGCAGGCTGGGTGTAGGGGGCAGCTCTGGGTTAGAAAGACCCCCTCGGAGGGCTGGAGTGGAGAACAGGGTAGGGAACACCTGGAGACTGGGTAAGAGGCTGAGACAGGGTCTGAGCCAGGGCTCTGAGGCTTTTGCCAGTGACTGAGGTGAGACAGGCTGGGGGATCCCTGGGTCTTCCAGGTGCCTAGAGATCAGTGGAGTCTTCCTGAGATGGAGATCCTGGGGAAACAGTAAGCAGGGGCTGTGGGAGAGGGAGGAAGGCGTGGTAAGAAGAAATTTTGTGGGTATGCGCACATCAGTCCTGAGACTTGAACCCAGGACCTGTGTGCAACTGTTCCTGAGCTTTTATGTTCAAGGCTGGCACTCTACCACTCGAATCACAGCTGTACTTCTGACTATTCGGTGGTCAATTAAAGATAAGAGTCTCAAGGAGTGTCCTGCCCAGGGTTGGCTTTGAATGGTGATCCTCAGCTCCCAGCTTCCTGAGTAGCTAGGGTGACAGCTGGGAACCCCAGCAGCCTGGCTAAGAAGTTTCTTAAGTAGGAAGCCCAGGGGGTGAGTTGGGATCTAGAAGGACCATAATGGGACACAGGGGTCCCAGACTCACCCCAGCTTTCACTCTGTCTCCAGATCTCAGCGGAGCCTGGCCCCTCCTCCACAATGTGGCTTCTCGCCTTCTTCCTGCTGGCATCTGCAGGTGATGGGGTCTGTGGGAGGCTGGTGCCCTTCAGAATGGGTCCTGGGACCTGTCAGGCCTCATCTTACACAGAGACCACTTAATGGTCCCACCTCCATCAGCCCCCGCCAGCTACCTACCACCACCTCTCATCCATACTCTCCCCCCACCCCCAGCCACCTGACCAGCATCCTGGGCTCTAGAGGTGACACCTGAGGCCTCTCCCTGCCTGTGACAGTGAACACCAACCTGAGATTGAATCCTGAGTTTGCCCCTTTCTTACTGTGTGTCCTTAAGGAGACCACTTCAGTTCTCTGGGCCTTCTGTGTGTCAGACAGCCCCTAACCCAGACAGCGACAGCAAGATTCCATTAATGTCACCGCAAGCATTGAGCGAGGGTAGCCTCCAGGTGCATGCGATGCACATCTGTCACCCCAGCCACACAGAAGGCGGAGATCTGAAGGTCGCATCCTGAAGCCAGCCTGGGCAGGAGAACTCTTACTTCCAATTAATCACCAAAAACTCAGAAGTGGAGCTGTGGTTCAAATGGTAGAACACCAGCCTTGAGTGAAAAAGCTAAGGATAGGGCCCAAGTCCCTGAATTCCAACCCCAGCACTGGTGTGTGCGCACGTGCACACACATACACACACACACACACACACACACACACACACACACACAAAGGTGGTGAAACAACAGTGCAGACTCTAGGTTCAAATCCTGCTTCTGCCACTTTCCAGTTCCTTAACATCTCTCTGCCAAACTATATGTCAGAGATGCCAGCAATTCTCTTACCCATTAGTGTGAGTTTAGTGCGTAAGCACCATGGGGCACTTAGAATGTGCTAGAAAAGCATCACTCATTCACACCACTTCCTAGCTGCTGTGGTTCACACAGGGGGATGACCACAAATTCAAGGTCACCCAGATGGCTGGACTGCAGCTCCATGCACTGCCACTCCCCCAGGGAGAAATTACATGTAACCCGATGCCTGAGCCCTGAGTGGAGGAGGAAGATATTCACTACCCGCCCCCCCACGGCCAACCTGCACATGACCCTGGTTCCCCCTGGGGCCTTCAGACCTCCCCTCTGCCACCAGCACCCCTGGGGCCATCCCCATACCCTTTCCTCCTTGCCCCCCACCTGCCTGCTGCACCCAGCTGAGGCCTCTACCTTTCTCCAGCTTGGACTGGCCAGGTGCAGACCGGTCCCAGCTGCTGGCCCGCGCCCTCCTCCAGAGGACGCCTCGCCCTTCCTCTCTTAAGCCCCTTGGCCACACATCCGCATTCCCCCGGCCTCCAGTTCCTGACCTTGGTGGGCAGAGTAGGAGTATTGGGTACCAGAATAGCCCCATGGACCACTTTGAACCTCCAGGGGATGGTAGGGGGGGTCCCATCTACACTGCACCATGCAGGGGGGCTGTGGGTCTGGAGACCTGGAAAAAAAACAAGCAAACAAAACCTGATTATGTCCTTTGGCACGATGCCCTCCCATGTGGAGGTAGATGATCTGGAGATGGGTGACAGCGTCCTGTTGCAAGGCTGTGTCTGCTGCTATGTGTCTGTCTGCTGCATGGAGGCCGATCTGGGGAGGGGAAGGTGTGGGCCTTCTAAGTTGATGTCTGGAGGGTGTGTGTGTGCATGTGAGAGAGAGAGAGAGAGAGAGAGGTGGGGGTTGTTCTGGGGCTTGAGCTCAGGACCTGGGCGCTGTCCCTAAGTTTCCCTCCTCGAGGTTGGTGCTCTACCTCTTGAGCCACAGCTCCACGTCTAGCTTTTTGGTCCTTCATTGGAGATGAAAAGCCCACAGACTTTCCTGCCCAAGGCTGGCTTTGAACCTTGGTGCTCAGATCTCGGCCACCTGCATAGCTAGAATGCCAGGCGTGAGCCACCAGCACTGGGTTCTGGATCTTTAATGATGACAAAATGGCTTGTGGATGAATCACATTTTTGACCTTGACCCTGTGTCTGGGTCTGTGTGGACATCTGCCTTCCTTTGGCCATCTGTGTGTCTACAGGCTGCCCATCCCCATAAAGTCCCCCATAAATAAATAAACCCACTAAATAAGCTATGCTAATTAAGCAATCACAGGGGGCAAGGCATTTGTCTTTTATTTCATCTTTATAGCCCATCTCGTTTTCCAGACAAGAATAGGGAGGAACAGAGAAGTCAACTCTCTCTCTCAGTCTCACAGCCAGTACATTTGAACGCAGGAGTAAAGCCTCGCCTTCTCTGTGTGCAAATATGCACATCCATGATACCAATGCCCCAGCCTCTGTTCTCCTTGGGCCTGCAGACGCTGCTGTGCGCACACGTGCACCTGCAGTAACTGCCTGTGTCCAGACACACACAAGGGTCTTTCTGCTGTCAGTCCTGACATAGTGGCTCAGGTGTCTGTGCGTGGATTTTGGTGCCATCCCTGTCTGTCCTGGGCCTGGAGACTTGCACATGTGTGCAGGCATGACTGTGCTGATAGGTCACTGTGAGCCAAGTCTGCGTGCCACACCGAGTGGCCATGTCTGTGACAATAGCGTGACCTCAAATGTCACTTCCCAAGGGATCACCCTGTCTGTGGGTGATCCCCCCCACCCCTGTACCCAGAGGAAGATGGCTACAGCTGTCCAGGCCCGAGGTCAGGGCCCCTGAGCAAATAGCAAGTGCTTCCTAAGCTGGGGGAGGGGGGCTACAGTAGAGAAGTACCAGTGAGGCTAGGGGGTCAGGGTTGCTGAGGAGACCCCTGTCCCCTCTCCTAACAGCCCGGGATGGCGACAAGGTTCTAGAAGGTGAAGAGTGCCCACCCCACTCCCAGCCGTGGCAAGTCGCCCTCTACGAGCGCGGGCGCTTCAACTGCGGGGCCTCCCTCATCTCGCCACGCTGGGTGCTGTCTGCTGCCCACTGCCAAACCCGGTATGAAGGCCAGGTAGGGGGGAGATGCATGGCTGGGTGGGTGGGCAGGGGAATCACAATGCCCATCCCGATGCCCATACTCCAGGGCTTGAATGGCAAAGGGACTCTCCCTCTTGGGTTCTGAAGGAGGAAAAGGTTGGGGGTCAAGGTCTCGGCTGGGGTTTGTGGGTTCTGAACCCTTAAATCCCAGGAGGAGGTGAGAGAGCTTTCCCAGTCTTTGACCTCTCCGACTGCTCCTTCCTGCCCAGCTTCATGAGTGTGCACCTGGGTGAGCACAATCTGCGGAAGCACGAGGGCCCGGAGCAGCTGCGGGCCGTACTCCGCACCATCCCGCACCCCGGCTATGAGCCACGCAGCCACCTTCACGACATCATGCTGCTGCGGCTGGCCCGCCCCGTGAACCTCACTCCACAGGTTCGACCCCTGGCCCTGCCCACGCGCTGCCCACACCCCGGTGAGGCCTGCGTGGTATCGGGCTGGGGCCTGGTGTCAGACAATGAGTCTGGGACTACAGGAAGCCCCACGTCACAAGGTCAGTGAAAGAGTGGGCTTGGGTGGCAGGCTTCAAGGAAATCTATCTTCCTTCCCTGAGGGGGGAAGGGACAGAAGTATGAATCTAAGGCCACGCACAGTGGCTCATGCCTGTGATCCCAGTTACTCGGGAGGCTCAGATCAGAGGATCACAGCTCAAAGCCAGCCTGACAAGATAGTCTGTGAAACTCTTATCTCTAAGTAACTCCAAAATACCAGAGGAAGTACAGCTCTCTTCCACATCCACTGTCTTCTTCAGTGAGTCTGCCGGACACGTTGCATTGTGCCAACATCAGCATCATCCCAGACACATCTTGTAACAAGGATTACCCAGGCCGCCTGAGGGACACCATGGTGTGCGCAGGAGTGGAGGGCGGCGGCACAGACTCCTGTGAGGTCAGGGAGGGGTGTCTTACTGGAGGGAGGCCCAGGAGGGGACATGTTGGGGGTGCCAGAGTTGGCTTAGGTTGTTTGCTTGGGGCCAGAGAGGGTTCGAGGGTTGGATTCAGCGCTGGTGCAGCAGGAGCGGTTGGAATGGTGGTGAGGTCGGAGCCGGGACTGGTCTGGATGAGTGGGATCTAGCCAGGCTGAGTTGGGGTGCACAGGAAAGGTCTTGGGTGCAGCCAAGTTTGGGTGAATTGCTGCTCCATTGGGTTAGGTGCCAGGCAGTGGTTAGATTGGAGTCCAGCAGTGACTAGAATGAAGATGAGGACACTGGATTCAGGAAGCTCCTACTTGAGTCTCCATTGTCCCCACAGGGTGACTCGGGGGGACCCCTGGTCTGTGGGGGAGTCCTGCAGGGTGTGGTATCCTGGGGAGACGTCCCTTGTGACACTACTACCAAGCCTGGGGTCTATTCCAAAGTCTGCTGCTACTTGGACTGGATCAGAGAGACCATGAGGAGGAACTGACCCCTGGCCTGTGCCCCGAGTCCCAGCCTGAACAGAAGTGCCCACCCTGACCCAGAACAAATCTGGCCACTCACTGCCCCTCCCCATTGTAGCCAGGAATGAGGCTCCGCCCTCTCCAAGCCAAAGCCGGCCTCCAAATTCGCCTACTCAACACCAAGACAGCAGAGAGAGCTGCCCATACCTCCTCTGTGCAAATTTCTGTGACTTTCTTCTGAGAGGATGTGAAATGGGTGGCAGAGGCTGGGTGGGGAGCGGCTCCATTTCACCCATGTTCCCAGTCCCTGGCTGAGGGGAAATGACTCCGAGCAGGGTACTGTTCACCCAGCAGAAGTGTGCAACCACGCACATAAACACCGATTAATGGCCCAGCCACACCCATTGTTGGTTTTTCCGTCTGTAAAGTGCATCATCATATTCAATAAAGGCATTTGTGTGCATGTGTGTGTGTATGTGTGTGTGTGTGTGTGCATGCCTGCCAGTACCACCAGGGCTTCAACTCAGGGTCTAGGTATTGTCCCTTAGCTTTTTTTCTCTTAAAGCTGGTGTTCTTATCACTGAGCCACACCTCCACTTCTGGCTTTTTGCTGATTATTTGGAGATAGAGGTCTCACAGACTTTCCTGTCTGGGCTAGTCTCAAACCCAGATCTCATCCTCAAATCTCATCCAAGTGTGAGCCACCAGCGCCAGGCTCAACAAGGCCATTCTTATGAACTAGTGAAAAGCAGCACTGTCCAAATATTCTTGATCTCTGGATCCTGGTTTGGGGACCCTACGTGCACTGGGTCACAAAGAGTGAATGACTTCTTTCTCTTCAATATTTAGTTCCAAGTATCTTGACAGCTGATAGCCTTGGCAAGAAGGAAAATACTGCCAGGCTGGTTCACGCCTGCCATCCTAGCCACTCAGGAGGCTGAGATCTGAGGATCGTGGTTCAGAGCCAGCCTGGGCAGGAAAAGCCGTGAGACTCTTATCTCCAATAAACCACTCAGAAAACCAGAAGTGGCGCTGTGGCTCAAGTGGTAGAGCGCTAGCCTTGAGCTGAAGAGCTGAGGGACAGAGTCCAGGCCCAGAGTTCAAGCCCCACAACCAAAAAACAAAGGGGAGGGGAATACTCTTCTTAAATTAGCCACCATCCTAACAAGTAACAGAAGTGGGACCCTATGAGCTGCTTTGATTTTTACCAATGAGCCAAAAAGCAGGCTGGAAGCCTATGGCTTCACCATTGAGGGTTCAGGAATCTTGATAGTCCTCAGACACCCCCAAAATAGGACTTTTAAGGTCACTCAATCTTGAAGCACATAAACTTCATCCTTGAGGCTGAGATCTTTTCTTGGTAGGGCTCGGGTGGTAATAGGAATTTGTGAGTCAAGTCTTCACCAAGGAAGGGAAGTAGACCAGATCTCCTGCACTTTGCAGGGCATGACCTTAAACACCCATAGCTGAGTAACAAGAAGAGCCACGGTCACCCCAGCATTCTTTGGGGAGTCATTGGATTTTGAAACCTTAGTGAATCTTGAAACCTTAGCCTGAAATTTACTTCCTATTCTTGGCTCTGAAGGTGTTCTCTGATTGTGGTGATGCTCCATCTTTGTGTTACAAAAAGAACAAAATATTGGAGGCTCTAGATCCTGAGTCTAGAACATTCTGAACGCTAGGATTCACAGTTCAGTTGAAACGGGCCAGCTGCTATCTTGTGGTGACAGCAATTAGGGCCCTGATTGCTTCTTGGAGCTCTGTGTGAGGGGTCGGACGGATACTTCTCCACCTGCCCACCATGCCTCGCTGGCTCTGTGGCCCCGAGCAAGGCTCCAGGAGCTGCCCAGCCCCACCCCACCTGGCCTGGGCACTGGGCACTCAGCCAATGTGACCAAGCCAGCACCACAACAGGTGCAGGTCCTCCCTCTTCTGCCCCAGCTCAGGGACAGGTGGGGGCAGCTGGCCTCCATCAGCAGGGGCGGGGCCCAAAATTGAGTGCCAGCAAGGCAGGGGTGGGGCGCTAAGGGCAGGGGGGGATGGGGATAAGGGCTTTTAAAGGCTCCACGAGGAGGTATTCCAGCTCCAAGCTCACCACTTCACCACTGGCCTGCCTTGGACGCCTCTAGCACCATGTGGCTCTTGGTTCTGTGCCTCGCCCTGTCACTGGGGGGAACTGGTGAGACTGGGGGAAGGGGAGGAAACCCTGGATCCACCTTGCCCACACCCCTAAATCCTTCCCTCCCACCTCCTCCAGCCTTGTCTTCAGCCCATAGCCCACCCTAGACCCCTGTCCCCCAGGGCACCACCCTCCTTCCTCCTTCTCCCACTGGCTCCTCTGCCCCAGAACCTCCCCCCCTCCTTAGCCAGAAGGGAAGGCCTGGGCCACCTGTCTGTCTCTTAGGAGTTCACCAATGCTTCCAAGGAACCCCCTAGCCCTGGATCATCCACCGCCACCCCCGATTTTCCTGTGACCCTTGAGCCTGTGGCTCCCCCAAATCTCAGCACACCCAGTGTCTTTCCCACCCCAGCGGTCAGTGTCTTCCGCAGGCTGATGTCACCTCATCTCTGACATCCCACAATCCAGCGGACCATCCTGCTCCCCACACTAACTGGCGGGGATCACCAGAAGGCTCCCCATCTCACATGGGGAAGTCCGCAAATATCCTTCTCCCTGTTCCCATGCTCTGTGCAGCGCCCCAGTCTCCCTCCAGCCAACACCCCCCAGACCCTCCTTCCTTCAACTCATCCTCCACAAGCTCTGGCTCTCCCCACCTGCATACTGCCCCCCATCTGCACAGCTCTGGTTTTCTGGGACCCAGCCAGGGCCTCCTGCTGCCCTCCTAGGCACCCCAACATGTGATTCCAACTCCCTCCTCTCCTGTCTCCTTGGTGGTTGGGCCTGACTCAACCCCATTCTCTGTGCTTGTCCTGAGAATGCCCTCAAGTTTCTCCAGTGCTCAGGCCATGAACCCCATCTCCCTGAGCAGCGCCCCTCGCCCTCCCCCACAGGGCCCCTGCGCATGCGCCACCATCCCAACCACTGTTTGTTCTCATGGCCCCATCACCCCTACATGACAATCTTACTGGACAGGAAGGACCCCAAACCCTCCAGGACCCCTCTCCCAGCCTTAGCCCTGCTCTTGCCCTTGCCCCGAATTCTAACTTTCCCTGCCTAGCTGACCACGTCTAGCCCAATCCGGAGACCCACATCCCAGATGCTGTGGTGGCATCGTCTGCCCAGGCTCCTGAGTCTCATCTCCCACTCAGGACCAGCCGCCCCCGACCCTCAGATCTCTCCTGAGACATTGGGCTGCATTCCCACATGCCCAGCCCAGGCCCTGAACCTTCCTCCTGCTTCAAATCTTGAGAGCAGGTCTCCGCTGACCCTTTGCAGGTGCTGCGCCCCCCATCCAGTCTCGGATCATCGGAGGCTCAGAGTGTGAAAAATACTCCCAACCGTATCAGGTGGCCGTGTATCATTATAGCAACCTCCAGTGTGGGGGCGTCCTGTTGAACCCCCAGTGGGTGCTGACGGCTGCCCACTGCTTCAGCGAGTGAGTAGGAGCCCGTGGCCGGGGGGAGGAAGGCAGCCCCGATCCAGGAGAAAGCAACCAGGGACTTTCCAGAACCCCTCAGGCCAGGCTGGGGGCTGAGGGGCTAGGGAGGGCCTGCAGGGGTGCTGGACAGTGAGAGGGAGCGCTGGGTGGGCCCCCTGTCCATGCCCCCCACCCCCATGTCCGCCTCTGTCTCTCCATGGTATCCTTGGGCGTCTGTCTTCCTTTCTGTCCCCATCTCTCTTGGGTGTGGTGTCCCTGCCTCTGTCCCCTCTGTGTTTCTGGGTCTCTGCCTCACTTGTCCTCCTCCTCCCTCTTTGCTGACCACACTCCCAGCGTGGACCCCTGGGCACCCCTGAGAAAAGGAAAGGCTGTCCTTCAACTGTGTGAGAGGGAAGGTTTTCCCTCTGTTCCCCCCATCCCTTCTGTCCACCCTGCAGAGCCTCAGGGGAGCCTGGAGAGGCCGGAGCTGGGTGAGAGCAACTGAGGGAGGAGGGAGAGGGAGGAGGAAGAAGTAGGAGGAGCGAGAGGGAAGAAGAGGGAGAGGGAGGAGCAGAGCACTGGAGGAGGGGACAGGCCTTGGGCTTCAGGCCAGGCCCTGCCTGCTGGGAAGCCCTCAGCCCAGTCCCAGCTGTGGCTGAGCAGCTTGGGCCCTGGCCCTCCTCCCCTCACCCTTCCCTTCCCTCCACTGTCCTATTCTTCCCCTCCCTTCTCCTCCTCTGTCTCATGGCCTCTGCCTTGTCTTCTTCTCACCTCCTCCTTCCTGACCCCTAGATTCCCACTGTCCCCCTCTGCCTCTCACCCTCCACCCCTGCACCTCTATCCTCTATCTCTGCCTTTCACACTCTCCCCTTCCTGTCTTCCCACACACACACACACACACTCAATTTCCCCAGGTGTGCCTTTCCCCTCCCCCTTCCTCCGTTTCCCACTCCCTGCTCTTGTCTCCACTTTGGTCCCTCTACAACCCTTCCATACCTGCTTTGGAGGGGTCTCTGCCCAGCTCCGCCTCCCTTCTCACTCCCTCCATTTCCCTCCCAGCAATTACCAGCTCTGGCTGGGTCGCCACAACCTGTTTGATGATGAAGAGGAAGCTCAGTACGCCCAGGTCAGTGAGAGCTTCCCGCACCCAAACTTCAACCTGAGCCTCCTGAAGAACAACACCCGTCACCCTGGAGAGGACTACAGCCACGACCTGATGCTCCTGCGCCTGACAGCCCCCGTGGACATCACAAAGGCTGTGGAGCCTGTGGTCTTGCCCACCGAGGAAGCACAGATCAATACAGCCTGCATTGCTTCTGGATGGGGCAGCATCGAACCACAAAAGTGTGAGCCTACCCCCTCCCCCCAGGTCTGAGGGAAGGAGGGGGAAATGCCCCAGCTGGGTGAGCTAACAGCTGCTTTTTCTCCCTGGCCCGCAGACAAGTTCCCGGATGACCTCCAGTGCGTGGAGCTGGAACTCCTGGATAATGACGTGTGCAGGAAAGCACATCCCCAGAAGGTGACGGAGTTCATGCTGTGTGCAGGGCACTTAGAGGGTGGCAAAGACACCTGTGTGGTAAGCAGCACCTCCGTCCATGTGGGGCGGTCTTCATCTGGTTATAGTCTTCATCATGGTCTGTCTTTATCTGGCCTTCCAGCCCCAGGAGTGGGGCTGGTAGAAGAGACACGGATTCCAAGTTTTGGGGGGATTTTTGGTTGTTGGTCATGGGGTGGGAAAGGGCCTGGCCCTATCCCTAAGCTTTTCTGCTCAAGGCTAGCACTCTACCCACTTTGAGCCACAGCTCCCCTTCTGGTTTGGGGGTAGTTAATTGGAGAGATAAAGAGTCTCAGAGACTTTCCTGCCCAGGCTGGTTTCAAAATGTAAACCTCAGATCTCAGCCTCTAGAGCAGCTAGGATTATAGGCCTGAGCCACCAGGCCCCAACTGAGGAGACTCAGATTCTGAACTGAGGTCTACCCGCCATCTGCCCCAAGGCTGCCCCCAGTGCCTCAGTTTCCTCCCTTCCTGAACCCCCATAATGGCAAGTAGTGGCACACCTCCGTATCACAGTGTCCCCTGTGGCATGTGTTCTGCCTGGTCCCAGAAAGCTTCCTGAATGGGGCTAGGAGATGAACCAGGAGGGAAGGGTCACCTAGCTCCTCTGGCCTTTCCAGCTGGACCCTGTTGCCTCCCCCTCACCGCTGTGTTGGAACCCTGTCTTCCAGCCTGGTCCACAGACCTTTCTCACTGTCTCTCTGTTTCCTGTTCTCAGGGAGACTCAGGGGGCCCACTGATCTGCAATGGGGTGCTGCAAGGCATCACCTCCTGGGGCCATGTCCCATGTGGCAGCCCTGACAAGCCTGGTGTGTACACCAGAATTACCAAATACAAGCAATGGATAAAGGAAACTATGGACAACAACTCCTGAATGCCACCTTCTCCCCACTCCCAATAAAGCCAAATACGCATCACACCAGTGTTTCTTGTCTTTATCTGGCTTTCAGCCCCCGGCCCATCCAGCGGATCCCAGTCTGCCCTGGCACGGGGCTGTGCCGATGCGGACGACCAAAGGGGCAACCAAGGCTGGGACCCTCGGGGCGAAGTCGGGGACGCCCGTGGGGCGCTGGGCTGACCCCTGTGAGGGCAGGGGCACCGAGGAGCCGCAGGGCACCCAGCTCGGTGGGGGAGGTCGGGAAGGGGGCAGAGGGCTGATGGCAAGCCATGCCCCCAAGGAGGGGCCTGCTCCCTAGATGGAGCCTGCAGAATGCCAGGGAAAGAGGAAGGGATGGGAGCTTGGGGCGTGGCCTGAGCTGGGACAGGGACAGGGCAAGGCGTGTGGGCATGGTGTGAGTGCTTGAATGTGGGAGGGGCCTGGCTAGTAGTGGTCTGAGTGCCCTGTAGTGGGCGTTGCCTGGTAACGTGTGTGGGCGTGGTCTTGCAGGAGTGACACCAAGGGCCGGGTCTAGCTGGACATGAGTTGGGGGGGGGGGGGACAAGGCGGCAAGGGGGGGGGGTGCCATGTGTGTCCTGCCATAGCTAGCATAGGGACCAGGCTACAACTATGCACACTGTCCAGGCTGCAGACCCCAAGAGGTGTCTGACCTCTGGAGTGGGGACACTGTGAGGATCCAGTGGGCGGAGACAGGATGGCAAAGTCTGGGCCCTAATGCTGGTGGTGAGGTTGGCCACGGTGGTCTTCAGAGGGTGCGGCCTGTTCTCAGGGCCTCCAGAGAGGGGTTGGGGATATGAGTGGCCATGGTGAAGGGGCGGGCCAGCCCCTGGCCTGGTTATAGCTCAGTGTTCTGAATTGCTGAGGAGTTCTTCGTGGTAGGGTCTTGAGTGTCACCCTGGTCGGAGAATGAACTATCCTCAGTCTGCTCAGGGTCTGAATCTTGCTGCTGGGACAGGCGCCCCACGGCGCCCTGCTGAAAGGCCCAGCGACGATAGCTAATTCTCCGCTCCATGGCGGGCATCCTCCGGCTCCACAAGCCCACTTGGTTAAGGTAAGACAGGCCTCCTGCAGGAGGAGTGCATGTGGGAGCTGGACTACCAACCCCAATTTAGGCCCACCCATCCCTGCCTCTTTCCCTGGGCTCTGCCCCCTGCTCCGACCAAGGCCCCACCCTTCCTTCCCAGGCCTGGCCCTCACCGGCCCACAGCATCAAGCCACTGGAGCACAAGCAGAGGTAGAAGGTCACCAGGTAGGATACCTGTGGCCTGGGGTGCAGGCTCTGGCAGTCAACCACAAAGAGCGTCAGACTGAGGAGAATCAGGAGCCCTGCACTGGGGTGGGGCCAGAGACAGACAGGAGGCTGGACAGTGACCCTAGTTCTCCCAGGAGGAAGAGGGGGACAGAGACATCCCCTCCCACCATCTGTGACAAGCAGACAGACAGACACACAGCCACATACACACACACACACAACAGACACTGGGAGAGAAAAGAAGGGGGGAAAAAAGAAACAACTAGTAGGAGAAAGACATCACACAACAGAACCTAAACAAGAAGGAGATGCCCACAGAAGGAGAGAGAGAGAAAGAGAGCAAGAGAGAGACAGAGACAGAGACACAGAGAGAGACAGAGACGAGAGAAAAAGAGAGAGAGAGAGAAAGAGAGAGAATGCACCTGAGAGTCCTTTGCAAGACCGGCAGATTCCAGAGCAGTAAGTTCAGCCACACCTCAACACAGAAAGGGGATCTGGGAGGGGTGGGGGGCAGGGCCTTCCCCGAGGCGGCCCCCCCCCAAGCCAAACTTACCAATGCTAATGCTCAGGGAGCTGAAGACAAAGTCAATCTTGACCAGGCGGCGGAAGACTGGGCGGAAGGAGAAGATGATGATGGGGAGGAGCAAGAAGCACAGGCCCAGGGCCAGCAACATGAAGCCCTTACTCATGTGAATGAGAACTAGGGAAGTGGCAACACATACTGTGGTCAGCCCCAGCAGTCAGTCAATGCCATACCCCCACATCATGCCCACTGCCACTGCGAGCAGTCCCCACCCCCAAAGTCTAGCCACAGTCACGCTCAACATCCCCTAGCCTCGTATCAACCAGTCACCCCCTAGAAACTCCAACATAACTTTACTCTCACTCAGAAAGTCACCCCAGACCCTCCCCCAGAGAGACTGCTGGGAGCCCTCCATCCTTGGCAGGGCCCGAGGGGACACTGACCTGTGACTTGGCCCACGTTGGCACACCTGTGCCTCCTGCAGTTGGTCCAGAAGCCCAGGTAGCCAGTGTAGGGGCCCTGCAGGTAGGCCATCCGCCCATCCCCCACACTGAACATCAACAGGGTGGCCAGGATGATGAAGATGAAGCACCAGCCTCGAAGGATGAACTTCCGGTCCTCCTCCCAGGAAATCAGGTACTCCACTTGTTCCGCTGGGAAATTGCAGAGTTTTGTTGTTGTTGGAGGGAAGACTGGATCATTCTTCCTTTTCTTCATGCTTTATTCCATCTCCATCATCTTCTACACCCTCACTCCCATCACCTCCTCCCCACCCCCAACTGTTCCTACCGCATTCCCTGCCTCCTTCCAAACCAAGCCCCACACGAAGCTCAAAGGGACTCGTTTTGTGCCTCTACCCCTCTTCTCCCATCCATGTTCCCCATCTCTGCAGCCATGACACCATGAGATCCAGAGTGCCACACACTTGTGACCCTATCCACCTTGCCACTGCTGCTTCCTATTCGCTCTCTCTCACCTCCAAACCCACCAACTTCCCAGGGGTTCCCTCACTCCCAGGGCCTCACCCCCTCAGTGGCTGCTCCCTGCCTCCAACACTCATCTCCTGCTTTGGCCCAGCTTCTCTCTACCCATCCAGGAGGTTTCCAGGCCAATATCATTGTTTCTCCACCTTCTCCAGAAGCCTCAGCCTTCCTCCCAGACCCCCACCCAGCTCCCAGGCAGGCAGCCTGGAGCAAACGCCAGCTGCACCTCTCACACACACACCAGCCCAGTACAGACAACTGATTAACGCCTCTGCCAGTCTTCTGCCACACCAAACTGAGGGCCATGTCTTCTCTGAGACCCCAAAAGAAGTGAAAGAAGATAAAACAGAGGAAGGAAAACAGGGGAGCAGGAGAGACAATGAACTGAAGGACTAAAAGGAGTAAATGGATCCGGAAGAGGCAGGAGGAGGTGAAGGGAGATGCCAGGGGGAAGAACAAGGTCTAGTTTCAGATCTCGGGCTCTCTAGAAACAGGTAGAATTCATTTCAGATGTGCTGCCCAGGCCTGGCTCCTCGCTCATCCAACACAACCCCTCCCCCATGGCCCAGACCTTACACTGAGTCCCCTCTCCTCCCCCCCACAACACCACCAGCCCAGCCCCAGACCTCAGGTCACTCACAAAAGGCCAGCGTGGAGCGTGAGGCCATGACCAACGTCCCACCACCCTGGAACCCCTATAACTGTCATAGAACCTACCCTGCCCCCAGCTGCAGGCCGGATTGAATCCCTGAGCCCTGCCTGTGGACAGCAGGAGAAACTTGGAAACATATACCAAGGCAGAGAAAGGGAATGCTAACAGATGGAGCCTGAACCCTGGAGAGACACCCACAGGCTTCTGGGTAGCCGTGGCAGTGCCCAGGAAGAGAAATTGAGGCCGTTGGCTAGCTGAATCCACCAGAGCCCTGCCCCTGCCCTGACCTTCCCCATGTCCCAGGAAGCCCCATCTGACCCCCAGAGACCTCAGACAGCCCCTCCCAGCACCACCCAAGCTGAGACCCCAGGCTTTCCGCCAAGTACTTATAACCCCCAGGTTAGTACCTGTTAGGATCCATCGCGACCATCCCAGGGGACCACGTGGAGGCAGGCAGGCACAGGAGGAAGATTATTATAAGGTTTATGAGAGGGGCCATGTCTCCCCCAGGAGAGGGAGCAAATATGGCATCTGCCCTTATCCAGGTAGGTAGCTCTGAGGTCGGTGCGCAGGTAGGTCTGGGCCGAGAATGGGAGCTCTAGAGCAGGGAGGAGCTCAGGTCTGGTTGGAGCTGAGGACTGGTGATGGGGGACAGTGCTAACAGCACCCAAGACTCTTCACCCTCTGTCCAGAGTCAGCAGGTGAGCACCCAGGAGCCCCTGCAAAGTATCCTCAGCCGGCGAGTGAGCAGCCAAGAGCATTCATCAGCCCACAGCCACCGCCGGGTGAGCATCCAGGAGCCCCTGCCCAGCATTCTCAGCCGGCCAGTGAGTCTCCAGGATTCCCCACCGGCCCTGGGCCGTCGCCGGGTGAGCATCCAGGAGCCCTCGCCAGCCTCCAGCTACTACAAATTCAGTTTCCAGGATTCCCCACAAGCCCCCAGCCGCCGCCGGGTGAGCATCCAGGAGCCCTCGCCAGCCTCCAGCTACTACAAATTCAGTTTCCAGGATTCCCCACAAGCCCCCAGCCGCCGCCGGGTCAGCATCCAGGAGCCACCAGTAAGCTTCCTCCCATCCCGGCCCAATATCCAAGACACCTCACCCATTTTCCACAGTCACCAAGCCAGCATCCAAGACACACCACCTGTCACCTACAACCGCTGGGTCAGTGCCCGAGACCCACCTTCGGTGTTACAGGATCATCAAAGCACTTACACCCTGAACAATGTCCAATTCAAGTCCTCCTCCAGGCCAGCAAGTACCCAAGCACCACCCAGCCAAGTGCCACCAAAAACCAAAAAGGTCAGCCTCGCCGGCAAACAGACCTGGCCCCAGGACAACATCCCCTCAACAATCAGCCAGAGCTCTCGTGCGACTATCCAAAGCATGGAGTCACTTGCCTGGGACTCTGATGCGACCTCAAGAGAAGATCACAGCTACCAACGTGACACAGTCGCCCCGAACAGCACCACACAGTACTTGGCAAGGCGTTCCACAGGAATCGCGTATAGTGGGTAAGAGGGCATGCCCAGCCGAGCTGCCAAGATCTGGGCTCCAGTACTACGGGAGGAACAGCAGTCAAAGGTTGGGGACTTGCTGGGTACCTATGGCTCACACCTGTCATCTTAGCTACTCAGGAAACTGAGGTTCTCAGTTCAAAGCCAGCCCCAGGTGGGGAAGTCTCTGAGACTCTTTTGTTGGTCATGGGGCTTGAACTCTGGACCTGGGCACTGTCCCTCTTCAGCTCAAGGCAAGTGCTCTACCCATTGAGCCACAGCACCACTTCTGGTTTGTTGAGTGGTTTATTGGAGATAAGAGTCTCATGGCTTTTCCTGCTAGGCTGGCTTTGAACCATGGTCCTCGGTCCTCGGATCTCAGCTTCCTGAGTAGCTAGGATTACAGGTGTGAGCTACCGGCACCTGGCTATGTGAGACTCTTCTCTCTAATGAAACACCAAAAAAAGCCAGAAGTGAGCTGTGGCTCAAGTGGTAGAATACTAGCCTTGAGCAAAAAGTAAAGCCCCAGGAGACACACACACACACACACACACACACACACACACACACACACACAGAGTTAAGGACTAGAAGGACATAATCTGCTGGATTAGAAACCAGACATCATGGCTGGCTGTTGCAGGTGTAAGGTAACTCTGAGAGAGGGTGGACCGGACAGACAGGGCAGGTGGGTCAATGCTGATGGTCTGGTGGCTGGGCAGGGCAGGTGGGCCAGCACTGATGCTGGTGGCTGGCATGTGATCTGTGCAGGTATCGGGGAATGTACAGTCGCCAGTCACTGCTGCCCATAGGCTGGAGGCTGCTTCATGAGGCCAGGAAGATCAGCCGCCAGCTGAGCCTGGTGCTGACTCTGGCTGGCATGCTGATCCTCGGAATCATCTCACTGGGCCAGCCCTGGGTCCACTTCCAGGTGCCACTGATGCCCCCTGGGGGTCCCTCGAGACCCCCAACCATTGCCATCGACACCATCCTCTTTGTGCGATGTCCAGACATCTCCTGCATGCACGAATATGACCAGAATGCATGTAAGGCCTGCTCTGGCATGGACTGGTGTCTCCCTCCTTCCCTGGGGTGGCCAACCCAGCTCTAGGGTGACCCTCACCTGGCAGGTTGCATATGTCAATTTCCATTTTCTTAAAGGAGAATCCTTTTCATGGGATAGGGGGAAGGAGGGGTGACACCCCCACCCCCCCATGCCCAAAGCCTTAAAGACAGCCTTGGTGTTCTTGATATCTTCCCTTCCTCAGACCTGCTGGACCTTGCCTGGGCCTTCCTAGTTATATCCAGCATCACCTGCTTCTGTCTGTTTGTGGGCCTCATCAGCACCATCTTCTTCACCAGCTCCAACCTGCCCATGCTGGATTTTTTCCTCTTCATCTGCAGCATCATGTCAGGTGCAGTGCCAAGATCCTGCCTGGGAATCCAACTTGTTCTTCTTTACTTGTTTCCAACCCGGCCATCTGAGAATGTCAACCCCAGTCCAGCTCCAGCTCCATCACCCTGTAGACCTCACTCTCCAATTCCTCCCCATCTATTCCCAACTCTGAGCTCTTTCCCAGCCATAAAACATCTACGTGCTCCCCCAGGCCATCCCCAGCACAGCTTCAGCTCCCAACCTCTGCCCCGCCACCAACCTCATCCCCAATCCCATCCACCCACAGCAATCACCATCTCTCTGAGCCAGTTTTCTGTTCAGTAGGATGAGGGGTAAAGCTTCCTACCATGTGGAGATGTACCTTAAGAAAAAAAGGGGGGCCGGGCGCTGGTGGCTCACGCCTGTAATCCTAGCTACTCAGGAGGCTGAGATCTGAGGATCTCAGTTCAAAGCCAGCCCGGGCAGGAAAGACCGTGAGACTCCTATCTCCAATAAACCACCAGAAAACCGGAAGTGGTGCTGTAGCTCAAGTGGTAGAGCACTCGCCTTGAGCTGAAGAGCTGAGGGACAGCGCCCAGGCCCAGAGTTCAAGCCCCACGAATGACAAAAAAAAGAAAATAAGAAAAAAAAAGGGGTCCGGAAGTTAGACAACTAGAAAGCAATGAGCAAGAGCCGGGGGGCATACTACTCTGAGCAAGGGTTCTCACACATCCCATCCCTGGCCTCCCACCCTCTGTACTCTCACCTCTGTGCTCACACAGGGACCAGCATCGTACTGGCTGTCCTGTTCTACCTACTACAGGCCAACAAGTATATGCAGGAAGGCATGACCTACACTCTGGGGATCAGCTTCTACTTGGCTTGGACAGGCGTCTTCCTCTTCCTCATCACCGGTCTGTGCTGGGTTGGGGGCAGGCTGAGTTATGGTTCAGGAATAGAGATAGGTGTTGTGTGGGGAAGAAGAGAAATCCAGGGCCGGGTAGAATGAGACTGACATGGGAGACAGGGTTGGGAACACACGTGAGGCTGGATGTAAGGATGGGCCAGGGTTTGACACCAGAAGTGAGTTAGGAAGAGGGCAGGGGGTGGAGTCAGGTTGGGGTTTAAGGGCATGATCGGGGACAGGTTAGGGGATAAGTCATGGGGTTAAGACACAGCGTAGGGCCCTTGGGATTGGGCTAGTGAACCGTCTGTCCTCTGTCTGTCTGTCTCTCTTCCCTTTTGCTCTCCCAGGTTTCTTCTCCTATCTGAATTACATCAATTTCTGGTCCATCCTGGCAATTCAGGCAGTCTGGACTTAGGCCATGGGATGATCCCACTGCTGGACGGCTCTCGTGGCTCCTCGTTGAACACCTGACAGGCCTGCTCCATATCCCCCACCCTTGACAAGTCTCCTATTTTTTTTTCAGGAGCCCCTACCATCCCTTAACCAACGTACATTAATAACTTGTATTTTTAAATAACCAGTATTTTCTGCTCAGAATGTATTTAGTTTAGCTCTGCGCCTTGAAGCCTTCTGTGGAACTGCCCTTCCTCTTGTGGCCATCCTTGGGTAGAGATAGGGAAGGGACTCAGACATGAAGGACCAAGATACACAGCAGCCAAGAGAAAGGGGCCTTGGTGCCTGGCACACAAAGGGTACAGTGTCTGATGAATCACGCATTCTCTCCCATGCCTGGTCTTCAACCTCTTAGCTTTGTGAGTCCGCAATAACTCACCACTTCTGGGAAGATTCTCCCCACGCCTCCCGCTACCTTCACCCTCACCAGCACCCAATCCTCACCTCATCTTTCTTCTCCCAGGTCTGTGAAAAACAGCTTTTTCCTTACATTACAGGTATTGAACTCAGAGCTCTGAGCTTGCTAGGCAAGGACTCTACCACATGAGCCACACTCTAGCCTTTTTTCATTTTCAGCGTCAAAGCTATTTTTTTTTTTTTTTGTCAAATGGTCCCATCTTTAGATTAAGGCCCAGCCACCCAAGTAACTAGAATTACAGGGATAAAACACCATACACACCACTTCCAGTTTTTTGTTTTACAAAATAATATTCTTGCCCAGGCTGGCCTCAAACCAAGATCCTCACATCTCTACCTCCCAAGTAGCTGAGATTGTAGGCATGAGCCACCACTCCCAACATGTGCAGCAGCTTTTTGAATACGGTTTGAAGCTAACAGCCCCTTGTTAACAGGGTTGTGTTAAAACTCAGTTACAAAATTCTATCATTGCCCAGGTCCCCCCAAAGGGCCTTGGCTGAGGGCACCTCTCCGTCTCCTTCTCACTGTGGTTAAAGCTGCCACGCTTGGAGTCTCAGCTCTGCCACTTCCTGGCTTGTGACCCATAGCGTCCCAGTTCTCTCATCTGTGAAGTGAGTGATGGTGGTGTTTTAATCTACACTGAGTTTAACCCAAATGCCTGTCCTACAGTATGGAAGTTAGCAGTGTTGCTCATACTAATCCTTGCTCTTCTCTCCAGCAAAAGGCTGTTCTTTTTTTTTTTTTTTTGCCAGTTCTGGGACTTGAACTCAGGGCCTGAGCACTGTCCCTAAGCTTCTTTTGCTAGAGCTAGCACTCTACCGCTGGAGCCACTGAGCCACTTCTGACGTCTATTTATGTGGTACTGAGGAATCGAACCCAGAATTTCATGCATGCTAGGCAAGCACTCTACCACTAAGCCACTTTCCCAGCCCCTTGTGTTCATTTTTAAATATAAGTGGAGCCACAACTATGTGCCAGATGCTGGAGCAATTGTTTCAGCAGAGGCAGAAAATGCTGTCCATAAACAATGAAATAAAAATAAGAGGGCTGGGTGGGGTAACTCTATTATAGTCAGATGATCTGATGGACAGAATAGAGCCACATGGATTGGGAGAAGAGTTCTGAGGAGAACACAGGACGTGCAAAGGTGCTGAAGCACACAGACACTAGCGGGTTCCAGAAACAAAGAAAGCCAAGGCAGAGAAAAACAGACATCAGTAGAGGCGTGGTGGGCCTTGGTCAGACCATGCATTGCCTTTCCTTGGAAGTACAATAGGAGCCAGTGATGGAATGTCTGTTGTCCTTATGAGAAAAAAAAATCTAGGCCTTTTTTTCCTTTCCCCTCAGACTACTGGGTTCATGCAAGGAATATCCCCACTAACAGGAAGAAAAGAACCCAAATGACCCAGGCATGAGCTAAACAAAGTAGGCACTCTTTGATTAATGAATAAATGGATTGCCTATACACTGACACAGAGTGAGACAAACAAAAAAATTGTATTTCCCCTAATGTGTCCTTAGCAATCAGAAGTGTGACACAGCTTGGTGACCGCAGGTGAATTACAGTAGAAAAGTTTCTGTTTAATTTGGAAATCCTAACCGTTGAAAGAAAGTTCTCAGATCTCCAACAGTACCAAAAAGCCAGAAGCCCTGACTTTTAAGTCATCAAAACCCAGGGTGGACACAAAGCCCTAAGACCCAGTCTCCCCACTCAGGCCCCAGTTTCCTCCCTCAGACCCAGGAATCCAGACCCAAGCCTTCTTCCTCAGACCCGAGGGGATCCAGGCTCCAGCCTCCTCCCAGACCCAGGGTTCTGAGACCAGGCAGCTCTCCCTGCACAGCCCCACAGACGCAAAGGCGAGCGGCATCTCACAGCGCATGCTCAGTCTGTAACTCCGCCACGCGGTGCCTACCCGGGACAGTCTCTGTCAATCTCTCATGGCCCCGCCCCCTCACTGCGGCTGGATCTCTGTTTGGGTCTTTCTATTTTGGCCTCGCCTCCGGCGCGGAAGCTCTCACTCTGGTCCCGCCCTCACTCACTCTCCGCGGTCCTCATTAAGCGCGGCCTGGAAATTGCCTGATACACCTGATAGACAAGCGTTCCAGATATGTTATGACTCACTTGTAGCCTCATTTAGAAACAAGTTTTGTCTATCCTTCTCAAGAATATCCCAGAGAAACGCGAATTCTTTCTTTTGCCAACGTCAAAGCGCGGTTCTGATGCAGGCGAATACGTCGGACAGCTAGGGGCGGAGCCTGATGGTTGGCGGGTACTATATAAAGAGGTCTGGGGGCCTTCTCTGCGCCTTTTCGAAGAGGAAAGCTTGGTGAGTGTCTCCCTTTTAGGATTTCTTAGGGCCTTCGTATTTTGAGGGGCAACTTGGGGATAGACTCACTTGGCAAGAGGTTCCCGCGTCCGTGGCTGCACAGAAAAGCCCTATGCAGGACGGACGGTGTCGGGGTCCTTCAGGGCCTCAGCGAGCGGCCCTCAGGGTGGAGCCTGGGGGTACTCCACGCAGAAGCAGGATTGGCGACTCCTGCCTTGTGGTGCGGGGGTGGGGGGGGCGCTTCTCGGCCAGCCAGGCTTCCCTGCGGGCTGTGCGTGTCGCCCCCAAGTCTCCCGGCTCCTCCATCTTGGCCTGTGCAGGGAGGTGGTGACTGCCAGCTCGGGAGAACCCTGCGCCTTGTGTGCACGCCGCCCGCCTCCCTAGACGATCGAACCTTTTCGCTCTTTCGGTCCTAGAAGCAGGTATTTCTGTGCGACCTAGACCCAGGACTGAAACGGATGGAAGAAGAAAAGGTTCTGAGGTTCCCGCCCTGGCGGAGTCAGAAGACCAAGCGCCTAAGGAGACATGAGTCTCGTGAGTCAGGTAGGAAAAGACCTGGGAAAAGGAGTAGGAGAATGATTTCCACCTATAGAATAGGCCTGGGTTTACACCCTTCTGGGATATCTGATTTTGAGGGACAAAAATCCTCTGGCCGGTAGAGAGCTAACTGACTTTACTTCAAGAAGCACCCAAAAAGAAAACGATAGGTTTCTATCACGCCGGTTTCCTTTTTTATTTGTCAGCGATGAGGCTTGAACTAGGAGGCCTGGGCACTCGCTGAGCTATTTTGCTCAAGGCTAGCGTTCTACCACAGCATCACTTCCGGCTTTGTGGTGGATAATTGGCGAGAAGAGGCTCAAGGACTTTCCTGCCTCCGCTGGCTTTCAACCCTGATCCCGAGATCTAGCCAGGATTGCTGGCATGGGCTACCATACCATCGCCCTCCTGAGGTCCTAACAGTTGTAGCATTTTACGGTAGTTGTGCTTGGAATTTCTATCCCTGACAGGGCCCTTGTAGCCTTTGATAGGACTGATTTCCATATCCTTTTTTCCCAGAAGCTTCTGTTGACCCATTCTCATGAGTTTCATTGGAAGGAACTTAATCATGAAAGCTTCAACTGTTGACGGTTACTAGCAGGTACTGTGGGGTGCACCAGGGTTTTGTTTATGTGGTGGGTTTGGCTGTCCAAACCTGGAGAACTCCCAGTGGACCCATGACACTGGGAAAGCTGGGGCAGCTGAGGATTTTGCATTTATCCATTCCTACATTCTATTAGTTTGGCTCCCCCTTCCTGAAGGCAGCTGGCCTTCACCTGGCTGCAAAGAGAGGGACTAGGGCTCCCATGATGTCCAGCACTGGGCTCTGAGCATCCCTGAGGACATAGTGCCCCCCCAGGACCTTTGACACCTGGGGGTCTGAGGGGCCCCAGTCATGTTCTCTTGGACCAATGGGTTGTGGTGTAGTACCCTCACTGAGTCTTTCCTGTGTTACAGGTATGGCATTAGCTGCTTAAAGAGATCATCCGCATATTCAAGGTGAGAATCCTTGCCCTAGTCCCTCATCCATCAGGTCAAACTTGGGTGACTGCACAGCAGGTGTTTCTGAGACATAATCAGTTGGGCCTGGGTCCAGATCTTAAGCTCTGCTGTGCATAGGTTTGGAGATGCTCATTGAACAATATACAGAACAGCACTGCCTCCTGTCACGCTGCACCTTTGTGCAAGGCCAAAGTGGCAGGATTTCCCTGGAGATTGTTAAGTAAATGGTTGAAAAGAGCTAAATGATACTGTGGGCGTGTGCCTGTTAGAGCATGTCTTCAAGCTCTGGGAAACTTTCCACTTGGGCAGAGAAAGTAAGAGAAGAAGAGGAAAGCAGGACAGGGAAACCTCAAACAGGTGTCCCTCCCACCCAAGTCCATCCTAACAGAAATGCCCTGCTCCTCATCGCCTGCCAGGTGCTCTTGAGCACCTCAGCTGGCTAGTATGACATAGCACACAATGGCACTTTTCTGCACAAGATCTTAACTGTTCCTAGTTGCTAAACGGTAGTGACTGAAAATGAACTCCCAGATCTACCCAGCAGGGTCCTGGCAGAAGGCAGGCATCCCATCCTCAGAAGGCCTTGCACTTGGGAGAGTTAGCTGCTTGACCAAGTTAGAGGAGTGGCTGGCAATGCCAGCCTTGCACCCAGGGAAGGTTGGAAGCATTGGGTGTGGGGAGACCAGGCCTGGGGTGTGGGCAAAAGCCATCAAGGATATTTTCATTAGCCTTTAAAAGACAGGGACAGAGTTGGGGCTGAGTGCTACAGAGGCTAGACCTTGCTTCATGGCTCTCCCTCTCCTAAAGTTCACTGCTACCTTCCAGAAAAGCAACCTTGGAGGGCTGGTCCCTTGCTAACCCCAAGGAGTCAAGAAAATGGCTGCCATTTACTTCCCAGATCTCTTGAGTGCCTGTCTGCCCTGTGTCCTTCAAGACTACAAGTGGCTCAGATTTGTGGAGAGCACTGGGGCCCCTATGATGTCCAGCACTGGGCTCCGATGGAAGGCTGAGGACATACTTCCTGGGACCTTTGACACCCAGGCTCTGAGGCAGGGAAAAGTCAGGATGCTGAGCTTTCCTGCCTCCCACCAACCTCTTAACTCCCCTTCTTCCTGCCTACAGGTGTGCTCCAGAGGGCCAGGCCCCACAACCTGCCAGGTAAGAGCTGCTGGGGCTCTTAAAAGATGAGAGTCACATTGGCTTTAGTAACACTTATTCTGCTTCAAGTTTACCTGGTAGTAAAGACCTTACATCTATTTACAGAAACTTACATATTGGAATGTTTTTACAGTTCCTTTGAATGTATTGCATCCAGAAAAGCATTGTTTCCTGTATTACCTCAAACATATATAAACTAGCATCACACAGTTTCTCTGAGATGTTTCTGTATTCTGGAAGCTGAATATTAAATATTTTTCCATTCAAACAGAGGTGATGATAGAAATAATGGGACTGTTTCAGTGTTTAGACAGGAAAATCCACTTCCTTGTTTCACGACGACCTAGATAGAAGAAAATTTAAAAGGACGGGAGTCAGTAATGATGCTTGTATAAACCCCAGTGTGGTGACACCTACCTGCAGTAACATCCCTGAAGCTGGGCTGGAGGGGGTGGGGTGGGTTCAAGGCTGGTCTTGTGAGACCTTGTCTCTTAAAGCCAACCAAAAAGAGTGAAAATGCTGTGGGCTCAGTGTGCCATGGGCTGTGGGGCGGGTAGGGGTTTCAGGGCTACACTTAGGGACCCCCATGATGTCCAGCACTGGGCTCTGACCACCCTGAGGACATGGTGCCCCCTGGGAACTTTGACACCCAGAGGTCTGAGGGGTCCCACTTAGGAGAGGCGAGGAGTGGGGTAGGTCTCTTCCTGCTTTCCCACTACCTCCCTTCACACAGCCCTTCCTGGACCTCTTGATCCTGCCCTAAAGCAACTGGGGCCATGGGTGTCCATCCACAGGGGCACCAAACTGCTGGCCATCGTGCAGCCCTTCCAGCAGAGCCCCAGTGACCTTGGAGCTGGCCAACCCCCCCAGAGCCTGCCCATGCCAAGGCACCGTCTTCATTTACCACCAAGACACTGCACTTGGGTGTCAGCAAGGAATCGTTCCTGTGTGCCGTGCTGCCCACAGCAGTGCCCACTCAGAACAGCACCCTCAGGAGTCAGCCTGCTGGTCTGCCATGATGCTGCTGTTAAGCCCGTGTGACTTTGGATCAGGAGAGGCCCCATCCCAGTCCTCCCTTGTCCTCAGCCCACTGTCCCTCTGCTTTGCTTTGTACCTTCCCTTTGGAAGCTTGCTTGGCTGGGGTGCCTGAGGAGCCCCAGCATGAGTTGGGTGTGGGTTTAGGGGTTCTGGGAAAACAATACTGCACAGGTGTCCATTAAATAGCAGGTGCATCACCCTTTGAGCTGTGGGTCTTGACTTTGTCCTGCTGTGGTCTTGGGGTATTGAGCGGGGCCTGGCAGACAGGGTGTGCCTGGGCTTGCCCACCAAAGGATTTGTGGGAGCCAGAATAAATCCCAGCCTCCTAGAGCCAGAAAACACCAACAGTGGTCCACATTGGAGGCACTGGTGTCTGGCCCTTTGGAAGTGACTAATAACAAGACAGCAGGGTGGGGCTCCCCAAGTGGCCAGCAGTGGTGGATGGATTCCCCCCCTTGGTTTTGGGTCTGCTAGTGTTAACATGCAGGCCAGAGTTGTCCCCCCCATGAGGAATGGTGCTCCTGCCAGGATGGGACATGGCCCCCATAGTCAGTGACACTAAATACTATCCACGCTGGAGGCATGTGTGCATGTCCCAACCCATAAACAAGTATGGCCTCATCCGCAGGGACCCCACCCTATCCTCCCTCCCCACGCGCAGTAAGTGACAAGCCAGAGCAGCAGATGAGCACACTTGTTGGGGTCCAGGGGCAGCTGGGGAGGAGGGACTGCCCCACTCACACTGCTCCCCCCAAAGCCCGCAGACAGCTAGGCCTCCAAGCAAGGAGGCCAAGGCCCAGGCTGAGCACTGCCAGCACGGCCACAGCTCCAGCCAGCAGGGGTACCGCCGCGGCTGCTGCCGGAAGAACATGGGGGTTGGTGTCAAGGCTTGGGGGTTCCCCACTCCCACCCAAGCGCAAGGGGCTGTCACCTGGGGGGGTGGCAGGGTCAGAGGAGCCTTGGCAGCGGGCCCCCTGCACTGGAGGCCGCGCAGGCGCAGTCAGCCGATGGAAACGCCCCAGGGGGCAGGGCGCTGGGCACCCAGGGAGGCTGAGGGGCAGCGGTGGGCGGGTGGTGTCATTGCGGTAGAAGAGGGACACCGTGATGTTCCTGCCAGGGGAGAGGAGATGGTGGCATTTGCCCCTGCCATGGATTGCCATCAGGAGGTAAGCTGTGACACCCGCCCACCCGCGTCTCACCCTCCATCATCTTCTGGGTCCCTGAGGCACCTCCGGAACTCAAAGGCCAAGCAGGCGGCATAGGGCGGTGGCGGGGTCTTCCCATCATAAAGTCCCAGGGCCCCCAGGAGTGCCAGGATAGTGCTGTCATGCTGCAGGCATGCGGAGGGCTGAACTCAGCTCTTCCAGGGGCTCCCAACTTCCTTAGGCCCTCTGTGAGGGGCTGTCCTGTCCCTCCAAACTGCTGCAGTGCTGTGGCCCTGAGCTTCCTCCAGGGCCACCACCCTCGGCTTAGCTTCCCCTCCCTCTGCCCTGCACACTCACAGCTGAATACATCACCATCTTGAGGGGCAGGCCCAGGCGCTGGGCCCGCGAGAAGTTGCTGAGGATGGCATCGAGCAGGATCCCTGGGGGCAGAGCAGAGGGCTCAGACCATGCCCCTGTGCCCAGGAGGGTGTGGCAGCCTCCCAGTCCACACCTCACCCCCTGTCAGCTGGGCCTTCTCTGCTGCCCGGGGTGGGCCCACATGGGCCCCGATATCCAGAGCTGAGATCTGTGTCAGTGTCCGCAGGACATCTGGGGAGGCCCATGCCGGAAGGGTGAGTCCGTGTGCCCGCTGCAGGAAGAGGGGCGCAGGCTTTTAGGCAGGTCTGCAGCACCCAGATGAGCTGAGCAGCTGTGCAATTTAAGAACAGGGCAGGGAGGCTGGGCACTGCTGTTGTCCTGCTTGCTCAGTAGGCTGAGACCTGAGGGTCCCCATTCAAAACAAGCCTGGGTAGGGAAATCCATGGGACATATCTCTAGTGAACTACCAAAAAAGCATGCGCCAGCCTTGATTGGAAAGGCTAAGGGATAGCACCCAGGCTCCCAAATTCAATGCCAGTATCCGTACCCCAAAAAAAAAAAAAAAGATAAGCAAACTGAAAGCATCCTCTTTAGGTTTTTTGTTTTTGCCAGTCCTGGGCCTTGAACTTGGGGCCTGGGCACTGCCTCTGGGTTCCCTGAGCTGCTTTTGCTCAAGGCTAGCACTCTATCACTTAAGCCACAGCACCGCTTCCAGCCTTTTCCGTGTATGTGGTACTGAAAAATGGAACCCAGGGTTTCATGCATGCTAGCAAACTCTCTACCACTGAACCACATTCCCAGCCCCTCTTTAGGTTTTGAGGTCAGCTGCTGCTCAGCCTTTCTGAGCTTTTCTTGCAGGAAGAACTGCATGGCCTGACCTCAAACCCAGAGGTGTGGCCAGCATACGGGGTGGCAAACACCCACATGTGGGGGGCTTGTGGCCTTCCCTGCCGGGAAACTGAGTCCCAGCAGGCTAAATCACTTTGCCTGAGGAGACCTAAGTGACCCTTGGCAGGGGAGAAGCAGGGGCTCACCTGGCAGATGAGTGTATCCAGAATTTTCCACGCCTTGCGGAGGGGCTCTCCGACCAGTGTCAGCCCCGTGAAGTTGCTCAGGCGAGTCAGGAAGTCCTGGGGGCACAGAGCTGGGTGAGCCCCAACAGATAGTCCATCCCAACACCCCTCTCCAGTAGGCCCCCACTCACCGTCCAGCCCTCCAGAGCCTCCTGGTACTCTGCAGCCTCCGTGGACTCCCGCAGCAGTTCATGGTATCGGGGACAGCTACGCATGGGAAACCTCAGCAGCTGGGGGAAAGTGAGGCTCAGAGAGGCCAGCAGCATGGGGCGGGGAGGGGGAGAGATCATCCAGCCATGGTTCTCCCTTAAGTCTCTGAGCAGTGATATTGACTGCCAGAGGCTCCCAGGTGACCTGCCCTGTCCCTCCCATCTCATCCCTGTCCTTTTCTCTGGCCCTTTTGCCCAGTCCGGCTGCTGACCTTGTCCTCACTGACGGGCACCGTGTGCACCGGGATGGGCTTCCAGTCGGCCTCGGGGTTCCCCGGGGCAGCCTCGGGGAACAACCCCGCCAGGTTGGCCTGCGCGCTCTCCAACGTGCGGTCAAAGTCGGTGCTGCGGATGTACACCTGGGACGGGCAGAGCAGAGGTCAGAGGTCAGCGGAGGCAGCCAATCAGAAGCCTCAGTTTCACCTTGCCATAGGCTGAAGGGCATGAAGGCGTCATTGGAAGTCAAAATTCAAGGTGGCTTTAATGTCGGAAGTTGGGATCAAGGGTCAGATGTCAATGTTAGCAGTGTTGGGTGAGACAAGACCAGGGGTCAGGTGGACAGGAGTTGGGGACTGGAGGTCAGAGGTTGGGTAGACTGTCCTCAGGAATCAGCACCTGAGGTCAGGAGAAAGAATTGATCCCAAAGTGAATTAGAGGATGCCAGAAGAGGGAGGGTAGCTTCCATGAAGAACAGATGTTAGCAGTCAGTACCCCACCCCCCCACCCCCCGACCACGAGAAGAGGAGGTAAGGGAAGAAGTCTGGCACTGAGGAGAGTGAACGCATCAGCAGAGAAAAATTCGGGGAATGTGGCTCAGGTTAAGATGAGGTCAGAGGTCAGTTTCAACAGAGGTCAGTTGGGTTGACAGAGGTCAAAGGCCAGAGCTGCAAATGCTCATCAGGCACAGGGGTCAAAGGTGAGGCATGGTAGTACCTCCTCCCGCCGGTACTCCGGACTCAGAAAGGCCTTGTAGCGCCGCCTCAGGAACCGGCCCAGCTCCAGCTGCTGGCGGATCCCCTCCTGGGGACACAGCAGGCCTCAGTGGACCCTCCTCCCCTCCCCTGCCCCTGCCCCACCCCTGCTCCTTGGCTGGCTCCTCACCCGGGTCAGCTGGCCCAGGCCTCGGGGCCACAGGCTGGAGACGGCTTCCTTGTGCGGGTCTGTAGGGTAGGAAGCCAGCGGGGCGCGGTCGCCATGGCGGAACACCTGGAGACAGACAGAGTCAGGGCTGGCTGGGGGGAGGCAGGGGCCAGGCAGGGCAGGGGCAGCTCACCAGAGCCACGAACACCAGGGGTCCCTCGGGCAGGGCCTGGGATGGGAGCAGGAGCAGCAGAACCAGGAGCGGTCCACCGGTGTGGCCCCGAAACCCTGGCCCAGCCATGTCCGCACAGCTCAGACGCTGAGCTCAGCCGCAGTCTGCCACCACCTCACCTGCTCATTAGCCTCTGCCTGGGCCCCCCTCGAGCCAGCGCAGGCCCCAGCATGCCCCCCGCACCGCCCGGGGCCTCCCCGCAGACCGAGCTTAACCCATTTCATCTCCACCAAGCCCGAGCAGCTGTTGACACCTGCCACCATCGCCGGCGTCTGCCTTGTTCTCCTTTTATTTGATTTTCTATTTTTTAGGGCTTTGGGGTTTGAATTCAGGACTTTGCACTTGCTTGCCAGGTGCTTTACCACTTGAGCCTTGCCTCTGTCCCTTCTCAGTTTGGTTATTTTTTGAGATGGGAGCTCACTCGGGGCCTGTCAAACACCCAGACTGCGATCTGTCGGTTCTAGGCTTCCTGTCGTAGAGGTATAGCTGGAATGATGTAAATATGCCACTTGGCCCAGCTATAGGTAGAAAGGCGAGTCTTACATCTGCCAAGGCTGGCCTCAAACCACAATTCTCCCATTCCCAGCCTCCCAATCACAAGTCACTGGCAGTATCCTCTGATCATATCCTCCCTCTCCTAGATCCCTTTCAGCTGTCACTTGAGCCACACCTCCAGCTCAGCGTTTTACTGTTTGTGTGTGTGAGCATGTGCGTGCGTGCACAATTACCAACATTTTTTGTTTGTTTGTTTTTGGGTCCGGTCATGGGGCCTAAACTCTGGGCCTGGGCACTGTCCCTCAGCTCTTCAGCTCAAGGCTAGCGCTCTACCACTTGAGCCACAGCGCCACTTCTGATTTTTTTCTTTTTTGCTTATGTGGTACTGAGGAATCGAACGCAGGACCTCATGCATGCAAGGCAAGCACTATACCACTGAGCCACCTTCCCAGCCCCAATTACCAAAATTTGAACTCAAGTTCTCTCCCTCTTTTTGTGGGGGCTTGAATTTGGGGGGGGACTGGGTGCTGTCCCTGAGTTTTCTTGCTCAAGGCTGGTGCAGTACAGCTGGTGTTGTACCACTTAAGCCAAAGCTCCATTTGTGACTTTTTGGCTATTAATTAGAAATGAGTCTCATGGACTTTCCTGCCCAATCTGACTTCAAACCATGATCCTCAGCTCTCAGCCTCCTGAGTAGCTGGAATTACAGGTGTGAGCTACGGGCACCCTGAGGGTCTCTTGTTCAACTTTTTCACTCATGGCTGCTGCTTTACTATTTGAACCCTATCTCTAGACCTGCTTTTTTGCTGGTTATTTTAGGGAGACCAGACTGACTCTGAACCATGACCCTCCAGAGCTCAGCTTCCTGAGTAACTAGGGTGGCAGGTGTCTGGCTTTCCAGGTGTTTTCTGATTCTGTTACCTAGTCCCATCTATCCTGCCTCATACCCAGAATGCTCTTCTCTGGTCTCCATGGCCACCATTCTGGTTTCCCCGACAACCCCCTCTTGGTTCCAGTGGCTTCTTCCCTCTCTGGCTCAGAGGCCTGGGAAGGGAGACAGAGGTCAAGGAGTGTGTGGCTTGAAGGAGTAGATGGCCATGAACTTCCAGGAAGTGAGCGGAGGGGAGAGGAGGGAGGGGAGGGGGAGCAGGGCTGGGGAGGGCAGGGAAGGGTGCTGACCTCTCAACTCCTCCCCAGAATGTGACTCTGGCCATGGCAGTGTTGACCATCATCGCCTCCATCTACTTCTTCAACAAGGTGAGGGAGGGGAGGGCAGTTGGGCCCAGTCTGCCCCCCTCCGTCTTCTGCCCCCTCACCTTTCTCTGTTTCTGTGGCTCTTCTTCCTCAGGCCCAGCAGTGAAGACACCCCAGCTCCCCAGCCCTGGAGCAGGATCCCCACCCGTCTGACCATGCCCTCGGCCTCTGAGACCAAATAAACGCAACGCCACAGCATGCCTGGCTCCGTCTCTCTGAGGGAGGGGCTGCATCCTTGGATGAGGGGGGCGGGAGGAGGGCTGGGGCCTGGACCCCTGGATCTGAAAGGGGAGGGTAATTAGGGAAGCTCCTCAGGCCTGATGGGTAGAGTCTTGCAGGAATGCAGGCCAGGAGGAAGGGAGAAGCCAGGCGTCCACCGAGCCTCAGCCGCCTGCCTTACTCTTCACCCGCTACCTGGGTCTGAACCTTCCTGTTCCCGTTAGAGCTGCACATCTTTCCCTGGCAGCCCTGGAAAGTCACAGATTGTGTGACAGCTGTCACTATTTCTGGTGTCAACACCTCTTTTACTTGGGGGAAGGGGAAGAAACTGGGGTTTGAACACAGGGCATCGCTCGCTAGGCAAGTGCTCTACCATGTGAGCCTTGTCCCCGGCCCTTTGTGCTTTAGTTTTTCTGAGGGTCTCTCACACAAGGCCTGGATCCTCCTGCCTCCTCCCACTGGAACTACAGGTGCATGCCACCACACCCAACTTTTCCACTCCCCGCCCCCCCAGTTTTTAAAAAGAATTTTAGCAAACTCCTGTTCAACTTTTGACATTCCTCTAGACAGAGAAATATCCAGAACCTCCAAAGACAGTCTGCTGACAGTTTGTTTTATTTCCTGTGAACAGTCCCTTTCATTACTTCCCCTTTCCACTCCCTGAGCTCATCCTGGGAATGCATTGACGAAGTCACCCCAGCCTTTTCTTGAGGTTCACCTACTTTCTCTGAAAAGGAGCAATTTCATCTTAACCCAATTATGTGATCACATGGATCCTGAATGGACTGCATGCTGGTTTTACAGAGAAAGGACTAGAAACCCCCAATTACAAACAGATCTGTTATTCTTAGCACAACTTCAGCTTAGCGCAGTCTGGTTTGATTGGATCCTGTATTGAAGAGTCCTGGGTGTGGTTCCACAAGTCACCACACGAGGGCGGAGTCGGACCATTTTCCCAGGCCCATGCGGTCCCAGCTGTGGTTGACCTCAGCCCAAGGAACTTGATTTCCACAAAACCACAGTGCAGCTTCTAAGTCCTGGGGGGATCCAGCGGCTTCCTCTTACCTTCCCAGCGTGGGCTTGCCTGTCAGGGTTTCCTTTTTTTTTTTTCCTTTTTTTTCTTTTTTTTCGGGTCCGGTTATGGGACCTGAACTCTGGGCCTGGGCACTGTCCCTCAGCTCTTCAGCTCAAGGCTAGCGCTCTACCACTTGAGCCACAGCGCCACTTCCGGCTTTTTTCTTTTTGCTTATGTGGTGCTGAGGAATCGAACCCAGGGCCTCATGCATGCAAGGCAAGTGCTCTACCACTGAGCCACCTTCCCAGCCCCCCCTTTTTTTAATGAGTAAACTGGACTTGGGGATGCTGTAACATGACTGTACAGTACATTGAGGTTGAAAACTACCCTCAGAGACCCTAATGTACAGCCAAGGTTAAGAGAGCACTCCAATGCCTTTTCCGAAGAGAGGTTTAGTACAGTGGCTCACTCCTGTAATTCCAGCTACTCAGGAGGCAGAGATTAGGACTGAGGCTCTAGGATCAACCTGGGCACAAAGTTACAGAGGCCACCATCTCCATAAACAAGCAAGGGAGGGCCCTTGCCTAGAATCCCAGCTGTAAGGCAGAGATAAGACAATATAGATCGGCCCAGGCCAGTCCTGCCAGACAAGAACCCCAAAACATATAGAAAAAAAGTAAGGCCAGGCACTGGTGGCTCATACCTGGAATCCTAACTAATCAGGAGGCTGAGATCTGAGGATTATGATTCAAAGCCAGCCCTGGCAGGAAAGTCCATGGTGGAGCCACCAGAAAACCGGGAGTGGCACTGTGGCTCAATTGGTGGAGTGCTCACCTTGAGCTGAAGAGCTGAGGGACAGCGCCCAGGCCCAGAGTTCAAGTCCCATGACCGACAAAAGAAAAAAAAGTGTCAAACTAGCAAGTGTGAGGCTCTGCATTGGAAATCCCACGCCACCAAAAAGGAAAAGAAAAAGGAGATGGATTTTCCCCAATCACATAAAAGATTCAGGACATAAAATAAAAATTAGCCAGCTTTAAAATGAAGAAAGGCAAATGTAGTTTCTTGGGCCAGGGACAGACAGAAGGGACCTGTGGATTTCCAACCTTGACAAGACACAGCCAATTGTGGTGCATGACTGTAACCCAGCTACTCAGAGGCCGGGAGTTGAGGGGGGGGGGCGTGGTGAAAGAGGGGATCAGTTCTGATTGACAAGCAGCAGGACTCCTCTCCTCTGTAGCTCCAGAATGGCCTAATACAAGCAGGAATCACGGGGACCCTGGTCCCATCGGCCCGGTCCTGGGCCATGGCTGCCCTCCTAGCTTCCCATCCAGATCCAGACCTCTCACCATGTTCTTCTGTCTGTCCACCTCTGTCGCTCCCCCCGCCCTCCCCCCACTACTTCTCCTCTAGAGCTCCAGTTCTGTTTCTGCACCCTGGCCTAGCCTGCTTCACACCTGGGCCCTGCCTCAACTTCCGTCTGCAGCCAAGACCCTGTGACTCCTCGACAGACAGACAGGCAGCCTGAGGGACGGGTTCTCGCTGAGTTACCTCTCCCGGCTTCCTCTCTCTAGATCTCTTCTTCCCCCTCTCTGGGACCCCGTCCCCTCTCTTCTGTTCCTCTCTTCCTCTCTGGATCTGTTGCAGTCGGCCTTTCTGTCTCTCTTCTCTGGACCCCACTCAGCCTGTCTGGCTGTGTTCAACCCAGCCCTACATGCTTTGGAGATCGAGGAGATGGGGACCCCCCCCACCCTACTGTGTCCTCAGGTTCCCACTGGATGGCTCAGCCTCCAAGCCCAGGCCTGGGCACTCTCTACCTCCTCCCCACACCCGGCACCTTGGCAGGACCCCAGAACCTGGCACAGCCTTCTCCTGAAGGCCTGGCCCCCACACACACAGAGCAGAGGGTGGAGCCAGCTGCTGGCCCCTGCGAGGCTGAACCCCAGGGGTCTGAGCAGCACCCAGACCTCCCCCAAGTCCAGCCCAGCCTCACGTGCCCCCAACAACTTGAGCAAAAGCAACAGGTGGAAAGGGAGCCAGCAAAGGAAGAGCATGGCCGCGGTGGCCCAAGGCAGCCCCAGCAGTGGGGGGCGCCCAGTCAGCCGGGCCAGCTGCAGCTGGGCCCCCAAGAGGCTGCGAGAGAAAGCCATGACCCCCAGGGGCACCCCAAACCCGAATGCCAGCTGGTCTAACACAGGGCTCCAGGCCCCGAAGCCCTGGCCATGGCTGGAGACTTCTACAGCCGGAGTCCCGTTAGAAGGGACAGCCAGGCTGGCCTGGTCCCTCCTGGCTTGCAGGGCCGGCCCCCCCAGACCCAGCAGAAAGATCCAGAATCCGCCAGCCCAGAAAACCATCTGCCGAGCTGTGTGGTGGCCCAGGGCCCAGGCAGGCTGGCACAGCGAGGTATAGCTGTCGGCAGCCCCCCGGGCCAGCAGGCGGCCGCTGGCCCAGCAGGTGAAGAAGGACAGGCTGGGGTCCGCACGGCAGAAGGCGCCACCCAGCGGCCAGCAGGAGCGCGTGCAGGTGAGGCTCAGGGGCAGGAGTGCCGTGAAGGTGAAGTCAACGGTGACTTGGTGGCCAAACCAGGCGGTGGACAAATGGCGCGGCAGGAGGGGCCCAGCGGCCCGGGCCAGCAGGCCATGGCTGGCCACCTCCAGGACATAGGAGGTGACCATCACCAGGGAGTAGAGAAGGACCAGGGCGGCCCAGGGCGGGCCCAGTACTGCAGGGGGTGCCGGCAGCCAAGGCTCCGAAGGGTTCTCCATGGGCCAGACGAGGCTGTGGGGACCCAGAGCCTCCATGTTAGTCACCCCAGTTCTTCCCCCCAAATCTCCATCCTATACCCCAAGAGCAACTCCACCAGCCACCCAGCCACGGCTGACTTCCCCCCCTCTTCACCCCTTGGCCTTCCTGGTCTCCTGGGCCTTAAATTCACTTCCTGGTCACTGTCTCATATATTTTTCTACTCAAAGCTGGTACTCTACCACTTGAGCCATAACCCCACTTTCTGACTTTTTGAAGATAAGCGTCTCATGGCCTTTCCTGCCCAGGCAGGCTGGCTTCAAACCACAATCCTCCAATCTCAGCTTCCCGAGTAGCTAGGATGACAGGCCTGAGCACCAACACGCAACCTTCCTATCCTGCCTGACAACCTCACCCCCATCCAGCCAGCACAGCTAGGGCTTCCCCCCATTCCCCAGCCTCCCTGCTTCCAGCCTGTAGCCGACCTCTGACCCTCTTTGCTCCCCAGTGCCTTTGGACAAAGTCCCAGCCCCTCAGCCTCCCGCCAAACCCCAACCACACACACACTCCAGGAACCAGCTCCTGCCCCATGGGCCTGTTAGCTCCTGATATGAGAAACCCAGTATCCTCAAGTTCAAGGCCTGAGAGCTGCCAGGGAGCTGACCTTCAAGACAGCCTGCCCTTCATGTGGGGAAACTGAGGCCCAGAGGAAAAAATCAAATCCCATAGCAAGGCAGATGAACTCATCATATTCAGAGGCCTGGCTTGTCAACGGGGCTCTGCTGTCTGTGAACCTCAGTTCACCCTCCCCCAGTCCCCTCATGTCTCACCTCACCAGAAGTGGGAGTCAGAAGCCCTCCAGGTGTCTGAGCAGAAGTAAGAACTGGAAGTAGCTCACCAATAGACAGAAGAGGAAGTAGAAGCTGGGGTCTGCCTGAAAACCAGAGACTGTTAAGTGCTGTCTGGGCCTGGGCCTCAGTTTCCTCCTTCTTGAATGGAGGCTCTGGCCTGCTCCCCAGGGCACCCCAGGGTAAGAAGCCCCTCAGCCTGGCATTTGCAGCGTTTCTTCTTGTAGCTCTACCCACCTCACCAACCTGCCAGCTCCCACTTCCCTTCCTCCTTTCCCCCCCCCCTTCTCCTCCTCTTCCTCCTCCTTTTCAGTTCCTGGAGTAAACCACACACCTTCACAAGTGCACCCAAATGTGCATACACCAGCATTTGTCCTGTCTCTTCGCCCTGGTACCCATTGTTTTGTCCCATTGATGCACACAACAAACTCTTATTCATCCTTCAAACTCCAATCAGGTGTCATCTCCTCTGGAATCCCTGACCTGTCCACCATTCACCCCATCAAGGGGGCTGAGAATTACCTTCTTCATATGCAGGATCTGGAGCATGGGTTGGACTCATGCTAAGCCTCATGCATCCTGGGTTCTCTGCCCATCCAGAGCTCTGCTCAAGGGCCACCTCTTCCAAGAAGGCTCTCCGTGGTCCTCTTCCTCCTTTTCCCGGTTCTGGTGATGATGCATTGTTCTTAATTTCTGCATTGCCTGATCACCCCAAATGCTTTACATGGGCCCCTCTATGAGAGCTTCATCCACCAGCTGGGTGCCAGTGGCTCATGCGTGTAATCCCAGCCACTCAGGGCACTAAGGTCTGAGGATTGTGGCTCGAAGCCAGCCCAGGCAGGAAAGTCCATGTGAGTCTTATCCTCAACTAGAACTTGTAAGATAATGAATTTGTCTGGTGTAAAGCCCCCAGATTCCTGGCGATTTGTTAGAACAACAGGAAGTGGGTGCACCCATTTTATGGACTGGCACATAGAGTCTGGGGGGGGTGTCTCATAGTCAGCTGATTGTTGGTTGTGCCTCTGGGGTGAGGAGGAGGCAGGGAGTTAGGGACAGTCTGCAGGAGGGACGCTCCCAACCCAGGCTGGCCAAAGAGGAGGCTGTGGTGTGAGGGGCAGGGCTGGCGGTGGAAAAGAAAGGGTACAGGGAGAGGAAGTGGGTGCAGGCCCGGCTAGACCTTGTCCTGGGGCTAATGTGGGCCTCCAAGTAGCCCAGACGTGGAGTGGAGGAGGGAAAGCGAGGGACCGGAGGCCGGGCCTGGATTTGGGTTTCTGTCAGCTTTTCCCAGCCCTGTCCTTCGCCTGTGCACCCCATCCCCCCCCCACCCCCCTGCATACCTCCGGGTTGTGGCTGGGGACTTCCTGGGTCCTAAGTTCGAATCCGGTCTCGGCAGCCCATCCTGGCTCCAATGAGTGAAGTTCCCATCCCGGGGAGCAGAGCCTACAACCTGCGGGGCGGGGCTGCAGGTGTCAGGAGGTGAAGTCTCCCGACAGCTATTTCCCGACATCTGATGACAGAGTGTCTCCTGCGGCAGGGAACATCTCAAACCAGGCCACGCCGGGGGCGCCGCCTCCCCTCCCTCTTCGCCTGGGAGAAACAGAGGTAGTGATTAAGATGGCATAATTACCTCCCTCCCTCCCGCCCGCCCGCCTGGGAGGCAAATCCTGCCGTGGGGCTGCTCCCCTGGCTGTCTCGCTCTCTACTCCCAGCGCTCAGCGCCAGCAGGGTCGCCTCTTACTATGAGCTCCGCGCCCCACAGCCTGCGCTGTCGGACCCGCCCTGGGGCGTTGGCTCCGCCTCTCAATCTAGCTCCTCCCCCTGGAACCTTAGCTTCTACAGTTTGCCCTGCCCTTAAGTGTTAGTCCCTCCCCTGAGGCTTTCAGCTCCTCCCCCAAGATGTAGCCCCACCCCTAAGTGTTAGTCCCTCCCCTGAGGCTTCAGCTCCTCCCCCAAGAAGTAGCCCCACCCCTGTTAGTCCCTCCCCTGAGGCTTTCAGCTCCTCCCCCAAGATGTAGCCCCACCCCTAACTGTTAGTCCCTCCCCTGAGGCTTCAGCTCCTCCCCCAAGAAGTAGCCCCACCCCTAAGTGTTAGTCCCTCCCCTGAGGCTTCAGCTCCTCCCCCAAGAGGTAGCCCCACCCCTAAGTGTTAGTCCCTCCCCTGAGGCTTCAGCTCCTCCCCCAAGAAGTAGCCCCACCCCTAAGTGTTAGTCCCTCCCCTGAGGCTTCAGCTCCTCCCCCAAGAGGTAGCCCCACCCCTAAGTGTTAGTCCCTCCCCTGAGGCTTCAGCTCCTCCTCCAAGGGGTAGCCCCGACCCCAAGCGTTAGTCCTTCCACTGAAACATCATCTCCTACCCCAAGATGTTCGCCCTTCCTCTGTTAGTCCCTCCCCTGAGGCTTCAGCTCCTTCCCCCCAAGATATTAGACCCGCCCCTAAATGTTAGCTCCTCCCTCACGTTGTTAGCCCTGCCCCTAAACGTTAGCCCCTCCCTGCGATATTAGCCGCGCCCCCAGATGTCAGTTCCTCCCCTGCGTGTCAGCCCCTCCTCTGGAATGTTAAATTGCCCCACTCCCCCAGAATGAGTGTACCTCCCACTGGTTTGTCGGTCTTTCCAATCCCGATTCTTCGCGTGACTGCCGTTTACCTTGAAAGGTGCTCTATGTAATTGAATAGATTCATGGAGTCAGACCAGTCAAATCTTGACTCCACCACTTGCTTGCTGGGTGACCTCATAAAAGTCACTTCACCTCTCTGGGCCTCGAGTGTCCTCGTCTGTGCAAGGGACAGGATCGCAGTGCCGTCCTCCCGGGCTGAGCGCTGGTCTCAGGGGTCCAGACAGGATCAATGGAGGAGCGCCTTGCTTTGGGCTTAGAACCCAACCAAAGACCGCGGCCTCCCGCGGGAGAAGCTTGCAGTGCTGGGAAAACCGCAGGATGTCAGAAGGCGTAGCCGCATTCATTAAGAAATCAATGCGGATGAACCCCTCCCGGGATCCCACTCCATCCAGTCCGCGTTGGCGAAGCGCTGGGAAGCCGCCCGGAGGAGGGCGAGCAGGTGTGCAGCCATGCGCTGCGACACGCGGCCCGCCCTGGGCCCGCGCGGTGGCCCGGCAGGAAGCCAGCCTGCCAGGTGGCACCGCCATCAGAGCAGGCACCCGGCGGAGGAGCCTCGCCCACACCAACAGCCAGCCTCACAGACATCACACATCCTTCTGTGGGAGGTTGCGGGAGGGGAACTGAGGCACGGAGAGTGGCTCAAACAACGCCGTGAACCATTAAGTAACCTGAGTAAAAAGTTCTCGTGTGCCTCTACGATTCGTATTTGTGCAGGTATTCTGTATATTTGAAATTATCTCCAAATAAAAAGATTTTCTTTTGTTTTTGCCAGTCCTGGGGCTTGAACTCGGCCTGGGCACTGTCCCTGAGCTACTCGTGCTCAAGGATAGCGCTTTACCACTTGAGCTACAGCACCACTTCCAGGTTTTTCTGTGTGTGTGGTGCTGAGGAATTGAACACAAGGCTTCATGCATGCTAGGCAAGCACCCTACCATTAAGCCACCTTCCCAGCCCAGATTTGTATTTTTTAAAGTTTGGGCGGACCAGTGCCTAGCACACATTTTTCAAGTACAGGAAGAAATTTCATATTATAATTCAATACATAATTCAGTCACTCAAAATTTGAGAAACATTTCTTTTTTTTTCTTAAGTCTCAGACTGGGACTGGAACCTGGAACTAGGTGCTTTCACTCATTGGCTGGTGCTCTAGTTAACTGAGCCATGCCTCCAATGCTGAGAAGCATTTCTTACCAATTTCTATGCCCACTGAGATTTCATATGAATGTATTTCATTTAAAAATAGCTATGAAGGGGGCTGGGAAGGTGGCTCAGTGGTATAGTGCTTGCCTTGCATGCATGAGGCCCTGGGTTCGATTCCTCAGCACCACATAAACAAAAAGAAAAAAGCCGGAAGTGGCGCTGTGGCTCAAGTGGTAGAGCGTTAGCCTTAAGCTGAAGAGCTGAAGGACAGCGCCCAGGCCCATAGTTCAGGCCCCATGACCGGACCCCAAACAATTTTTTTAATTAAAAAAAAAATAAAAAAAATAGCTATGAAAGGGCTGGGAAGGTGGTTCAGTGGTACAGTTGCTTGCCTTGCATGCATGAGGCCCTGGGTTCGACTCCTCAGAAAAAGCTGGAAGTGGCGCTGTGGCTCAAGTG